TTTTTGTCCTTTCCTGGTAAATGAGGGAAAAAGGTGGAGCGGATTGTCAGAAGAGGATGTGGGCGCTGTTGATGTAGGTCTGGTTGAGCCTGGCACAATCAGGGCAGCGCTAAATCGGAGTTTGGTCATTATGTACTCGCCCTCACGGCATTCCAAACATGTATGCTGCTTAGGCCACTGTAAATCAGCTTTTTGTCTAATTATATATATTTATTTACAAATGTTTTCAGTTTAAATGTTTTCAGTTGAAACTTGTTTCACAGTTTTGTTTTCAGATATATAGGACAAAACATTGTAGGCATTATACGAGCATAATTACCTGTTCTGTTAGAAAAATAAAAATAACAAACAAAAAATTTAACAATCATTGACTATCATATCTATTAGTATAAATAATCACATTTGAGTGATCAAAAACCAAATCCTAAAAACTTATTCAGGGTAATAGTTTAGACATAAATTAGGCACCCTTTAAAATAGTTTTTTCTCAAATATTATTTTATTGCAGTTTAAATAAAAATTTGGATTAACAGCTCTGTAATTATTCCTCAATATAATGATGATGATGATAATGATCATTATTATTATTATTATTATTATTATTATTATTATTATTATGATAATGTGACTACATTTTACATGATAATTGCATTACATTTCTGTCACAGTTACTTCGCTTTACAGGGAACCTTTATTTTTATTGGTTGTGTATGTAGTTAAAATTGTGTCACCCTATGTCATCCTAGTGTTTTATTCATAAAAATATATTTATACAGATACATTTTGAATCTTTTTGTATTTGTGTATAATTGTGTGCGCGCGCGTGTGTGTGTGTGTCTGTGTGTGTGTCTGTGTATATATACAAAGTTGAAGTCAGAATTATTAGCCCCCTTGAATTATTTGTTTCCTTGTTGATTTTTTTCTCCAATTTCTGTTGAACGGAGAGCAGATTTTTTTCAACACATTTCTAAAAATAATAGTTTTAATAATTAATTTCTAAAAACTGATTCCGTTTTATCTTTGTCATGATGACAGTATATATTTGACTAGATATTTTTCAAGACACTTCTATACAGCCTAAAGTGACATTTAAAGGCTTAACTAGGTTAATTAGGTTAACTAGGCAGGTTAGGGTAATTAGGCAAGTTGTTGTATAATGATGGTTTGTTCTGCAGACAATCCAAAAAAACATATAGCTTATAGGGGCTAATAATTTTGTCCTTAAAATTGGGCTTAAAAATCTGACACACTGTAAAAATTTCCTTGCTCTGTTAAGCATCATTTGGGAAATATTTTAAAAAGAAAAATAAATTCAAAGGGGGGGCTAATACTTCTGACTTCAATTATATATATCTTTCAATTTTGTAAGCTTGTGTTTGCTGATAACTAGGACCAGGCACAATCTGCTGACATTTTTTTGCTATTTTTCCACAGAAGATTTATGCTATATATATTTTTTGGAGTACTGTAACTAAAAATTTGATAATACCCTTTTGTTTAATTTTTACAATGCAAATCCAATTAGATCCACTTATTTTGTAATAAATGAATATCTGCATTATCAGTGCTGTCAATGGTCCCTTATGAAACTGAAATTAGTCACATCAACCTTTCGCCGGACGATTTCAGTGGCTGAACAACCTGTCTGCGCATAAAACACATTCATAAAACTACAAAGTCTACATCAGCTTTGTGTGACAAATAGTGTTAAAACAGAACATTACCTGTCTAACAGAAATACTTCAGCCATGGCGTCATCCTTCCTCCAGCGTGCAAAACTAACTCCAATATAGATTCAGGATTTTAAAAAGTTTTGATTCAGCATTTGTTTTTATCGCTGTCAGTCGTGTCCACTTGACCACATCCTGCGTGAACGTGCATCAGCGGGTCTGCGTGAAAGGGTTCACAGTTGTAGAAATCTACAGTTGTTGACAGACAGTTTGGGCTACTTATCAAAGTATTGGAATTATTCGGCTCGACAATATTTAACTGCATGTAAGTCTTCTGCCTCACCCAGAATCTAAAAATACATTTAAATACATTTAGATCATTTACTTTAATCATTACTATTGGAATGTGAAGAGACTTTCAACCAGCACAACAAAACAGGTATCTGAAGACAATCACCTTCTGCAGCTTTAAGACTTTGGCTGTCATTGTCTTAGCTTGGATTTTTAACCTCCTTTTTGCGGAGTGAACATTAGCATATGAATGTTTTTTGACTCACTGTAAATCATTATTTGCCTAATCAAATAGGAACTATGTTTTAAAATTCTGATTTGTATTTGTTTTTACAGAACAAATTCTTTGCCAACAATTAAACCCCTTACCAATGAGGGGAAAATAAATATGAGTGATAAAAATACAGAAAACATAATGAATAATAAAATAAATCAATAAATAAAATAACATTTTGCCATCATAACATCTTTTAAGAAAACATTTGTACATCAAATTACACAAGTTAGATTGCATTAAAGATAAGTTGAATAACCTCTAATCTAAATATCTTACAACCCTTTCAATACAATATTAAATATATGGTACAATACAAAACAATACTGAATATCTTACAATACAATGCTTTTAATAAATGCACTCATTTTCTCCATTTATATTGACCTGTTTCAGTCTCTGGAGCAAGATTTTATTTTTATTTATTTCTATTGAGGAAAATGATTTGTCATGACATGTTGAGTAAACAATCATGGGCAGAGTTTTATAGTTCAAGCGGCTCTTTAAGGTGATAGCAGAATCATATTAGCCTGACAGACTCATGATGACCTATTTTCAGAATAGCTGAAGTTTTGTCGACCGATCACAAAAGCTTCTGTGCGCGTGCGTGCTTGCGTGCGTGCGTGCGTGCGTGCGTGCGTGCGTGCGTGCGTGCGTGCGTGCGTGTGTGTGTGTGTGTGTGAAGCAGAGCACTGTCTTCACTGGCATTTACACTGTTACTAAATTTAGCGTGCGTGTAGGGATTTGATGTTTGATGTTGTGTGTTGTCGGCTATAGTGTTACTTAAACCTGGCCCGTCACTCACATTTCAAAGAACTGACTTGCAGGAGTGTTTTCCTGGAGGTCTCCGAGGCTGATCTGAATTACATTTCAGCTCATTTAGATGCTTCAGGAGTACGGCTGGAGAAACACTGATTAAAATGCTAAATAACAAGATTTTGGGAAGTGACTTCTGAAAAATGTCCTGGTCAATTGAAGTATTTTTAATCATATAGTAATGTTAAAAATCGTATCTAATATAAGTATTCATTTGTTTGAGGTATTTAAATGTATGATTATTGATTAATTTTTTGTTGCCATGAATATAGCCATTGTTCCTGACGTGGTATTAAATAAAAATATTTGACATAACCAACTCATATTCCAGTTTAAAATCATATTTAAAAATTGAGTTTGAGTTGAGTTGAGTTTTAGTTTATTGTGTTAATGCATTGTGTATTATGAGCTAACAATGAAAAGTAGTTTTACTGTGTTTTCAGTGTTGATTAATTTTACTTTCTGCTTTAACATTTTAAAAGTACATGTTAAATCTGTATTTAATGTTTATGATTTATTATTTTCTTTTAACTTTATTATTTTTATTTTTTATTTTTTATTTTGTATTTTCATTGTCTTATTTTGTTTATATATATATATATACACACACACACACATTTAAAAAAACATTTAGTTCTTTATTTGCATTGATACATTTATTTATTTATTTTTTAAATATAGACTGTGGCCAAAAAAGTTAATTAATACACAGTTACTACTACCAAGTAAAAAAGATAAATAAATAGTTAGGATAAATCAATAGAATAATTAAATAAATGCTACATTGATATTATTTGGAATTATGTTATATTCATATAATAATAAATGTAATAATAATACTATATTGTCATTGTTGTTATTATTATATAATTAGTATTATATTATCACTATCACTATCAATAAATATGTTAATAATGTTGTTACTATTATAATTGTTTGCATTTATGCATTTGTTTATTTTGTAAAAAAGTAAATTAATATAATTTAATTAATTAAATAATAATTATAAAATATTATTATAACTTTCTTTATTATTATAGAACTTATATATAAAATAATAACAATATAAGCATTGTTGTTGCTGTTATTGTGATTATTATGTAGTTTCTATTATATTATCACATATTGTTGTTGTTGAACAAAAACTGTAATTGACCAAAAACGTTTAATATACAATTACTTCTACCAAATAAATAAAATGAACAAGTTATATATTATTAATAATCAATAATATAATAAATAAAAAAATAAGATGACATGCTGGTGCAGTGGGTAGCACGATCGCCTCACAGCAAGAAGGTCGCTGGTTTGAGCCCTGGCTGTGTCAGTTAGCATTTCTGTGTGGAGTTTGCATGTTCTCTCCGTGTTGGCGTAGGTTTCCTCCAGAAGCTCCGGTTTCCCCCATAGCCCAAGACATGTGCTACAGGTGAATTAAAAAAGCTTAATTGGCCGTAGTGTATATGTTTGCATGGATGTTTCCCAGTGATGGGTTGCGGCTGGAAGGGCATCTGCTGCGTAAAACATATGCTGGATAAGTTGGCGGTTCATTCCGCTGTGGCAACCTCAGATTAATAAAGGGACTAAGCCAAAAAGAAAATGAATGAATGAATGAATGAATAAAAAAATTATTAATAATGGTTTGAGTTCTTCTCATTTATAATAATAATAATAATAATAACAATAATAAGATATTGTTGTTCTTGTTGTTGTTTTTTTTATATTATTTTATTATTGTTATTGATTAACCTTGTTACAGCTAGTATGAATTTGTATTCATGACTTTACATCAATATTCAAAAACGTACTTTGTGTTTTCCTGCATCCACGATGACAAACATCACATTAACATTCAATACAAGCACAAATGCAGACATCAGAACCATAAAACCAGCAGAATAATTATCTCTAATGTAACCAAAGTGTCTCGTTTCTCTCTTGTGTTTATACAGTAAAGCTGTTTGAGGTCATAGAAACAGACAAGACCCTTTACCTGGTGATGGAGTACGCCAGCGGAGGTGAGTTTGATAAAGCTTATTATATTATGTAATCCTATGCAAACAGGCTTGTAATTTTTACATAACGAAGCTTGTGAAAGTGAAAAGGCTCCATCTGATAGGCCTGTTCTGTCCACAGGGGAGGTGTTTGACTACCTCGTAGCGCACGGACGCATGAAGGAGAAGGAGGCCAGAGCTAAATTTAGACAGGTACAGAACTGCAGTGCACTGGATACAGCCCTGCCCCGCCCCCTCGCGCTTTCACCCTGAGCTCTGATTCGCTGTCGCTTGCGTGATTGGTGGCTGATGAGTCGAATGGCTGCTTTGGGTTCAGTGTGGCCCATATAGAGCACTTCTGCTTTAGGGTCATAAACTAAATAGGGTTTAAGACACTGCAGGTGAACAGGGTAAAAAAAAAAGAATGAATAAATATCATCATAGTTACACAACTGATTACTTTAAGGATTACTAACTTTTTTATCATACGTATCATGAAAATGTTGTTTAAACATGCAAACAAGGTATTGTTTAATTAAATATGCACTAATTTGCATGTTTCTCTAGCATACAAATCTGAACATTGTATAAAGTCTGATTCAAATGAGTTTTTTGATATTCTTGATATATTAAGACTATATCTTGATATAGTCTGAGGAATAATCACGGTTTCATGGTTTTCACGATTATTATGTATTCATTAATTTCAAAACACTACTTGTTTAGATAATCTCATGAAAACTCCTTCTATTTTAAAGTGTTTTTATTGCTGCTCAGTAACCAAAAAAAAAAACCCAGCACAAAATAATAATAATAAATATCAAACAAAAGTCTGTTTCTCTTTGGACCTAATAATAAGTAAAAAAAGAAAAAAAGCTTTTGGCATTTAAACATAAGTAATAATTTTACACTGAAAATAAATGACAGAACAACAAATAAATAAAATAAAAATGAGAATCAATAAAAAACAGTATTTGTCTAATGTAAATTTAAGCATCATAGTAATTTCTTTTCTTGCACTCGCAAAAGACGCAAAATGTAAACGGCAGTTAGATAATAGCCTCAGCCATAGTTTATCGAGTGTGCGTGGGTATTAGCCTCGGTGTACAAGCTCTGAACTTTAAACTAGCGCACAGTTGGCATAACTTTGTTTAGTTGCAGCAGTTTGTTCCATGCATGGTGTTGAGAAGCCTTCATGATTAATTAACCGTAAAGAATTAATTAACTGTAAAGAATTAAAGCACTGTAAATAGTGAAATCGGTTAATCCTTGTACCCAGATTTTGTTCATATATTTCAGATTTTATTTAATCACTTCCTAATTCAGAAAAAAAAAATTTAAAAAAATTATATATATATATATATATATATATATATATATATATATATATATATATATATATATATATATATATATATATAATTTTTTGTAAAATAATATTTTATAATTAGGAAAATTGCGGTATGTATGACCAAAATTCCTCATTACAAAAATGTAAGAATGCACATATGAAAACAAATTGTGCAGTCTGGTGTATGAAATTAGAGATTTATGACCCTGTGCAGGGGAAAAAACCTGAAAATAATATGGAAAAAAAAAAAAAAAAAAAAAATATATATATATATATATATATATATATATATATATATATATATATTATAATAATATGGAAATCTACATAATATTTACATTACATCATGTTTTAGATTAAAATTGTAGTTATTAATTTATAGTGCGCTTGTAAATTCACAGTTTTACTGGCAACCAATTTGCCAGTAAGTTACTGTATATGTTATGTATATTATACTGTAAATTGTAATCTCTAATTTACAGTGTGCTTGAGCATTTACAGTCTTACTGGCAATCAAAATTGCTAGCATTACTGTAAATTTTGTAAATTGTAATTATTAATTTACACGTTGGCTCAGTGCAGCTTTTAATTTAATACTTTAATTTTTACTACATTAGCAAAATTCTGTGATATACTTGACAGGAAAAATAAATTTTTATGATTGGATTCTTTAATACGTCTCTATTTTCTGCATCACAAAAGAATTTTCAGCAATAAATAGAAGCTAAAGATACAATATTTCAAAGCATAAGATAACATATTACATTTGTAAATTCTATAATCTCGCACATAAAATGCTGCATCACAAATATCATAAGACCTGAAAAAACATTTTATGAGGAGGTAAAAAAGCCCCAAATTACAAAATCGAGGGGTGTGTGTTTGCCTGCAGCGTCTCACCTTAATAGCTAGTTGACAAATTAATATGCTGACTTAACAATAATAATGCAGTGCAAAGAGATTTCTGCTTGATTTTAGTGTTTGGGAGTTTTTGAAGTTGCATCATTGCGTTTTGTTCCGCATGTTCACAATGCACATAATGCAGTTTTCTATTCTGTTGATAGATTACCAGGGTATACTGCATTTCATCAACAGTGCTAGTGTATATAAGAGTGTAGATAACCGAGCGAGCAAGCGTGCATGCGTGGATGCGTGTGTATGTGTGTGTGTGTGCTGTAGTTGTCAACATTTTTTATTACAATTTTTTATAAAAAATATAGATAAAAAACAAATTTTATTAAATAATAAATATAATTTAAAAAATGTAAAATATTATTATAAGTTTTATTATTATATTATATATTAATTTATACTGTATTACATTATATCAAATTATTATTGTATATATTATTTAAATTACAATATGCTGTTTACTTCACTTAGTATTTTTATATCTTTAAACTAAATAAAAATAAAAATCTGCATTATCTCTATTAATTTAAAATGGTATTATTAAAAAGAATTATATATATATATATATATATATATATATATATATATATATATATATATATATATATATATATATATATATATATATATATATATATCGTTTATACAGTGTATTTTTTCCATATAAATATTTTAATTTTATTACTTGTGTATTAATATTTTTCACAATCTTTTTGAAGTTATTAATGTGTATGCTTTGATGTTTTAGATTATTTTGGATCTTAAAGTAAATGAAAATGAGAAATGTGTATATATATATTTTTTTTGTTTCATTTAATGCTTCATATTTATTTAAAAATTTTAAAAATATTTATTTTTATTTCATTCAAATTTACACCAAAATCATTCAATCAATTTATTATTATTTTGTCATTCGTATTTTTCCCCTGATGCTATATTTTATTTTCAAAAAAATTACAAAGCAGAAATTTTAGAATATTACTGGACAGTTTCACATACAGAAAAGGAAAACAAACAGGGATCCAAAATGATTGTATTAATTATAAATTATTATTTTAAAAAGATAAAAAGTCCTAGTTTAATTAAAGCCAGTTTTTCTTTTTTTCCCTACATAAATATCATATACCTTTATACCCACAATTAACTTAATAATCCGCCTGTTGTGATTGTGTTGTGCAAAACAGTAATGATAGAGTGACTGTGTGCTGGATTGATCAGGTGTGCAGTGCAGTGATGGAGCTCTAATGAGACGCTCACCCGCTGACAGACTCATTTGCTCTTTTAATTACCCTTTCAACCTCTCTGTTCCCCCTGTGAGAGTCTGTGCTCTGATGGCCTGCAGCAGCAGAGAAAGATTTAGCCTTATCTACCTTTTACTCACACCCCATGATGAATTTATGGAAGTAACTTCTGTTGAACTAAAGAAAACCAGTCAAGTGTTTTAAAAAGCAGCTCAAATGTTGTTGTTGTTGTTTTAAAATAGCTTTATATTTGCAGTTTGTAATTATTTAAAATGTTTTTTAAAATTGTCCCAGGGCAAGAATGGGTGTTGTTTCAATAGTTTGAGGACGACTTTGATTAAAGGTTTTGAACCACTATTTATTTGTTCTTCCTAAAGATTGTATAGGCGACAAGACGTTTGTCAGGGAGTTCACTCATTTATGCTGAGCAGTATATTCATATACACACAGAATTGTAGTGCAGCAATTATTATCAGATTTGTATTATTATTATTACTATTTTGTGGACGTTCCCGAAAACCAGAAGTTAAACTAGGGGTCACCAATCTCAGTCCAGGAGGGCCGGTGTCCCTGCAGGATTTTGCTCCAACTTGCCTCAATAAACCTGCCTGGATGTTTCAAGTATACCTAGTAAGACCTTGATTAGCTTGTTCAGGTGTGTTTAATTAGAGTTGGAACTAAAATCTGAAGGACACCGGCCCTCCAGGAACAAGTTTGGTGACCGCTGAGTTAAACTAATAATTTAGAAATGCAGTATAGTGATTAGAAGTACACAAAAGCAAAACCCTTTTAAAGTTTTGTTGGTAATGATCAGTATTTTATAACCATACCTTAACAGGTAAAATTGGCTTGACAGATGTAATAACTCTAGCAACTTTGGATTCACTTTAGCTAATTAAAGCTTTATTAAAGATGCCAAATAACCGACTAATAGAGCATCACAATAATCCAGTCTTGAGGTGGTGAGGGCATGATTTCCAGCATCATCTGCAGTGGTAGGGATGGGGGGGTTCCCTCCCATCATCCTCTGCTGCTGTGGAGTCGTTTATCTGGGTCAGGCATGAAGCGCCGCTGAGATTTCAGGGCAGAGCAGAAAAACCTCCAGATTCTGCCAGCAGCTGCAGAAAGGCAGGAAATCTGTGGCCCAATCTGATGTCTGGGACACGGCCACGGATAGAGAGCCATGAATATTAAACAGTATCAGAGAGTGTGGTGTGTTTTAGAAATGAGATGAGGGAAACGCGGGCAGTAATGAGCTTTCATTTCAGAGCATTATGGAATATTTAAGCAGGTTACATGAAAACGTCCTGTTTTACTGAAGAAATGTTTTGGAAATCAGTCACTCGTGCATAGGCACGGGCTGGTATAAGATTCTGAAGGTATGATAACCTTGGATAAAGATATCACGGTATTGTGAATACTGCTCTAAAATATCTTCCTTTTTTTAATGTCTGGGTAAAAATAACTACAACTTTTTTTTTTTTTTAGCTTTGAACAAAATATATTTCATTTTCAGAAACATTTAAAATATTTTGGGGCAGTAAACATGTCAGGCTAAATAATTCAAATGAATCATTGACTTCTGCTGTTCTCATTAGTTTCAAAACACTGATTTCTTTACCATTAAAACAGCATCTTTTGATATTTTTTCTACTGATACTGTTGTCCTTAAAAAAAAAAAGTAAATAAAAAATAATCTTACATTTACCATAGGAAGGGTATAGCAGAACATTTCCGCGCTTTTAAAACCTTGACTTTTCCAAACCGTGTTATACCTTGAAACATTTATCATCCCATGCTTACTTGTGTGTGGTTTGATTATTAAATGTATTATTTATAAGTGATTAAATTACCTCCAAATCAGGATTATTCTAAAATCCTAAAACTAGGATCATTTTTGTTATTTAAAAATAAATTTCAACTGCATTAAAATATCTAGAAAACCTCAGCTCATTGACGAGGAAATATTTTTATAAATTAAAAAAATGTTACATAATTTAGATTTTTTTTAATACCAGATAAATAGAAGCTAAAATAAAACAATTATAAAGTATTTGAGAAACAAAAGAAAATGACAGGAAAAAAACAACTTAACTGCTAAAATGTGAAAATTGAAATAAAAAGAACAGAAAGAAAAGAGTTTTTGATTTATTTATCCAAAACCTTACTTATTTTTTATTACTTGAACTAAAATACCTAAAATAACTACCTCAGCTACTGAAACAAAAAAAACTAATAATAAATAAAATATTTAAAAAGCTAAAATAAAATTAAGATTATAAGGCTGAATGTCATGAAATGCCATCAGTCTAGAGACATTTCCCAGTATTTCTTTGTTCACAATAATTAACCCCGAAAAAGCCAAAGCAAAGCACAAAACACTACCAGATTACTATGTTTAAATACAGCACTACAACATACAATAGAGAGAGATCAACCTATAATATTACTCTGTTCTGTAATGATTTGATAAGTGGTAAGTTCATAATTACACTGAGTTTTTCCTCCTCTAAAGGCTTATTATGCGGTCTCTGTCGCTATCTTGTGGCAAAGCTTTAACCGTCTTTGCTCTGCTCAGTATGACAGGCTGATGCGCTGAATTTCCGAAATTATAAATATTTTAAGAGGCACTACCCTTATAAATAAACTGCGCAGTTGCAATCTAAACAACTATGTTCTCTCCCAAAAAAGTTTCAAAAGTACATCATGTTGTCAGACAGCCGCAATATTTGTCAACTGTAGTGAGTTTATTGATCTGATGTCGCTCTATGTGGGCGGAGTAATGCATAAGGGTGAAGAGGCTGTATGAGTGCTGTTGTTGCAGAATATCGCACAGCTATCAGCCAAGATAGCCAGTCAAGAACCAGACAAAACTGTTGTATATATATATATATATATATATATATATATATATATATATATATATATATATATATATATATATGTATATATGTATATGTATATGTACATCAAATATTTCCCAAACGATTTTTAACAGAGCAAGGAAACACATGTTATACTCTACAGAAAAAGACATTTAAGTTTTTGCATTCTATATTTTCATCTCACAAAAAAAATCTGCATTACAAATATAATAAAAGAACAATAATATATTTAATTTATGCAAAAAATATATATTTTTACTTTTTTTAATTTTGAATAGTTTGAAAGAATAACATCTACTTAAAAAGGAAAATCTTTTGTAATATTATAAATATCCTTGCTGTTACTTTTAATTCATGTAGTGCCCACTTGCTGATATAAAAGTACCCGTTTCTGATCTGATGCTATATTTTTAATATACAGTAAAGCTTGTTTCCGCTAAGAAGAAATATGGTTCCTCAATCTCACACATGTAGTTTGGTTGGAGCTGTAAGCATCAGGCTGTGCTGAGCAGTGATTTTCAGCGAGTCTCTCCTCCCTCATTCATCATCCAGAATCATGTGTCAGGGCCACAGCACACATGCTCCCCAGTCCAATCAATGGCATTCTGGGAAAAAGCCATGATGCCAGTTAATGTGGCGCATTGGCTGTTACACCACACCCTGTCTGTCTGTCATGCACTCACTTTTGTCTCTCTTTCTGTTCTAAATCCCCTTTGTCTCCGTTTTTTTTTTCCAGATTGTATCAGCAGTTCAGTACTGCCATCAAAAACACATTGTCCACAGAGATCTCAAGGTAAGCTCAGGCAACAATTATTGTGTGATTGTTCTTTAACAGATAACACAAAAAGTCATTAATGCTTCTTTTGTTACTAAAGTTTTGTACAGTTGAAATCAGACATTTACACCTACTGTAATACACTGGTCCCACAAAACAAAACGCCAGGCGTAAAATCGTCATTTAAAAAAAAAAATTTCTCATGCTCGTTTTTTTGTTTTGACGAGCCCCGTCAAAACCTTCTCCACCAATCAGGTTGATACTTTTGTTCACGTGCATGGAGATGCTGAAGTTACAGTAAACAGCACTTGGAGGCGCTCAAGCGCAAAACTGTCAATGCGAGCACACATTGAAGAAGAGGCTATATGAACGTGGAGCTGCTTATTGCTCTGGTGAACAATAATCATTTCTTTATCGCTAGAGCTGGAGCTTCTACTTAAACCATCCATAACAACAACCGTGTCAACTTTGTCTTCTTCTTCTGTGTTAAGCGTGTTAGACGCTTAAAGTTGTGTAGCGCCAGCTAACGTCAAGCAGTAATTTTGCATACTCTTCTGCTCGACGCCAGTGAAAATCGCCTAGGTTTGAATCCGGAAAAACGTCTCGACAAACGCTGATGATAACCGCAAACGAAAGGCGTCCCGGTGTGTACGAGTCTTTATGCTATATTGGACCACCTTTATGTTTGATTACAGCACACTTTCTGTCTCACATTGTGTCAATATGCTTCTGCAATGTTACCTTTATTCCAATCCAGAGATGCATTGATTTGTTTTGCCAAGAACTATTGATGATGGGACTGTCGGATCACTGTGCAAAGCTTTTCTCAAAGATTCTCAATAGGGTTAAGGTCTGAACTCTGTGGTTGCCAAACCATGTCTCTCTTTCCTCGATCTCGTTTCTCTTACCTCCGATGTATTTTTGACCAATTGTGTTTCTCTTTTCTCTGACATATTTTGACCAGTCGTGTTTCTTTCCTCCGATGTACTTTGACCAATCGTGTTTCTCTTTCCTCTGATGTACTTTTGACCAATCACATCTTCTTTCCTTTGATGTAAATTGAAACATTTGATCAATCTTGTTTCTCTTTCCTCTATTATGGTTCTCTTTCGCGTTTCTCTTTCCACTACCTTTTTTCTCTTTCGTGTTTCTCTGTCCTTTGACATACATTTGACCGATCGCATTTCTCTTTCCTTGGATGTACTATTGACCAATCGTCTTTCTCTTTTCTTCTGGTATACTTTTGATTAGTTGCAATACTCTTTCCTCTATCATGTTTCTCTTTCTTTTACTAGTTTTCTCTATCGTGTTTCTCTTTCTTTGACATACTTTTGGCCAATCTCGTGTCTCTCCTCTTGATGTATACTTTCAACCAATCACAGTTATCTTTCTTTTAACGTCCTTTTGCCCAATCGGGTTTCTCTTTTCTCTGACGCACTTTTAATTAATTGCATATCTCTTTTCTCAATCTTGTTTCTGTTTCCTCTGATATGGTTTTCTTTCGCGTTTCACTTTCCTCTACCAATTTTCTTTTTCACGTTCCTGATGTACATTTGACCAATTGCTTCTCTCTCTATCACATTTCACTTTCTTCAGTTTCATTTCTTTTTCCTCTCATGTACTTTTGACCAATTGTGTTGTTTTTTGCCCATTGCTCTTTGCAGTACCTCTCAAGCTCTATCTGGTTGGATGGGAAGCAATGGTGTACAGCCATTTTCAGATCTCTCCAGAGATGTTCATTAGGATTTAGGTTTGGGCTCTGGCTGGGCCACTCAAGGACATTCACAGAGTTATTGTGAAGCCACTCCATTGATATTTTGGCAGAATGCTTTGGGTCATTGTCCTGCTGAAAGATGAATCGTCATCCCAGTCTGAGGTCAAGAGCACTTTGAAGCAGGTTTTCATTCAGGATGTCTCTGTACGTTGCTGCATTCATCTTTCCCTCTATCCTGACTAGTCTTCCAGTTCCTGCTGCTGAAGAACATCCCCACAGCATGATGCTTCCACCACCATGCTTCACTATAGGGATGGTATTAGCCTGGTAATGAGCGGTTCCTGGATTTCTCCAAATGTTTTGCCTGGAATTCACTCCAAAGAGTTTAATTTTAGTCTCATCAGACCGGAGAATTTAGTTTCTTATGGTCTGAGAGTCCTTCAGATGCCTTTTGTCAAATTCCAGGTGGGGTGTGGCTTCCGTCTGGCCACTCTACCATACAGGCCTGATTGGTGGATTGCTGCACAGATGGTTGTCCTTCTGTAACGCCCTATTCACACGGGGCGTCAGCGTCAACGCTTCCCATTCACTTTGAATGGGTGATGTCAGGCGTTGCCGAACTGCATTGTGGATCCGTCGGCGCCGCTTCAGAAGCGTTTCTTGCTGCAGAAGTTGGGACCAGCTCAACTTTTCAAGCACCGACGGAAGCGTCAGCCAATCAGATCGCTGTATGCAAATACACCAGCTCAGACAGTGGCCTATTGCTGACTGAATTTCATTGGCTGACGCTTCTATGACGATCGTTTCAGCTCCAACTTCAGACACGGCCTCTGTCAAGCGTTGACGCTGAAGCCCCGTGTGAATAGGGCATAAGGTTCTCTTCTCTCCACAGAAGAACGTTGGAGCTAAGACAAAGTGACCATTGGGTTATTGATCACCTGCCTAATTAAGGCCCTTCTCCCTTATATAGACAGATGCCTTTTCAAATCATGTCCAATCAACTGAACTGACCACAGGTGAACTCAGTTAAGCTGCTGAAACATCTCAAGAATGATCAGTGGAAACAGAATGTACCTGAGCTCAATTTAGAGCTTCCCAACAAAGGCTGTGAACATTGATGTACATGTGATTTTTCAGGTTTTTATTTTTTTTTATAAATTTGCAACAATTTCAAAAAAATCTTTCTTCATATTGTCATTATGGGGTGTTATGTGTATTGTGTGATTTACTTTTGCCCAATCTTGTTTCTCTTTCCTCTATCATGGCATTTCACTTTCCTATACCCCTTTTCCTTTCATGTTTCTCTTTCCTCTGACATACTTTTGACCAATTACGTTTCTTTTTCCTCAATCATATTTCTCTTTCTTCTGATATACTATATGATATGATATACTATAGCCTTCTTTTGGCCAATCTTTTTGCCTCGTGTCTCTCTCCTGCGATGTACTTTTGACAGATTGCGTTTCTCTTTTCTCAATTGCTTTTCTTTCTCCTCTGACGTCGTTTTGACCAACCACATTTCTCTCCTCTGGCAAACATCAGGGCTCCAGACTAAAAATGGAGAGCAGACTAAAAATTGAGGTTGCAGTAATATGAACAGGGCCCGTGTCTCCGAGCATGAGCTCCCCAGAAGATGCTGCTGTCTCTCTCTTTCGTCTTCTCTCCTCCTGCAAGTCTCCATGCTCCATTACACACTGTGTTTCCAGACTGATGCTCTGTAAATGATGCATGAGGCTCGTGTCAGACTGAAGCTGTCTAAATGACTCGTGTGAGGGAAGCCAGGTGGAAACGTGGAGCTTTCTTATCGAATGATGTGCTGTCACTTGATCTCTTTCTAGCCGTCTAGTTTAACGTGGCTTCATAAGAAGTAACTTTAAGAAGCTGTTTGGAGAAGAGACATTTACAACGCACATACAGTCGAGCACAAAGGCTGCAATTTTATAATCAAATTTAAAGCCTTTATACTCGGGCTGCACAATGTATCATTCCTGTAAGGAATTTAAAAGCATTAAGGCATAAGAAATTTAATAACTTTTAATTTTATTGTAATATTTATTAATCGAAGACTGTGCAGTATTATTTTACATTTGATTATTCAATTACTGTATTTCTGAAAACAGTAAAGCACTGCTTATTTCATTTGTGTTTTTTTCTTATATATGCTTGTACACTACCACCTGACAAAAGTCTTGTCGTCAATCCCAGTTGTAAGAGCAACAAATAGTAACTTGACTTCTAGTTTATTATTTGGAAAAGTAGCAGAAGGTAGATTTTTCAGATTAATTATTTATTCAACTGCATCCCAATCATCACAAATAATGTAGAAGACCTACTGGAACCTGCATGGACCCAAGACTCTCAGAGAAATCAGTCAAGTTTGGGGAAGGAAAAATCATGGTTTGGGGTTACATTCAGTATGGGGGCGTAGGAGAGATCTGCAGAGTGGATGGCAGCATCAACACCCAGAGGTATCAAGACATTTGTGCGGCCTATTACATTACAAATCACAGGAGAGGGCAAATTCTTCTGACGGATAGCGCTCCTCATACTTCAGCCTCCACATCAAAGTTCCTTTTTGTCTAAGCAAAGTCAGACCTTACTGTCCTAATTAAATCATTAAAAATCAAGGCATATCATATTTTATTTTGGTAAAATAAGAATATTATAGAGGTATTTACCTTTCATGTAAGCCACTTCTAATAGCAAATAATCAACTAGAAGTCAAGTTATTATTTGTTCTTCCTAAAACTTGGATAGGCGACAAGACTATACAGTATATAAATAAACAACACAACCAAATTACTAAAACTGTCTTCGAAATTTTTTAAATATAATAAAATAAAAATATCTAGACTACAAAATTTAATCAACGATATGAAATTAACAATAGTTCTTCCTTTGTTTTCATGTGATGATATTTGTATTTAAACTTCCCATAGAACAAACACAACATAGACAAAAAAATAGCGTTTTCCAATTGTTTCATCTGAAAATCTCCCTCAATCTTGTGCTCTCTCTTTCTTATGCAGGCAGAAAATCTACTTCTGGATGCGGACATGAACATTAAAATTGCAGACTTCGGTTTCAGTAATGAATTCACCATCGGGAACAAACTAGACACGTTTTGCGGCAGCCCGCCGTACGCAGCGCCAGAGCTTTTCCAGGGCAAGAAGTACGACGGGCCGGAGGTGGACGTGTGGAGTTTGGGGGTTATTCTGTACACGCTGGTCAGCGGATCGTTGCCCTTTGATGGACAGAATCTAAAGGTTAGTGTGTTCTGTCCTTAAAGGTCACTTGTGCCCTGCTAAACCTTCACAGAGACTCATGCAAGTGGGAAAAAAAGCCAGTGGATTTGATTTTTTTTGGAGTGGCTCATGAAAAATGCTGTATGAAATTAGCAGAAATCAAAACAAATAATATAATACAATAATAATAAAACATGCTAATTCATCCTTGAATCATGTTGACAACATGCCAATTCGAACTACAATCATACTAGCCTCATGCAAATTCACACTAGAAACATGTTAAAAACATGTTAATTCATGGTAAAAAATCTGCTAACATGCTTATTTATACCAGAATCATGCTGAGGACATGCTAATTCATGCTAGAAACATGTTAACAACAAGCTAACTCTTGTAAAAATCATGCTAACATGCTAATTCCTACTAGAAGTTTACTTGCAACATGTTAATCCATACCATAAACATGTTATCATATCATAAACATACAAATTCCTGTTAAAATCATGCCAATAACACAATAATTCATACTAGAAACATGCTTGAACCAGCAACCTTCATGCTGTGAGGGGACTGTACTAACCACTGAACCTAAGTAATGCTAAAATCTAATTCTATCTATCGATTTGATTTGTAAAGTGATTTATGAAATTTCTGCATGAAATTAGCAAACAATAACAAATAATATAATAATAGTAATAATAAAACATGCTAATTCATACAAGTCATGTTAAAACATGTTAATTCATAAAAGAATCATGCTAATTCATTCTAGAATCATGCTAGCAAAATGCTAATTCATGCTAGAATAATGCAAGCCACATATTACATGCCAGAAACATGTTAACAACATGCACATTTGTTAAATCATGCTAACAACATGCTAATTCACATGGTAGCATCTATCTATAATAATATAATAGTAATAGGCTACTAATAAAACTTGCTAATTCATACGAGAGTCATGCTAACACCATGCTAATTCATGTTAAAAATCATTCTAACAACATGGTAATTCGTACTAGAAACATGATAGCAACATGCCAATTCATACTAGAATCATGATAACATGTTAATTCATGCTAGAGTCATGCTCACGACATGCTAATTCATTCTTGAAACATGTTAGTAACATACTAATTCATGCTAACAACATAGTAACTCATACTAGAAACATGTTAGGTTCTATCTATAATAATATAGTAATAATAAAACATGCTAATTCATACTGGAGTCATGCAGTCATGCTAACAACATGCTAATTATGCTAGAAACATGTGAACAACATGCTAATGTGTTTAAAATCATGTTAACATGCTAATTCATACTAGAAACATGATAGCAACATGCTAATTCATACTAGAATCATGATTACAACATGTTAATTCATGCTACAGTCATGCTTACGACATGCTACTTCATACTAGAAACATGTTAACGACATACTAATTCATGCTAACAACATATTAATTCATACTAGAAACAAGTTAGCTTTTAATAAAACATGCTAATTCATACTGGAGTCATGCTAACAACATGCTAATTATGCTAGAAACATGTTAACAACATACTAATGTGTTTAAAATCATATTAACATGCTAATTCATATTATAAACTTGATGACAACATGCCAATTCATACTAGAATCATGATTACAACATGTTAATTCATGCTAGAATCATGCTTCTGACATGCTAATTCATGATAGAAACATGGTAACATGTTAATTTATACTAGAAACATGTTTACAAGATGCTAATTTGTGGTAAAATTGTGCTACCAACATGTTAATACATGCTAAAATCATGCTAGCCACATGCTAATTCATACTAGAAACTTGTTAATTCATGTTAAAATCATGCTAGCAATCTATCTATTATACTTTTCAAAGTTTTTGAAACTATTTTATACAGTTCCAGACTAAATAAACAACTTACAAAAGGCTTTCTCAAGCCAAAGAAAAGTCTGTGCTGAAACTTTAATATCTTGTTATTTTAAAAACTTCCCTGTTGTGATGTATAGTGTCGACTAGATCATATCCAGTCAGATATTATTATTATTTTTTTTTTAAGATTTATTTTTGCCTAATAAAGGCATTCTTTTTTTTGCCTTTATTAGATAGGACAGTATTGAGACAGGAAGCGAAGTTGGAGAGAGATAGGGGGTAGGGTAGGGAAATTGTCGCCGAGCCGTGATTCGAACTCGAGACGCCCTGACGTGCTATTGCACCATAATTCGGCGCGCTAACCACTAGGCTATTGCGCTGACAATCAGATATTTGTTTAATTGTGGTTTATTGGTTTTTTTATTAGTTTAGACAGCACCAAAAGCACCTACATCTGTAATGGCCTGAAAGTGATTTAATTAACAGACAGTTTTCAGTTTTGGAAGAACCGTCTCTTTAAGGGATGATGTTGCGAAATCTTGGAATCACAGTCAATAATATGCTGAATAATTCAATAATGACTCTACTTAATTCCTATAAGCCTGCGTCATGATGTTTAGTCAGAAATGTTCTTTGACTGCTGAACCTCAGATGTCATTCAATCGGTGTTCACGGTCAGTGATGTTGTGCCTACAGGAGCTTCGTGAGCGAGTGTTGAGAGGCAAATATCGGATTCCCTTCTACATGTCTACTGACTGTGAAAACCTCCTAAAACGCTTCCTGGTGCTGAACCCAGTCAAACGGGGCACGCTCGAGGTGAGAGAACATGCTGAAGCTATAAATATATTGCATATATACAGTAATCAACATTTTAGTGGATCAAAACCTTTCATAATAGTTCTCCTAAAACTATTTAACAAGATCCATTCTCTTACTGAAACAATTTTGAAAAGGTAAAATTGTGTCACCTTCAAATGTTGACTACTGCATATATGTAAATAGTATATTTGTGTATATATACAGTAGTAGCTCCCTTACTACTCTCTTATTTTTTAATCTGACACAATTGAATGTTTCTGATCATCAATCAATTGTAAATATTACTCAAAGATAACACAAGTAAACACATCATGCAGTTTTGAAATAAAGGTTTTTATTATTAAGGCCAAACAAAACCCAGAACTACACAGCCCTTTGTGAAAAGGTGTTTGCTCTATATATGTGTGTGTGTGTGTGTGTGTGTGTGTGTGTGTGTGTGTGTGTGTGTGTGCGTGCGTGTGTGCGTGCGTGCGTGCGTGCGTGCGTGCGTGCGTGCGTGCGTGCGTGCGTGCGTGCGTGCGTGCGTGCGTGCGTGCGCGTGCGTGCGCGTGCGTGCGTGCGCGTGCGTATGTGTGTGCGTGCATGCGTGTGTGTGCGTGCATGCGTGTGTATTTTTTTATTCTTGTAATTTCTTGTAAGAAAAGTTTCAAATTTATTTATTTAATTTTCAATTTAATTGTTTAATTAAATTGTGTTTAATTGTTTTTTGTAAAATTAAAAAAGTATACAATTAATTCATTTTTTCATTTTTATTTCATATTATTTTATTTTAATGATATCTTTATTTTCCCTAAATCAGACAGAATAATTATATGATCATATCTAAAATCTATGTTAAATAAACACATCTTTGGAATAAAATCTAAATAAAATATTATTTCACCCATTTATTAGTTTATTTTTTATTTTGTATTTTTTTTTATTTTGTATTTTTTATTTTTTATCATGTCTTAAATGTCTTTTAAAAATACATGTTAGCAATAAAATCTAAATAAAATATAATTTTATATATTTATTAAATTTTTTTAAATTATTAATTTAATTTTCAGTTTTATTTGATATTATTTTAATTTAATCATGTTTTAATTTCTCCAAAATCAGACAGAATAATTATATGATCATATATAAAATGTCGTTAAAACAGCATGTTAGCAATCAGATCTAAATAAAATATTATTTTACCCATTTAGTAGTTTATTTTATCTTGTGCGATTGTAATAGCTTATTAAAAAAATTATGAAATATATTAATTTAATTTTCAATTCAATTTAATGTTATTTTAAATTAATGTTATTTTAATTTCCCCAAAATCAGAGAGAATAATTATATGCTCAAATCTATATTTTAAAGAAAAAACGCATGTTAGCTATCAACTCTATATGAAATATAATTTCACCCATTTATTACATGTTATTTTTATCTTGCGTAATAGCAATTTCTTGTATTACAAGGTACAAGTTTAATTCATTTAATTTTCAGTTTTATTTGATTTTATTTTAATTTAATGGTATTTTTATTTACACAATATCAGAGAGAATAATTGTATGATCATATCTAAAATGTATATTAAAAAACACATTTTAGCAATAAAATCTAAGTAAAATAATTTCATCCTTTTATTACATTTTATTTTTATTTTGTGTAATTGTCATTGCTTGTAAAACAAAAGTATACAATTAATTTAATTTTTCATTTTATTTTTATTATTTGTTTTATTTATTGTTTTACTTATACTTTTTATGTTTATTTCAATGTGTACTATTTGTTTTTTAAATCATTTAGTAAATTTTTAATAGATAATTGTATATAATTATTTGATTCATTCATTTTTCTTTGGTTTAGACCCTTTATTTATAAGGGTTGCCCCTATAATTATTTGAATACCTCTATGCTTGTTTTATTTTGTTTCCACCAATAAAACTCTCTACTTAGTGTTTCTAATTACTATATTTCAATTGAGCAATAACTAGAGAAATAATCATTCAATCACTTTTTGCAATACTTTGTGTGACTGGGTGGCATCAATGGATTGATTCACATGTATAATTTCTATTGCTACATTAAGTTGATGTTGATATATCAAACGTGTGTGTCAGTCATAGACGTTGCCACCTTCATTTATGAAAAACCACAAACCTTTCAGTCCCGTAATCCCCATAAAAACACATTTAATCCCTTTTCCTCTATTCTCTCTCTCTCCACCACAAGCTTTAGCCAGGATGCACACTTTCATCCCAGCATGCTTTCTCTTCCCAATTAATATAACATGAAGCTGATTGACTGACACGCCCTGTTCTAGAGAGAGAGAGAGAGAGAGAGAGAGAGAGAGAGAGAGAGAGAGAGAGAGAGAGAGTGCTGCGGATGCACTTTATATTACGCTGCTCACTGATGCACATGCTGGATTATAGCTCTGTTTCAGGAAACTCCCAATGAAATGACGTCTACTGATGAATAATGAAAGATCTGAGAGACGGCGCTGTGCACTCGACCGTGTGTTTGTCTTACTCTGATGTTTATGTGCAAGAGCACTTTCTGCTTTATTGTTGAAAGTAACTTTTTAGTAGTGATCCGCAATTATTTACATATTTTTGTTTTAACGTTTTTTATTTGACATTTTTCAAGGAAACAAAACCATTTATTCTTTAAATGAGTGCAAGATCTTCAAGATCAAGGCGCCAGGTAAAGAATTAAGCAAACCACACCATGAAAATAAAATGTTCAAATAAAATAGTGTCAAAAGGTTTAACTTAGGTTACAAAATGTGTAATGACACTAATACAACATAAATAATGTAAATACACATACACAAACCGTATAAAGCCACAGACTAGATCAATTCACTGAACAAGAAAACACCAGCAAAACACAATAATGCACTAAATAGGCATATAAATAATATGAAATCTTATATACAAATGCATACACACGTTCTGTCAAAAAATTAATCGCTATTAATCCCACCCAACATCAAACTTGCATTTATATAATCTGTGTATATGTTTACTGTGTTTGCATATATATATATACAGAGTGCTCAGCGTATTTGAGAACACCGCATTTTGAAAATGAATATTTTGATCCATTTCTCAGTGAATATGGGTTAATATATATTGGTGCATTTGAACGAAACAGATTTATTTATTAAAATAATATAAATGATATATTTATTAAATTAATATTTAGACACAGAACATATTTAGAAATGGAAAGATAATAAATTTAAATGCATGCAAAATATTTTTTTTTAAATTACAAACTACATTATTTAAAAATTATATTTATTTTTGTTTTTCTTGATGTTTGCTTTTTATGAACATTTGTATTTAATATTTTTCTCAATTTTTGAACCATTATTGTGCGTTATTTTGTTAGATTAGCTCCAGATTTGGCTTCAGTACTGACTAATCTAATGTATATGCGCAAATATAATCTTGTAAAGTTTCCTATAGAAAATATTAAATTAAATGAGAGATTTGTGGGGGATGTACACTGATGAGCACTGTACATATATTGTTTATATATTTTTTTGAGAAAATGTATATTTATATTTGAAGAGTTTAGATGTAAAAAAAAAAAAAAAAACCTCTAAATGCCATTTGAGATTTTCTTGTAAAATGAGCATTGTTTTAGACTCCTGTGTGTAGGTTTAATAATTTCACTTTTATAGTATTTAATAAGTTTGTCTCATTGCCTTTAAAGTGAAATAACTGAACATAAACATAGGAGGCTGAAAGAAACCCTCAGACGGCATTCAGAGGTTTTTGCATCTGAACTTTTAATTTATATATAAAATATAATGCAGATTATATATAAATACACATGTAAATATTTTGGTATATAGTTAGAAATGTTTTTGTATTTTATATATTTGTTATTTATATATACACACAGGATTTATGCTGAATCTGAGTACAGAGGCATTATATAAATACAAACTTTTTATGCAATTAATTGTGATTTATTGCTTGACAGCACTAAAATATACATAAAACAACAATAAAATAACAACAATAAAATATATGTATAGAGTCAGAATTATTATCCCCCTGAATTATTAGCCCGTTTATTTTTTCCCCCAATTTCTGTTTACTGGAGAGCAGATTTTTTTCAACACATTTCTAAAAAACAATGATTTTAACTACTCATCTCTAATAACTGATTTATTTTATCTTTGCCATGATAATGATACATAATACTTTACTAGATATTTTCAAGACACCTCTATAAAGCTTAAAGTGACATTTAAAGGCTTAACAAGGTTAAATAGGTTAACTTGGCAGGTTAAGGTAATTAGGCAAGTTATTGTATAATGTTGGTTTGTTCTGTAGTCTATTTGGAAAAAATATAGCTGAAAGGGGCTAATAATTTTGTCCTTAAAATGTTTTTTTTTTTATTAAAAACTGCATTTATTGTAGCTGAAATAAAACAAAAAAGACTTTCTCCAGAAGAAAAATATTATCAGACATACTGTGAAAATGTCCTTGCTCGGTTAAACATCATTTGGGAAATGTTTAAAAAAGAAAAATAATTCAAAGGGGGGCTAATAATTCTGACTTCAACTGTATGTATGAAAAATAAATGATACATTTTGATATTGGTGTCTCCTTAAAATATTTAAGAAAAGAGCTTCAGACTTTCTGAAACTGTTTTTGGCATTTGCTTTATTGCCAACCAAATCTTTTAGCATGTTGAAAATCAAAAGCCCACTGTCGATAAAGAAGGGGAGACAACATGCAATATCTGGCCTGTGCTTATTAAATATATATGAAAGTATAAGTGCTCATACTACATTGTATTACATTGTAAATTATTAACAGCTAACAAACAGGAAATGACAAATAGGTGAACTTGGTAGTTTGAAGGACAATGAGAAATGTGTATATATAGGGCGTCATGGTGGCAAAGTGAGTAGCACAATCGCCTCACAGCAAGAAAGTCGCTTGCTGGAGTCCTGGCTGGGTCAGTTGACATTTCTGTGTGGAGTTTGCATGTTCTCCCCTTGTTTGCATGGCTTTTCTCTGGGTGCTCTGGTTTCCCCACATTCCAAACACATGCGCTATAGGTGAATTGAATAAACTAAATTGGCCGCAGTGTATGTGTGTGAATAAGTGTGTATGGGCGTTTCCCAGTACTTCTGCGTAAAACATATACTGGATAAATTGGCAGTTCATTCCACTGTGGTGACCCCTGAGTAATAAAGGGACTAAACTAAAAGAAAATGAATGAATATATATTATGGGTAAATAATCACATTGGTAAACTAAGCAATATTTTTCTGTAAAGACTCATTATAGTAGTGGTATAGCCTTTAGTAGGATTGTCAGCAGAGTAAGATTTGTAATATAATTAATTGCACAATATGGCCATTCATTCATTCATCATGATAATCACAGCAGGTTTTGGCTAAGAAATTACCTCTAACGAAAATGTTAAGTCATCATTACATTACATTCTAAAATAAATACATCTGCACCATCCATTACTCATTAAATAAGATAAAACGAGGAGCTTTTTCACTTAAAAAGACTTCTGTGTGAGAGACAGGTTTGTTCATTATTAAAAAATCTTCACGTTTTTTTTTTCCCATAACTTTTTTTCATTGGATCATTGTTCTTTGCAGCGCAGTATAATTGATTCTTCCAGCTGACCCACTTTAAAGCATGAATTTGGTTTCCTGTGTTTTCATGAATATTCATGATCTAGCAGAGTCTCTCACTCACAGGCCTATATTTGTCTGTTTCAGCAAATCATGAAGGATCGATGGATCAATGCGGGCTGTGAGGAGGAAGAGCTCAAACCCTTTGTTGAGCCCGAGCTCGACATCTCTGATCAGAAGAGAATCGGTATGAAATATAAAATACCAATAAGACAAAATTTCATTTTATTTCTATTTTGATCTTGGCAGTGTGCGTTTACTAGAAGATTAAACTAAAAAGCTTTACAAATAAGTGTTTTGAGTAATGGTTAGTGTTTTAACATAAACTAGCGGTATAAGAAGGGCTTGACATTAACTTTTTTGATCCCCAGCCACAGTGCCTAGTAGCTTTCCAACGTTACTAGCCACTCCGCGTTTTCACTAGCCGCAATTTTGTTGTTGGAAAATAATATAATATTTTTATATGCATAAATATGACTTTGCTAAAATTACTTGATTTAGACTTGGTGTTGCCACATGCCTTCTCATTCATTTCACATTTTGTGTGTCGTGCATGAGCAAATGGGTCATGGTTTCATAGTGTTATACTTCAATTAGTTTTTATTTCACATGGCTTTTCAGAACTCAGAACTTCAGAACCAAATTTATCTCTGACCACTCCAAACAAGAATTATTTCTCAGCCACAAATTTTAAATGTCAAAACAAGCTAAATATAGCTATATATTATACTTTTTATTTAACAGAACACTTCTTTAAAAAAAAATATAAGAAAAACAATTGACTTTTTAAAATAATTATTGTCATGTATCAAAAATATGCACAGTAATCTGTCCTGGCTAAAGGTCTCTCAGATATAGTTAACTACACATAAATGGAGGGTTAATCTCATATTAAAACAATGTTGTTGTAAAAAATGATAATGAAACCATATAAACAAAAATAACCGTAAGCAAAAGAAAGCAGGTGAAAAACATACTGTGTGATAATGGAAGGATGATCACACGGTTAAGGCCAATTAATAATCTGTTCGAACCGAAAACAACTTCTGCTGCTTACAAAAAGACATATTTGGAGCTTTTAAAAGCAGCAAGACTGTGGGTGCATTAGCATAACTTTATGTCTGTTCTGTATGAAAGAGAACCGATCACGGTTGCGTTCCAGGCACGGTTGCTTCAAGCAGGGAAACGAGCGTGTACGCGCTTTAAACAGTCGCGCGCATCACATCACCTGTTAGCGTGAGTGATCATCCTCTTATTCGGTATTTATCTGCTTTCTTCTGCTCACGCGAACGCAATTTTTCGGTTAGTCGTGCTGTTTTCCGATTCCAAGATCACATTTGCACGCATATTGGGTCATTCTTATAGTCTACCCTGCTTTTATGAAAACCACAATTTAAAAATTATTTTCAACCAGCCAAAGTGGCTTGTGGGAGTGACTGTCTAACACGCCTAAGCTGAAATCCACCCACATTTGGCGGGTTGGCGGGTGTTAATGTTAAGCCCTGGGTATGAGCTATATATTTTTACATCATTTAATAATCTTTGTTAACGTTAAAGTGCATTAAAGGGATAGTTCACTCAAATATTAAAATTTACTCACCCTCAAGTGGCTCTGAAGTTTTATTTGAGTTTTTTATTTTGATTTGAGTTTGATAACACAAAACAAGATATTTTGAAGAATGCTGAAAACCTGTAACCACTGACTTCCATAGGAAGAACAAATATTGTAGAAATCGATGGTTACAGGTTTTCAACATTTTTCAAAATATCTTTTTTGTGTTCAGCAGAACTCCTAACACTTGAAAAAAGGTTTGAAACAAGTACAGGGTGAGTAAATGATGACAGAAGTGATATTTTTGGGTGATCTATCTCTTTAAGTGATGTTAACATGCAATAATTTATCCAAAAAATGTATTTGTAAATATTGAGATTAATAAATGTTGTCGAACTATTGTTAAATAAAGCAGTGTTTCTCAACCACATTCCTGAAGGACCACCAGGGGCCTCATTTACGAAGACTTGCGTTGAATTCATACTAAAACATTGTGTACGCACAAAGCTGTAAATGTGCATACGCAGTAAAAAATTCAGATGTATGAAACACTGCGTACGCAGAATCCCACGCATATTCTCTTTGTACATCTGAATTAACGTGAAACCGAGTGCATGTGCACGAGCGCAAAACCCCTCTCTGCCTCCTCCTTCGTATAAATATGGTAATGACTCTACTTTGGCAAAACCAAATGAAAAAGCAATGGCAAAAGCATGCAAGAAGAGAAGCTTCACAGAATGACAATTGGAGGTGCTGCTATCGGAGGTAGACTGGAGAAAAACTGTGTTATTTGCAAGTTTGTCCTCCAGAATTAGTAACAAAAGAAAAAAAAAAAAGGTTGGGAGAGTTTAGCTGACGCGGTTACGCAGTGGGGTCTAAACATCGCACTGTGAACGAATTAAAAAAGAAATGGTCCAATGTAAAGGTGCAGGTTAAGAGGAGAACAGCGCCACACCATCAAAGTGTGGACCGAACAGGCGGGGGACAGGAGATGCTGAACTAACACCCTTTGAGGAGTGAGTTGCCTCAATTGTGGGCGACACTTTACTAGAGTAGAGTCTGGAGTAGTATCCGTGTCTGAGGGAGACACACATGTATTAGAGGAACACTTTGTTAGGGCAGTATAGCAGCACCCCTCCGCTCTTATCAAGGCAGCGCCACCGGCATTTCAGCTGCCCAATCGCCAGCTCTACAACTGACTTAGTGCCTGCCACTATGGAGCCTCATCGCAGCCATCCTGTTTGTAGTGATGAATAATCATCTGTTGACCAAGGCCACCTTGCTACAATATTTGTTAAGCGCAATTGAGCACCACATATTATTTGCACATTTATTGAACGGAAAATGCAAATTCGTCTTCAGATGGCGCCTTTACAGCAATGTGCGTGCAGTCAGTCGCTCCGATCACATTAGGAAAACCGGCATCACTGCAAATTGCGCTTTGTTTGGCTGGTCAACTGCATGGTATGGAAACCTTATATACCTGCAAGACATGCGGATGATCCCGTCCCATACAGCTGCCATTGCACGGCTCAAAGATACTTTGTAGTGTGCAATTTAACACAATTGCCTCTAGGAGTCGCCAATGGAAATAAAACAAACAGACATTAGAAGTACACAAAAGCCAGACATGAAGTTGGCACGGACCAACAAACACACATTCTCACGTTCATTTCATCGTTAGTAAATCCAAACGCAAGCGTGAAATAGCGTTGATACATGAGGCCCCAGCTCTGCAGTTTTTCATGTCTCTGTGACCAAAAACACGGGATTAAGATCATCAGTTCATAAGCAGAGACTGAAAGACCTGTAATGGGTGTAGCAGGCAAGGGTGATATTCAAAACATGCAGTGCTGGTGGTCCTCCAGAAACATGGTTGAGAACCAATGAACTAAAGCATACAATTAATGTCCTGCTTGACTTTGCCAGTTTATACCGCCCTCCTATGGACAAGTTGTTGATGACTGTTAACTGTAGTTACTATAATAAAATATAAAAAGAAAATAAATATAAAAAGAAAATAAAAATCTAAACTATTGGTTTCAAATATATGTATTACAAGTATGTTGATGCTAACATTACATAAGTTGATTTCAGCATTGAATTTAATTTTTAATTGCTAATTAAAAAATACATTTGGTCGCAGACTTTGGATGTGTACCTGAAAAGATATTGCGTATTTAAAAACAGCTATTAGCCTCTTTAATATTAAAGGTTAATAACGTCACTAAAATGCATGTAAGCATTTATGCACATGCTTTCTGTTTTTAGCTGGTAAGTCAAACGGAATTCAAATTTACAGATGTAATTACATCATTCCCCCATGCTCATTGTTTTATTTTTATTGGTGAGGTTTTACAGAAGGGAGCCAGAGCTTTATGGTTCAAGAGAGATCCAAAGATTTAATGTGTTTTGGCTTTATTGCAATGTGTAAAGTAGGAGCTGCAGAAGCTGTCATGCCCGGTCACAGAGAAGGTTTTTTTCAGGTTTTTGTTCAGTACAAGGGGCATCACACTGGGTTTTTAGTAGATTTTTTTTATTTCCAAAAGAGTAGCGTGGAATTGGTACTTCTTTTTTTTTTTTTTTACACCGATTCAGCTGTCTTGTTAGTCTAATAATTATTCACACAATCATTCTAAAATATTTGGTTTGCTGTTAAATAAATGAAAGCAAATCAGCCTCAAGTAGCAGGGTGTATTTAACCAATAAGTGAGGTAAGCGAGGAAATCTGGCAGCCCCAAATAAATATCTAAAAGTATAAATGATACCTATAAACTGTATATAACATCATTTTCTATCATATTATGTATGGTGAGAGTTAAACAAATAACATTTTTATGAAATTAAATATTATTTAAAATACAATCAAATTTTATAATATCATAATAATGTATTGTATGTTATGTAATAACAATATTACAAAATAAAATATCCATCATGGAGCAGTCCAGCAGTCAAATTTGATAAAGAAATATACAGTTGAAATCAGAATTATAAGCCCCCTTTGAATTTCTTTATTTATTTTTTTATAAATATTTTCCAAATGATGTTTAACAGAGCAAGGAGATTTTCACAGTATGTCTGATAATATTTTTTTCTTCTGGAGAAAGTCTTATTTGTTTTTATTTTGGCTAGAATAAAAGCAGTTTTTAATTTTTAAAAAGCCATTTAAAGGACAATATTATTAGCCCCTTTAAGCTATATATTTTTTTGATTGTCTACAGAACAAACCATCATTATACAATAACTTGATTAATTAACCTAACCTGCCTAGTTAATCTTATTAACCTAGTTAAGCCTTTAAATGTCACTGTAAGCTGTATAGAAGTGTCTTGAAAAATCTAGTAAAATATTTTTTACTATTAACTGAACATGGCAAATATAAAATGAATCAGTTATTAGAAATGAGTTATTAAAACTGTTATGTTTAGAAATGTGTTTAAAAAAAATCTGCTCTCCGTTAAACAGAAATTGGGGGGAAAAATAAACAGGGGGCAAATAATTCTGACTTTAACTGTATGTATTATTTTTAGTTGTAAATTCATATTACAATAAAAAAAATGTTTCAAATAAAGGTATTGTATTAATTAAAATGTCTAAAAGAAGCTTGAGTGATATAACAAACTGCAATAGAAATAAAAAATGAAAGCAAAGTAGAAAGGGTGCCTTTCAGGACTTGGCTGGAATTGCTTAGGGCCCCAAAAACACTAAACCCACCCCTGTCAAGAAGCCTCTGTTTACAATAGAGCTGCAAAATGTATCATTTCAACATCGATATTGCAATGTGCGCATCTACAATAGTCACACATAGCAGGATATGCAATGTTGAGTTCATAAGTTATAGATTATAGTGGACCAGAGTTTCACCATGATGGTTTGAATGTTTTAATCTATGTACAGTTGAAGTCAGATATATTAACCCTTCTGTTAAATTTTAATTATTTTATATTTCTGTTAAATGAACAGAGGATTGTTTTCAACACATTTTTAAACCTAATAGTTTTGATAACACATTTCTAATAACTGGTTTTGCCATGATTACAGAACATAATAATTTACTAGATATTTTTCAAGATACTAGTATTCAGCTTAAAGTGACATTTAAAGGCTGAATTAGATTAACTATGTAAGTTGGGGGTAATTAGGCAAATCATTGTATAAAAATTATTAGTTCTGTACCCAATTAAAATAAAAACTGCTTATGGGGGCTTAAAATTAAAATGGTTTTAATACAATTTAAATCTGCTTTTTTTCTAGTCGAAATAAAACAAACAAGACTTTCTCCAGAAGAAAAAATATTAGCCACTAAAAGTTTTTCCGTCAGTCAACTGAAGACCCACCTCTCATTTATACAATTGGATAATATTAAAAAAAAATGATGCATGGCATTGGTGGCTCTTATGAAAAATATCTTGTGTATCAGACACTACTTACATTTTTTAAAAAAGGGCATCTTTCTCACTGCTAAATATGCATTGAGTGTGATGGGAGCATTGTTCCAGCATGCTTCCCTCAACGTGCTGCTGGCTATGGCTCTGAGCAGAGTGCAGGGGTCGATGGGGACTGAGGTCAGATGGGCCTGTATTTTCCACTGCTGCTGGAGGCCCGTCTGCCTTTCACTCTCTGCATTGATCCCTGAGCCCAGCTCTGTGTCCTGAACAGCATTTACTGTGAGTGCAGGACGTTTCAATTGAGCTGGCCGTCACATTTAGTCTCGCACGTGAGACTGTGAAGACATAGACATTGATCGAGTAATGCCTAATGCTTTTTTTTGGAAGTGAAACTAAAATGGTTCCAGAAATTTGCTTAATTAGCTAGGCAGAAAAAAACTGTTTTCATCAGTATAAAACGTAATACTTATTACAAGCAACTGCTCAATGTTACTATGACTTTAAATTGGTCATACTTTACAATAAGGTTATACAAATTAATTTATTAAGTAACATGAGCTAATAATGAACAACACTTGAACAACATTTATTATTATAGTATAGTAAATGTTGTATATAATACTAATAATAAATATTTACTTATTACATGGTTGTTTAATGCTTGATCAATTGTTTTGTACTTGATAATCTTGACTGAAATAAATATTATATATTTGGCTTAAAATACCCCCTTTTATGTAATTTCATGCTTTCCCATGTTAGTTTTTGCTTTAATCAAATCTATTTGTGTTCAGGTAACAGAACGAATTAAGACGAAACTACTAAACAGCTACTCAGATAGGTTGAGGAAATCGATTACAGCAACCTATTTAAGTTGACTAACTTTCAATTAACCTAAACTAATTGCTGCAATTGGTTGCCTAAAATCATTTGAGTCCTATATTGTTGTTTGGACTTAATTTAAGTTAACTAAACTCATAAATATTTAATAATTGAACTTAAAACGGGAAGGTTAATAATACTCAATGGGCTCTATTTTAACGTTTTAAGCACAAAGTCAAAACTGCATGGCGCAAAAGCATTAAGGATGAAAAATAAGCTCTGTGCTCAGGCGCATGGTCTAACAGGGTTGTACTTATTCTCATAATGAGTTATGGGTGTGTTTTGAGCATAATGTGCATTAAACCAAATCAGACTCTCATTAAACCAGACGCTCATCTCCCTTTAAGAGTCAGTTGTGTCACACCATAGCACATTTGCTATTTACAAGCTAGTTTACATCCAAACATACATCCCCATATGGTGATGCTTATGTCTCCAAAACCCGACAGGTGGACAAATCTAAACTTGTTTTTATTAAAACAAATATAAATGTGCAAATAATAACTAATACTGCTAATAATAATAACATTGTACAAATGCAAATTGTCATGAATAAACTGAAAAGGAGGCCTTTGTTTACCTTATTGCGCCAGGTGTATGATAGGCCCCAAAGTTTGACCATATCAACTCAAAATATATAAGTATATGACTCAATATGAATAAGTTTACAGTCCTCAAACCAATTGGTTTCAAAACCTAAACAATTTGCCGCAATCAGTTTCCTCCAATGGTTTGATTTAACTTAACTTATTAGGTTTAACAGTGTAATGCATTATTAAAATCCAAATGTTTGTTAACATTAATTATTTCTCTGTGAGTTAACACATTCTAGCAATAAACATTAGCTCCATAACTAACGTCAACAAAAAAATGAACAAAATACTGGGGTGTTCATTGTTTGATTTTATTGGTAAATACATTGGTAACACTTAAGGTCACAATTCATGCTATTAACTAACACCACTAGCTCAATAAACTACTAATTATCTGCTCATTGATAGTTAGTAAGGCAGTACTTGGGTTTAGATTTGGGTAGGATTAGTGATGCAGAATATGATCATGCTTTATAACTACTATTGAACAGTTAATATCTTAATAATAGGCAGGTAATAAGTAACAAGCCAGTAGTTAATAGCATGAATTGTGATCTAAATTAAAGTGTTAACAATAAATCTTTGTAAAAAGATTTTTTTCTATCAGTTGTTTACAGTACATTGACTTGCCTAATAATCTGTGTTATTTGTTGCAGATATCATGGTGGGAATGGGTTACTCACGGGAGGAGATCCATGAATCTCTAACCAGGATGAAGTACGATGAAATCACAGCGACGTACCTGCTGTTAGGCAGAAAGTCTACTGAGGTGAGATACTTGACATCTGCTTTACAGCTGTTTGGTTGTGCTGTGCAGTTGACGGCTAAAGGCTTTATTGTTTACAGTTGCAATCAGACAAATGTTTGACAAATTTTTATGTTAATATGACAATTTGATGTTTGTAGTAGTTTGTAAAATACATATACTGTCTACAAATATTGTTTTATAGAAATAAATCTGTACCAAAACAGTAATAGTGATTTACACGTAATAAATTTATATTTCATCACTAAAACTCCTGAAACAAGTAACTTAGTTTAACTTTTCAACATTTTTGTCTCTCTTTTTTAACGATCTATGTGCAAATCTAAACTGTATGGTGCAAAAGCATTAAGGTTTTGTCTGAATTCACTTTTGCTAGTTTAAGGACGTGGTTTGTACCACAGTGTATGGTCTAACAGGGTTGTGCTTATTCTCTTAATGAGTTATGGATGTGTTTTGAGCATAACTTGCATCAAACCAATCAGAGTCTCATCTCCCATTCCCTTTAAGAGTCAGTTGTGTTGCGCCATTGCGCATTTGCGATTTACATGGCGGACTTTGTAAGTAAAAAAAACGTAATGCTTCACTAGCGAGAACAGTTTAAAAGGCCATCTGCAGTGTGAGGATAAAGAATGAACCTCCTTCATTCAGCCTCTGTACTTTCTCTTTACTTTACTTTAACTCTTTACTCCTTTACTTTCATGGATAAGGAAACGGTGTTGTACGCACTCCACTGAGGACATCCATTAGCCAACAAATTTAATTTTGTTTGTTGAGCGCAAAGATTTGTATCAAAACTATTTCTAAATTCAGTTCTAATTTCCAGCAAACAAATAAATGAACAATAATAATGAAGTGTGGTCAAAAAAAACTGTTATAGTTATATAAAAATACACGCCCTATTATGCCACGCATGGTCCCAGACCAAACAGGTGGACAAATCTAAACTAGTTTTTATTAAAACAAATATAAATACGCATATAATAATAAATAATAATAATAATTGAAACATAATACAAATGCAAATTGTCATGAATAAACTGAAAAAAGTTTAACACACTTCCTTCCTTTTTCACAAAATGGCACAAAAGGATTTTGCTATTTAAACAACGTGGAGCAAAATGGGGAAAATTACGGATGCGCTGGTCTGAAAAAAATGCACCAAACACGTCTTGTGCCTTATTTTGCCGAGTGTATGATAAGGCCCTAAAATTGTTAGAGCAGAGATTTTTGAATGAATCAAATAAATAAACTAGCAAACAGAAAATGCGATAAATCACCAATGAGTGTTATAGACTAAATCATTATTCTCATCCAGCAGAATCGTTACGTTTTTACACTCCTTTTCTAAATGTAGCATTTGACAGACATCATGCAGACATACAAAGAGTCTGATTTTAGCAGAAATGATTATGGATTTGTGTGATTGCAGTTGGAGGTGAGTGATTCGAGCTCCAGCAGTAACCTCTCTTTGGCGAAGGCCAGACCCAACAGTGAACACAACAACGGCCAGTCACCGTCTCACCTCAAAGTCCAGAAGAACGCCTCAACCAACCAGAAACAGCGGCGCTACAGTGACCAAGGTAAATGCACTGCGTTTTTCACATAATGATATTTTGTAGAGCAGCTACAGAGCTAAAGTAGTCATTAGAATTAAAGTCACGAAACACCAAAACACATTTTTTGAGCTGTTGACAGTCGTATATGTGTCCCACACTGCTAAAAACACTATTAGGACACCTATATTTCACAAAAAAGTGTAAATTGGTTGTTTTTGCGTTATTTCAAGCAAATTCCTACTTCCGGATTGAAACGAATTTTTGAAGCTGCGTCACGGTCATGACATAATAGCGTGTATTCCAGCATACAGACTGGACGCCTGTGCCAGAGTGTGTCTTATTACGTCTTACAGTGTGATGCATTAATGCATGAGTAAGGCTTGATTCAAACCAATCAGCGCGCTCTATTGTGCAACTTCATTAATATTCATTACTGTCACAGTGTTTAGACGACAGAGACGCCACGTTGTGTTGGCAAAACAAGCGTGAAGTGTTGCTTTCATAGTTTGCTGCCGTTTAGTTTCATTTTTATTTTCTCTCTGTGAGAGCGCAGCTGGCGTCACGCGTGGATTGTGTACGCGATGCTCGACAACAATAACTTGCGTGTCTAAGGAGGATTATTGTTTACCTGAGAGCTGTTCTCATCAGCAAACACTGAGATCCGGATTCGCTTGTAGTCTCCTCTAAATAAAGACGCGGCTCTAGTTGCTGGTGATTGTCCTGTCTCTACAGATTTGGTAAGTGAGCAACCAGTGCTCTTTGTTTATTCAGTTTGTTCGTATCGAACTAAGTTAACTATTGCACCGAGTGTAAACATGTTAGCATCACAACCAAACTTTAACCTCGTGTAGGATTTTCACCGCATTTAGTGATCGGAATAACACACGTGGCTTTCTGACGCTACCTGCCGTGTGCATCTAAGTTTCCGGGAAATGCGGAGGGTTTTTTTCTCTCATTCGCCGTGCGGTATCAAACACTGCATGAAAAATACACGCTTAGAGCAGCTCCTCGAATCAAATATCTCGTTTGTCGCGAGGGGCATGAATGAATTCCCTGAATGAAAGAGCCAAACTGCAGTTAAAGTCCACCATTTATTAATTTGGCAAATAATTTGACTACAGATGTCCATGTAGGTTAAACACCATCACTTTCTCCTGTGTGTGTGTGTGTGTGTGTGTGTGTGTGTGTGTGTGTGTGTGTGTGTGTGTGTGTGTGTGTGTGTGTGTGTGTGTGTGTGTGTGTGTGTGTGTGTGTGTGTGTGTGTGTGTGTGTGTGTTTGTGTGTGTGTTTGTTTGTTTGTTTGTTTGTGTTTTGACTCTGAAACTCGCGCGTGCCCATATAGACACTCCCACACCATCTTACTTTAGTTCCTCCGACACTCCCCCCTAAACAGAGCTGGACACGCCTACTTTTCTGACTTTTTCCAAAGTAGAGGTGTGAAAACACCCTGCTGAAACGAGGGGGTTTCATGGCCCTTTAATAGTAGATGACTATTGAATAAGGGTTATGATAATATCTCGTTGCATGAGATCTCACGAGGTCTGATGTTTTTCACGTAATCTCTGCCAATAGTTAAACTATAGAGTAATGCATGATCACAATGGATTTGCTGTGTTTGGATGCTGATGTAGGTTGTCAGGTGAAAAGGGGTATTATTGCACCTCTGGCATCACAAAATCTCAGTATTTGATTTATTTATTTTTTTAATCTTGAACTTTGCTTCATCTACATACTATTACATCCCAATAAAAGTCAAACACCAGAAATACATCTAATAGAATCCAGTTTAAAGCTCGAAGAAAGTTGATTTCAGCGCGAGATGAACTGCTTCTCAATGCCTGGGAAAAAAAGATCTTGAGAGGATCTATGAACCAGTTTGTGGCCAAGGTGAATGACAGATAGGGAGTAATGCAGAAGTGGCAGACCTGTATGGTGATTTCAAGCCTGGTCACAGAAATAAAGAGGAACAGGTTAAAATGGCTAGGCCACTTAGACAGATTGCCTGAGCAGAGAGCAGTTAAGAAAGTGTACAAGCTTAAGCCGGAAGGAAGGAGACGTCCTGGAAGGCCACGGAACAGGTGGTTAGACGGTGTATAAGAAGATCTACGTTTCCCAGGAGTGCATGCTTTGAGAAGCAGTTGCATAGGGAAGGCTGGAGGGGAGTGGTTGAAGTGGCCATAGCCGAGCTGAAAGAACACAAGTTGATTCCGAAATGCACCTACTTTTTTTGGATTTTTAATTTTTGGGTGAATTATCCCTTTAAAAATCATTGAACAGAACTGAATTAACATTGAACTGAAATCTAAATTAATAACACTATTGTATTTTTAGAGCTAAAATTAATTGATTTCATAATTGATTCACTTTTCACAGTAAGTAAATTGAAGGGATTCAACATTGAACTGAATAAAGACACTGCTGTCTTTTGAGAGAAATGCCTGTATCATATTTGATGACATTTGTGTCATTGATTTGGCAGCGTTGGACAGTGAAAGCGTTTCACCGTATTTATGAATGAGTCTTTCAAAAGCACCAGCAGGTCCTTAAAATGTTAATGAAAGTATTTAAGAATCAATTAATGTAATAAAATAGTCAGAATTCCCTCAAATGGTAGTGTTGTCGTGCACAATATTGGAATTTCTCAAATTTATGCAACATCATAAATTTCAAATATAGATTTTTGATATCATTTTTCGATAACATAACGGAAATATTGCCACAACATTATGGAGAACATATGAACTGTATCTAAGAAAGAATATATTGCACATTTCAATTACAAATTTATGTAATATTTACAATCATAAATGCAGCAAGGCAAAATACAAATAATGATTTTACTTTTGATATGAAGAGTGAAATTGGGAAGCAGTCTAGTCCCTGCTCTTGTATTGTACTGTTTATTACCATGACACTGCCTTTAAAACAATCAGTATTGCATACCTGTCAATTTTTGCTTGGCTTCTCCCATATTTTACCATGTTATCCCACTTTCATCCTGTTTAAGAATTTTTCCTTATTTCTCATATTTTTAATCTTTCTATAAGCTTTGGTCTTATTTAGGCTTGAAAGCGCATTGAAATTAATATTAAAATGGCCGCATTCACTTGCTTTCAATTATTGCTATATGTCGATCATCGGACTTCCTATGCCAGCTCTGAATCCTGAATTTTTACAACCCAATTTTGACTGGTCTGCACTACTGTATAACATGCTATATTAATAAAGATGACTTGACCTAAGGTTTTTATGAGGTGTTTGTCCTTCTAATCTCTATCCCTCTCCATCCACAGCTGGTCCCACCATTCCCTCGGTGGGTTACCCTAAGAGAAGTCAGACCACTTCAGCAGAAAGTGAGCATAAAGAGGAGGGCAGTGCTCAGGCACGCAAGTCCAGCTCATCTGGCAGCCGTGGGATGGCTCCAGCGAGCCCCATGCTGGGCAACGCCAACAACCCCAACAAGGCCGACATTCCTGACCGCAAAAAGAGCGCCGGTGCCCCTGGGGTGAGTTACTGCCACCAAACAGCTTTCCAGAAATTATTGAAGAGAGGTTGAAGCAATGGGGTTATAGTTAAAAGGATATTCATTCCAATTTTTTTTTACTAAAATTAAGTATGTAAATATTTACTCATCATTATTCACAATCAAGATACTTGTTTTTATTGAAAATTAATTGCCACGAAAGTAGTCTAAGATCCTGACATGGCATGGAAAAAAAAAAATAATACATTATATATATATATATAAGTAATATAAATTTAATAGTTTTAATAACTCATTTCAAATAACTGATTTATTTTATCTTTGACATGATGACAGTAAATAGTATTTTTCAAGACACTTCTATACAGCTTAAATTGACATTTAAAGGCTAAACTAGGTTAATTAGGATAACTAGGCAGGTTGATGTAATTAGGCAAATTATTTTATAACGATGGTTTGTTCTGTAGACTATAGGAAACTACAGCTTAAAGGGGCTAATAGTTTTGGCCTTAAATTGTTTTTAAAAAAAACTAAAACTGCTTTTATTCTAGCTGAAATAAAACAAATAAGACTTTCTACAGAAGAAAAAATATTATCAGACATACTGTGAAAAATTATTTGCTCTGTTAAACATCATTTTGGAAATAAGAAATATAATATTATATAAATATAATTAGAAATAAGGGCTTATAATTCTGACTTAAACCATATATATATATACTATTACATGTCACCCTCAAGTGGTTTCAAACATTTGTGAGTTGAAAATTGGAAACCAATTGAAAGAGTAGGAAGTCAATGAAGTCAAGCCATGAAAAACGTTTTGTTACTTAAATAAACCTTTAAACAAATGTAATTAAATTAAGTAGGAAAAACATAAAATAAGAAACATATCAAGTGCACTGGCCTTTAAAGCCAGATGTAATATAAGCTTCATCTATAATCATAGTTTGTTAAAATGCAAAAATGTAATTAAATAAGAACAACATCAAATAAAACAAAATAAGAAAAACGACAAATAAAAACGGAAAACATAAAAGAAAAAAAGAAAAACTTAAAATGACTTCCACAGTAGGAAAACTAAATCATTTGAAAGTCAATGGCTAGAAGTCAAGCCATGAAAACAATGTTATTTAAAATTAAATAATAATAAAGTAAGATTTCACCATCTTAAGGGTATTTTAGCTCCAAAGGCAACATTTCTGATGTTAACTTACTTTTACTTGCTTATCAAAATGAGTATAACTGAAATGAAGGTTAATTTAAAACCAATGAAACAAATAATAAAATGAGTGCATAAATCAAAACATAAACATTACAACTAATTCAAAAGACCCATTGATTACAATAGCGTTGTGCTTTGCTACTTTTGATTCAAAAGTCTTTAAAAATGAGTAAATGTGATAATGTGTTAATGATTGTAATGCGGTTCAAACGCTGGTTTTAATGTCCTTGAACACCAAATTAAACTTTTCCATTATATTTTCATTCATTGCATGACCAATTAAGACACTACAATGTGTTTCTACAGAACAATTCAGTGTCCAGCGGCATGACCAGGAGAAACACGTATGTGTGTAGTGAGAGAAACGCAACCGACCGGCACTCCGTCATCCAGAACGGCAAAGAGAACAGGTGAGTCCCCTCACTTCAGGCCAAAGGCTGTAAATCTGCCTTTTACTTTTGAACATCATCACTGATTTACAGGGGAAGAAACTTACTACAAGGAGCAACGTTTCATCCTCGAATGAGAAACTGTTCAGAAGTTTGTGGAGCTTTGTTTTATTAAATCAAGTAATTTAAATTAAGCCCAAAGTGTGAGACCCCCCCTTTTATGCCCTGTTTATACCTGGTATTACGATGCATATTTGTTGATGGAGTCAGAAGTGTATGATGCTAAATAAATACATATGTAAACAAGATCAAAAATATTTCTGACCACTTTAGAAGTTGTCAAAAACAACACTATAAAACTACATCAGTGTGAAACGTTACAGGATGTGCTGTTGAAACGCCCTAGGATTTTAAGCCAGATGGTATTTAAACTTCATCTATAATCATAGTTTTTGTTTAAATGCAAAAATTGTACATGTATACAGTTGATGTCAGAATTATTAGCCCCCTTTGTTTATTTTCCCCCAATTTCTGTTAAACGGAAAGAAGATCTCTTCAACACATTTCTAAGCATAATAGCTTTAATAACTAATTTGCCACGATGACAGTACAAAATATTTGTCTAGATATTTTTTAAAGAGCCCATATTATACATGAAATAGGGTCATATCTTGGTTGTAAGGGACTCCAACAACAGTTTAATATGCATGCAAGTTCAAAAAACACTTTCGTGGTCTTATAATCTGCATTTATTTTTACCTAATTATCCCAGCGACTCCTGTATGAATCGTTCAGGGATTCATTTGTTCCCAAACCCCTCCTTAGCGCGAAGCTAATCTGCGCTGATTGGACCAATGACAGTCTGTTGCGATTGGTCGACTGCCTTCAGTCAGAGAGTGAAATGGCAAACAGCTAATCAGCAATATAAAAGTAATCACAGTTCATACACGCTCGATAGTGTAGGCGTGGATTTTAGCTGCTAGTGGGTCAATGTAAATACAGACGATGGACTTGAAAATTCAGGCGACTGACTATTTTATTGAGCAAAAACTCCAAAAACAGTTGAGGAGATCTCCTAGCTTCTCACTCTGCTCTTTTCACAGACACACACACACACACACGCACTTAACCCTGCTCTGGACGACAACGCGCGCGCGCACACACACACACAAACACACACAACTCCGGAGAACAGCGCGCGCACACGCACACACAGACACACACACTACTCCTCGTCCACGGAGCTCCGTTAACAAAGCATCACGCGTCGCGTTTTTAACGTGACTTTGCACGCGATAAGAGAATATAGCCAGATAACCTGATACAGTACACGCGGTTACAATTAACAAATCACAACTAAATACATCTGCAAGCTCGAGTCAATGAGGCAACTTTAATCGCACGTACTTACACTTGAGAAATGGAGGAAGAAAAATCCATCCTGACGTCCATCAGTAAGTTACTCTTTACTGATCCTTCCTTTAACAAACGCTGATGAAGTATACTTTGTAGCATGTAGTTTCCAGAAGTTTCCAGTAGTTTCCAACTGCTTGGCTATAATGCTGAGGTTTCATCTTTGGGTAGAGACTCAATATATCCATCTGCAGTGTGACTTCAATCGACTGGCATGTTTGTGTGTGTGTGTGTGTGTGTGGGTGTGTGTGTATGTGTGTGTGTCTGGGTTTCTGCGCCAGAGGGCGGGGCCTCAGGTTTGAAATCTCCCGGGTTTGCGCGTGCACGTGAATAACTTGGTTTCGTTCGTACGTCATGGCGAAACACCTAATGAATCGGTATCAAGTCGTATCATAATCGGTATCATAGTGCTTCAACTCGTTTGAAGCACTATGAGTCGACTCTTTTATAGATGAATCAACAGTTTTAAACACTGTACACTAACAGATTTAAGCCTTAGCTGGATACTTCACTTCACTTACTGCTGTGTTACACACTACATGGAGGGGAATTTTCAAAAACCCATAATATGGGCTCTTTAAGATATTAGTATTCAGTTTGGCTAATAATTGTGACTTCAACTGTATGTACCATATCTGATCCAAACTACTGCTGTGTATTTGCTCGCCTGCCGTTGGCCAGCCTGAGTGAAATGTCAGGATGTGTCAGCACAAGTCCGACAGCGTACGCCGTGGCTCTGGCCAGTTCATCAGCCTCAGTCCGTCTGCGCCACCAAAAGGCCGCATCCCTGTCAGCCTCAGGACACACCTGCCGCGCCACCCTGCCAACCTCAGACGCCAGCGCAGACCTCTTCAGGCCCAAGTAAACCCCAGTTCAGCGTCTGTCTCTAATCTTAGTGTGTCTCTTCCATCGCCCAATTACTCCTGTCTAACGCCCTCTGACCTCCGCTGTCTGCATCTCTGGTTTCCCAACATCCTCGGTTCTTCCCTATAGATGTTACCGGAGGACCGTCGAGGAGTTTACCATTCCTAAGGAGTTCCCGCATCCTCCCATTCAAATCGCTAACTAACTTCCTCGTATCAAACCCACTAATATAGGATTTAGACTTCATTAGCCTAGTGATTGACTACTAGCGGATGAACTGTTTAGATGTTTTGTTGTGTTGGTTTGATTCATATTTTAGGGCGTGTAGGATTACATTATGGTTATGTCAGGATTGTGTTTGTAATTATTGTTTGAAGTACAATAAGTGACTTCAATATGTAACAAGTAACCAGTGGTGTAAAATAACTAATTACAAATACTCAAATGACTGTAGTTTTTGAGTAGTTTTTCTCAGGAATTGGAATTTACTTAGTAGTTTTATAAATGTGTACTTTTACTCTCACTTGAGTACATTTTTAGTGCTATATTGGTACTTTTACTCCTACTTTCCTTCAACTTGCAGTCACTACTTAATTTTTTAAAAATCTGTCCTGTGATTCCTGTCCAGTCAAATCACACAGAAGGTAAATCACATCATAATGAACTACCTCAAGACATGATGATTTATAATTGCAGCAAATTGTTTGGAAGCATTAAAAGTGTCCCAAGAAGACGCAAGGACCCAGAGACTGTTTACATGCATGTCACTTATGAGAAGATTACAGATGTTTACTGTATGATGACCGAAATGGCCGTAAACACCCAGCAGGCACAAGACGTCAACATGACGTCAGATTGACGTTGTACTCTAACGTCATTGGGACGTTGCATTTTGTTTGAAAATGAAAATCGGGTTGACGGGTCAGAACTCAACGTCAGGCCAACCTAAATGTCCAACCTGAAACCAACCAAATATCAACGTCTAATGATGTTACAGCTTGACCACTATGACGTCAATCAGACGTTGGATTTCGAATGCCATATCTGACGAATAAATGTCAGTATCTGACGTCAATATAACGCTGGTTTAAGATGTTGGCTTGACGTTGGATTTTGATCACTTTCTAACAATCTAAAATTGACCAATTATCAACGTCATTTGACATCCTTATTGGACATCAAAATAATGTTGTCCTTACACACTGACAACTAGACATAAAAATTTTGGTCACCTGTTGTCACAACCTTAGTCTAACCTAATATTAAAGCTTTATGACGTTGTGTGCCTGCTGGACAATAACTAAATGCACTACAGAATGTTACGTTTACACACATCCACAAATTACATGCAAATGCATCAGCTTTTTACAGAGTAATACTCACTGCTCTTGAGTACTTTGGAAAGGGCTACTTTTTACTCATACTTTGAGTAATATTTACAACAGATACTTTTACTCTACTTGCACTACATTTTTAGGCAAATAATGGTGCTTTTACTTGAGTATGATTTTTTTTTAGTACTCTTTCCACCACTGCAAGTAAAAAAAAAAAAAAAGTAACAGTAACAAAATGTTACTGTAATGTTAAATGGTAAAATGTAAAGTTATTTTAATTGACTGGAAAATTCATGGCCTAATTACATACTGATCAAGTATTTATCTTATAGATTTTTACTTTTATTTTTGTTTTGTTTTTTAGCAATTGTTTATCTTGTGATTTTTTTTTTTTTATTTTTTTTTTTACTATTATTATTTTATTTATTAATTAATTAATTTATTTTTTAATATAACTTTAAAAATATATATATATATATTTACATTTTAGTACCTCATCTGATTTTCACCTAATATTTGTACTAAATTTTAGTGTGAATTTAGTTTCATTTATATGGTCTGTTATATTATTTGTGAATATTTTGGTTTTACTTTATTATTTTTATTGTATTTCAGCTTTATTTCCATTTAAAAAAAATATTAGTTTTAGTCATTCATTTCTCTATTTAGATTTTAGTCCATCAACTTATTTTTCATCTAATATTTGTTTTTAGTTTCAGCGTGACTTAAGTTTTATTTATATGGTATGTTATACTAATTATATTTAGATTTCCCTTTTTTATTTACATTGTGTTTCAGTTTTATTTTGATTACAAAAATAGATTAGATTTAGTCATACATTACTCTATTTAGATTCGAGTCCATCAACTTATTTTTTATCTAAAATTTGTTTTTAATTTCAGTGTGATGGTAGTTTTATGTATATGCTCTGTTATATTATTTATAAATATTTAGATTTGTCTTTTTATTTATTTTGTATTTCAGCTTTATTTCGGTCACCAAAAATAAACTAGGTTTAGTCATACATTACGGCATCATTTACCCAATAGTTTAGTTTTTTAGTCACACTGTTAACAATTCTTGTAAATTACAGAGTATTTACTGTAATATGAACTGTCGGACAGATATGCAGTATGTTAATGTATTTTAAAGTTGTACTGTGAAAATATACAGTGTAGATAAATAATACTTAAAATACATATACATCAACATTAATACAGTATTTAAGCTGTAAATGATTTATAGTAAGTTACTGGCAAACAGCTTCTACAGGAAATTGTTAACAGTGCAGGTTGTGACTTTACCCTCTTCTCTGTTTAGTACGAGCACGGCTCAGACGAGTCAGCGAAACCCTGGTTCCTCCACCCACAGCATTAGCAGTGCGACTCCACCAGACCGCCTGCGTTTCCCTAGAGGAACTCTGAGCCGCAGCACATTCCATGGAGGACAACTGAGAGAGAGACGCACCGCCACATACAATGGACCTCCAGCTTCTCCAACATTATCACACGACGCCACGCCACTGTCACAGTCCCGGAGCCGTGGATCAACAAACCTTTTCACCAAGCTCACATCCAAACTCACACGCAGGTAAAACACACACTTAAACCCTCATTACAGCAGCTATCCCCAAGGAAATCTATTTTCAGAAAAGGAAGGGAAAGTGTTTATTTGCTAGAGCTATGGGGAAAATCATTCCAGAAATTAATTCTGCATTGATTCTGAGATTTTCAAAATGCATCGCTATTCTCTCATGAATCGATTTTGAGCTTGGTTTTTAACAGCAGATGACGCTGTACGCTTTACAAATCACCATGAGCTGTTCAAAACTAGACTAGATCTCCATCTGCTGTTCAAACCCAGCCTAGAGCGCCCACTGCTGTTCAAAACTAGCCTAGAGCTACATCTGCTGTTCAGACCTAGCCTAGAGCGCCCTCTGCTGTTCAAACCTAGCCTAGAGCTACATCTGCTGTTCAAACCTAGCCTAGAGCGCCCTCTGCTGTTCAAACCTAGCCTAGAGCTACATCTGCTGTTCAAACCTAGCCTAGAGCGCCCTCTGCTGTTCAAACCTAGCCTAGAGCTACATCTGCTGTTCAAACCTAGCTTAGAGCGCCCTCTGCTGTTCAAACCTAGCCTAGAGCGCCCTCTGCTGTTCAAACCTAGCCTAGAGCGCCCTCTGCTGTTCAAACCTAGCCTAGAGCGCCCTCTGCTGTTTAAACCTAGCCTAGATCGCCCTCTGCTGTTCAAACCTAGCCTAGAGTTACATCTACTGTTCAAACCTAGCCTAGAGCGGCCTCTGCTGTTCAAACCTAGCCTAGAGTTCAACAGCTGTTCAAAGTCTGTCTAATTCGCTGTCTGCTGTTCAAAATTAACCTAGAGCGCCATCTGCTGTTCAAAACTAACCTAGAGCGCCATCTGCTGTTCAATAACCTTGAGCGCCATCTGCTGTTCAATAGCCTTGAGCACCATCTGCTGTTCAATAGCCTAGAGCTCAATCTGCTGTTCAAAATTAGCCTAGAGTACCATTTGCTTTTAAAAATTAGCCTAGAGCACCATTTGCTTTTAAAAATTAGCCTAGAGCACAGTCTGCTGTTCAAAACTCGCTTAAATTGCCATCTGCCATTCAAAACTAGCCTAGAGCGCCATCTGCTGTTTAAAATCTGTCTAATTTGCTGTCTGCTGTTCAAAACTAGCCTAAACCGCAGTCTGCTGTTTAGAGCTAGCCTAGAGCTCCATTGGCTGTTCAAAACTAACCTAGAGCGCCGTCTACTGTTCAAAACTAGCCTCAAACGCCATCTGCTGTTAAAAACTAGCCTAGATCATCGTCTGTTGTTCAAAACAAGCCTAGAGTGCCTTCTGCTGCTAAAAACTAGCCTAGAGCATCATCTGCTGTTCTAAACTAAGCTCTGAATCGATTCCAGAGAGAATAACGTTGCATTTAGAAAATATCAGGAACATTTTTTTTCACAGTCCTTTATTATTATACAAGTATTAGTGTTGTGCTTGGCATGAAAAAAAATAGTTCTGGAAAAGTAGGGGGGTGTTTTGGTAAAATGCAACCTAAATCAAGAATTCGAGACATTTAAAAAAATCTCTCTAACCTGTATTAAATTGACGAAAGTACAAAAACAAGATTTACACTGACCAAATAAATTGGTTTATTTTGTTGTTTATACCAAATAAATTGACTGTTTAAAAAACTAAATTTAAAACAAAAATGAGGATATCTGGCGTTTTTTTTTTTTTTTTTTTTTTTTAACTTAAAAAAAAAAGCTTTTTTGCCTCACTCCCAACTTTTTTTGGGAGTGTGTTGACCCCATCAAACTTGAAATGTGTTTATATTTTAGGTTGTCAGTGAAAACCCTGTGAATCTTTTTATGTGTACCGTTTAATAAATAAAATAATATTTAAAGAGATTTTACAAATCTCAGATTCTTGATTTTATTGAATTCACAAAACCTCTAGAATTTTCCAGAATCAGGGTTGTATTTACAGATGAAGTCAAAATTACTAGCCCTTCTGTGAAATTTGTTTTCTTTTTTTAAATATATCTCAAATTAATATTTCCTATAATATATTTTTTTACATTTTTTTTTTCAAACAATATTATGGTCAATATTATTAGCCCCTTTAAAAACTTTGTTTTGATAGTCTACAGAACAAACCACTATCATCCAATAACTTTCCTATACCCTCAGTTGTCTAGTTAACATAACCTAGTTAAGCCTTTAAATGTCACTTTAAGCTGAATACTAGTATCGTGAAAAATATCCAGTCAAATATTATTTACTGTCATCATGGCAAAGATAAAATAAATCAGTTATTAGAAATGAGTTATTAAAACTATTATGTTTAATAATGTGTTCTCTCCATTATGCAACAATTGGTAAATATTTTTAGAAGAATTAAAATTTCACAGAAGGGCTAACAATTTCAACTTTACGACAACATCAGATGTTATCAGTGACATGAATTAATTGTTTTCTGACTTTGCATCTGCTCTGGATGTTGAGCCATGCCTCTGTTTTCTGTTTCTTTTGTAGAAATATGTCATTCAGGTTTTCTAAAAGGTAGGACCCTCGACGGGCTGTGTGCAGTTATCTAGCACCCAAATATGCCATTTAACTCTTAACCCTAGTGTGGAGAGGTTTCAGATTAATGGCTTGTCACTCACCTTTGAAACACACACAACTGCTGTCTCTTTATCGCAGTGCGACTGAGCATGCCTGCTGGTTTCTGATGAGCAGACATTACTAATCACACATGCATGTCCCGTCACAGGTTACAGCTGAGCACTGTAGATTCATTAGTTTCTTACAGCTTTAAACATTAGAGCCTTATTTCTCATTCACGTCTTCTATCTGTGCTGAAGAGTGTGTGTGTGTATTTTAATCAATAGTTAATAAACTGCAGCTTACAGTAGTGGCATCAATAGTTCAATGAAGGATCCAAACCACTGGATACAAGTCATGTTTTTGTCCTCTCTGTGACAATATGCTACTTAATCTCACATTTCACAGTGAAATCAGTTATATATTGGACTGATATGGTTTGCAGTCTGACATATTTTTATAACTATTAAGCATGTTTTCCTCCACATTTCTCTTTTTTTTAGGTTTTTTTTTTGTTTTTTGTTTTTTTTTGTTTTTTGTTTTTATAATTTTTGATTAATAAATACAACCTCAAATCAGAAAAAGTTGGGACAGTATTTAAATATGGCCTGCCTGCAGTCCCGACCTGTCTGTTTTCACATCTTTAGTTTGACAAAAGTCAGGAAAGTAGGTATGGGTGTGAACCTACACTGGTCTCACGGTTTGGTTTGGTTTGGTTACGATTATCATGCCATCGATTCGGTTCAATTTGGTATCATGGTGCATTGCTTTCCCTACATAATTAGATTTTTTCTTCAAAACACAAGATTTCTTTTTTTATTAAAATTATATATATATATATATATATATATATATATATATATTATTTAATATTAATATGTCACTACTTTCTTTTTTATTTGCGTTTCCAAACTTTCCCAACTTTTTCTGATTTAGGGTTGTATAAAATACATTTCAATTGTAAGATAATATTCTGATGTAATTTAATTAGTTAAATAATTACAAATACTTATTATATATGAAGAGTTCAGATGCCAAAACCTTTAAGTTTCGTCAGAAATTGTACTCTAAAATTTGCGTTTTTCTCAGCCTTGTTTGTTTATGTTCAGTTATTTCACTTTAAAGGTATTGAAAATAACCTATTATTTGCACTAAGGGTAAAATTACTGAATATATACACACAACAGCCTAAGAAAATGCTACTTTTAGATGAAAATTTCAGACGGTTTTTGCATCTAAACTCTTCATATATATTTAATATATTTATATTCAGCCTCAACACATTAAATTTTTCATTTAATGTTTTCTTTCTAAGTGATAAAACTTTTCTGTATTAGAATGTATGTTTGGCAGAACAATATGCTTAATTTGTCATAATATTGTGCTATAATTACCAATGGTCCCATATTTATTTATTTACTTATTTATTTTCTGTTCATTTTAGTGTGAAATATAGCATGGGCCTGCTCCTTGTGAGATTTACTGTATATCCATCAAAAAGTCGTAGAGGAAATCAGTAAATCTCCTGCGATTTGTGTGTAATTCAGGCCACCCTACTGGGCTCTTAATTTAGCAGCTGACAGATGTGGCGATTGAGGGTTCTTTACAGGATTTCTGGAGTTAAGGTACCATGATTGCCTTTTGACAAAGCACCCTTTCCCATTTCAGCCCTCCTGCTCCAGAATCCACCTCTAGAAGTAGCGTTTGCCCAGGATTTTCTGATTCCAGCTCCTCCTTTCTGACCCAGGCGTTATTGTTCCTACAGATGGCAATCCCAGCGCTTTTATTCCCGCTAGTGCTGTTATGACATCAGCATATTACAGTCTGCTTTTCTATGCTTTTTGAACTTTGTCATCCAGAAGTTTGTTTGATTACACTTTATAGTGCTCCTGTTGTGATATATTAGAGTCCTAGTTTTTTTAACTTCAAATATGCCTTTAAACGTGAAAGAGAAATTTGACATTAGCTGACTGAAAACAAATTATTAAATATAAATAATATCATATGTAGGGATGTCCCGATCAGATTTCAGAGAGTCATTTGGTTTCAGTATCTGCTGATACCGAAACCCGATCCAATACTTCTATAATACGTAAAGAGTAAGCAACAGATCCAGGTTGTTCCTTATTTAATTCACCTTATTTTATAAACAAACAGAGCACATCTGTGTGGTAGCTTGAACAATCAAGCAATAAATAACATACATAATTCACTTTTGGACATTAGTGCAACAGTAAATAAACAAAATCACCTCAACTCAAAGCACCCAGCAGGCAATTTCAAGTTTAAATATCTCACAGTTTGCTTTGGCAATGTTGTCATCATCAACTTTATAATACCTCCAGACCGCAGACATACTCACGCTTTCCGATTCAAGCTGCTTTTGTGTTCTATTTGCCGGCATTTAACCAATAGAATATATATTCGAGGAGGTAACGTGCGATTCCGATTTAGTCTGAAACCACATGATCGGGCCTAATTTCCAATCACATGATCGGATCTGGACATCCCTAATAATATTAACAGATTATTATCAAAATTAACTCATTTGAAAAAAAAATCTATTTCTATTTCTGTTCTTTTTTGGGCCATTTCAACCCTTTATTACACACTGCATGAAAGATTTAAAATGGAAATAAAAAACATAATAGGAGCGCCTTAGTGAAAACATTCTTTTCTTTGTCATTAATTTGAGAATTTGTGGTTTATTTTATTTGGAGTATGTCCATGATGGGAGGTTTTTAAAGTTTTTTTTACTCCACAGATGCCATCAGGAGATCTTAAGTTGCATTTAACTTATCATATTGCTTACAGAATTGTGGAGTGCAGCAGGGAAAAACCGTCACACTGATGTTGATCGTTGTGGATGACATTCCTCTGTACTTTTGACCCATAAGAGCACTTCTGCACACCGTCCCGTACCGTCCTCTGACTGCTCTCTGCCCACTGTGCATGCCCTCTCCTAATCCCTCTTTCAACTCTGTTCTGTACAGTGGATGAGGAATGGCCGCTTATAGCTGGATAGCATTAATGTCATGTAAAGAGGAGAGAATTAGATGTGTCGCACAGTGTTGTAAGAAACGGTGCATGTTATATTTATCAGATGGCTATTTAGAAACAGCCTATTTATGACTGAGAACATCAGAAAATTATTTATTTCTTGCATATCGAAACCAATGTATCAGACACCTGTCAAAAGTTTGGGATCAGTATGATTTTTATAGTTTGCAACTTTAGTTATAACGAAATACTAAGAAAATAAATAAGAAAAAAATATGTGGTGTTTATTTTAATATGCAATAAACCTTGTAATAATGGAAAATATGAAAGTTTAAAATAATTTTATTTCTATGTGATTACATTCTCAAATGTAGTTTATTCCTGTAATTCAGAATTCTCAGCATCATTTTGCCTGTGTTTAGTGTCTCCTGATACTTGAGAAATTGCTCAAGAAACTTTTATTTTTATTTTTACCCACAACTTGTTATTATAATAAAAAGTGTAAAAATACAGTGATTATTTGAAGTGCTGTCAAAAAAATAACTTTTTGATTTAACAAATTTAATAATCTTTGATTAATTTAGTACAAAATTTTAAAGTTTTATTATCTAATTTCTATGTGAGACCAAACATTTGAATTTTAGTGCATATATGTTATTGAATTTAGCTGAAATATTATTATTTTTTTTATTATTGTTATTATTATTATTGTTATTATTATTATTGTTATTATTGTTATTATTATTATTGTTGTTATTATTATTATTATTATTATTAGTTTGTTTTGTTTTTCAATTGAACCACATGGTTTGGAGTAAGTTTTGCCAGTGAGCGCTTTCAGCATCTTTCCAGTGTTATGTCAATAGTGTTGAATTACTATGTTATTTTTTTATTAACAGATCAAAAATTGAGGTTTTCATCTTTAGATTTTCATCTGAAAGTTGCAGGAATATTTGGTGTGTGTGGTTTTGCCATTTTTAAATAGTCTATATCAGAGGTGCCCAAACATTTTCTTATAAAGGGCTAAAAACCAAGCTTGATTGAGGGATATGGGATCATATTACGTTAAATTTGCCAAGGGTAGGGCCAGACAGAATCTGCGGACATTTTTTGCTATTTGTGCGCATAATATTGTAAAAAATCTGCGGATTGATGCAGAATGATTTTGAGTGTATCATAACTAAAAGCTTAATATGTTAAATTGAAAAATTATACATTTTTAACTTTTATTAAATGTTTACTATGCAAATCCTTTTAGATCCATTTATTTGGTAAACAAAGCAAGTCTCTTATATAATATATCTACTATATAGCTACTAAAGGACAGAAATTATGACTTTACAAACTGTATTGTATGTAAATCATATCAATGTTTTCATATTAGTCAGTAATATTACTGAAACTAATTTAAAAACTGAATATTAGGGATGTCTCCCTCAAGTCTGACTCATTTAATTTTGAGTATCTGCCCATACCGAAACCCGATCCAATACTTCTGTAATACATAAAAAATCTGTGGATTTCTGCACACAGATTCCGTGTGGGCCTAGCCATGAGTAATTTATTCTCAAATGTTTAAAGATAACTAGAAAATATTGCTTTAAATCAAATTAACGAATGCAGTATAATTCTTTACATTTTATAATGAACGTATTACAGTAAAACATAAACAATCACATTCATAACATAATGGAGTTCACTGCTGAAAACACTGGTTGACCTGCGCCATCCTGTGCCTTTATTTGCTTGCCGATGTCTTGTGCATTGTCCTCAGTGTCAAGTGACAGTTTTTACACTTTAAAAGTCTGATTCATTTACAATATTTCATTCATCTGTTTAATTTTAGTTGTTTTTTGAGCTCAGCAATAAAATAAATGAATAAAAGGTTAAGTTAAATTCGAAATGACGATCTCTGTCAAAGGCATTTGCCACAACCACCTTCCCTACATTCTCCCTTTCTTTTCAGATGGGATGGTGGGCCAAATCAAAGGTTACCCTGGGCCAACTTTGTCTCGCGGGTCCTACTTTGAACATCTTTGGTCTATATAAGAAGTTTACTATTTTTATTTTTTTAGATTTTATTTATTTTTTTATTTTATGTTTTACAATTAACCTGAAAGAAATATATATATTTTTTTTTATTTAATTAGTTAAATAATTCTAATAATTTTTAGTTTTTTTAACTAAATAAAAAGTATTATTTGTTATAAATAAATAGCACAATTTATTGCAAATTTTAAAAAAAAGGAAAATTATTTTTAGTCAGCATTTAATTTGTTATAAACATCAGCTGTATGCTTTTAGTTTCAGCTATCATAACCCATTCCTAATCTCATCTCACTGAAATATTAATTACTATGCTAAAAAGGAAAATAATTAGCATTAAATATTAATTATTAGCAATATTAACTTCGCTGTCTAATTTCTGCCCGCCTTGAAGACTGCTTGAGTCAAACTGGCCCAGCTTACCCCGCTCTGCCCCACATAATTTTCTCTTTTAAGCAAACGCTCATCTTTTATTCATTATGAGAAACCCTTGTCTTTCTTTGCAGACAGAATGAGCTCAGTTTATGTCCTCCGTACTGAATCTATTTAGGACAAGAAGTGAAATCATAGGCTACAGGAAGTCAATCCATGTCCAATCTCTCCACACAGGTCATCTTGAAGTGCATGTCTAATATTCCTCTCCTTTCGCTTACACAGGAAATGATATCCGTCTTTGATATTCTTTCCAGCTTCTTGGTTCAACTATTGTTGTCTTATCTGTCTTTCCTTGATCAGCAAGTCTCAGATTTCCTTGCCTCTAAACTACTTTTCTTCTTTTTCACCCTGGTGTTTAAAGAGTGCCGGCAGAATGCGATAGAAATGGGAGATATGACGACTCAAGGTGAGAACGGGACATCTGCTTTTTACACTTTTGACTTTTCAGTCATCTTTTCTTTGCCTTTTATTCCAGTTTTAGGCCTGATGTTATTCACTAGACTCTATTCAGCATGATTGCTCGATAATTCATCATTAGCCAAAGATGTGTGTCCAATGAAGCAGAAATATCTATTCTGTGAATGAAGATTAAACCGGTAGATCACCCAAAATAAATGGACATTTCCTCACTATTTAATCACACTCAAGTGGTTCCAAACTTTGAGTTTCTTTCTTCTGTTGAACACAAATGAAGATGTGTTGAAGAATGTTGGAGGGGAAAATGACATTGACATCATATTGTAGGAATAAAACATACTATTGAATGTCAGTTTTAACATTCTTCAGAATATCTTCCTTTGTGAAGAAAGAAACTCCAGCAAATGAAGGAGTGAATGATGACAGAATGTTCCTTTTTTGGGGTGAACTATCCCAGATCCATATTAAAGGCAGCCATTTGTTCTGCTCTGACTCCTTGTGGCAGGAATAAGAAACTACAACTTAATCGTATTATATTCAGTGCTGGGCAAAGATTTATCATGATTTCATCACATGCAAAATAAAACTTTGTTCTTATATTATATTATATTATATTATATTATATTATATTATATTATATTATATTATATTATATTATATTGTTGTGTTATGTTATTTTATTATTATTATATTATGTAATATTATGTTATTATATTATGTTATATTATATGATATTATATTATATTATATTATATTATATTATATTGTATTAAATTGTTGTGTTATGTTATGTTATTTTATTATTATATTATGTTATTATATTATATTATACTATGTTATATAATATTATATTGTATTATATTATATTATACTGTTGTGTTGTGTTATGTTATTTTATTATATTATTATATTATGAAATATTATGTTATTATATTATGTTATATTATGTTATATTATGATATTATATTGTATTATATTATATTGTATTATATTATATTATATTGTATTATATTATATTATATTATGATAATATATTATTATATTATATTATTTTATTATATTATATTGTATTATATTATATTATATTGTTGTGTTATGTTATGTTATTTTATTATATTATATTATCATTATATTATATTATATTATTATAGTATATTATGTTATATTATTATATTATATTATTATATCATATTATGTTATATTATTATATTATATTATATTATGTTATATTATATGATATGATATTATTTTTTATTATATTACATTATTAAATTAATATTATTATATTATCAACCTTATCTATGCTTGCAATTTCTTTGATTCACTGCGCTACAAAAATATCCCAGTCAATCTAAATTAAAATCTGATATGTTCATACAAAAAAACAAAACTATACAAAAAATTGTTCCATAGATGCCTGTGTTTACGGTGTACAGGTTTACAATACGATACAATACAATATATTTATAAAGCACATTTAAAAACAACCACGGTTGACCAAAGTGCTATACATAGGAGAACTAAAGACAGAGAAGCAGAATATTTAAAAAAAAACATTGATAACTAAAAGCAATAAACCAATGATCAAGGAGTATTTAAAGCGAGAGAAAATAGATAGGTCTTCAAAACAGACCTGAACACAGAAATGGAAGGGGAAAGTCTAATCTGAATTGGTAGACTGTTCCTGAGTTTAGGACCAGTAACAGTAAACACTCGATCACCTTGTATTTAAAGACATGCTATGGGCACGGTGAGTAAATTGAGATCATAAGATCTCAATGATCAAGAGGGTATACAGACAAAGCAAGTCAGTAAGGTACTGAGGAGCAAGATTATAGACGGCTTTGAAAACGAATAATAATATTTTAAAATCAATTCTCTATTAATGGGTAACCAGTGAAGTGCAGCTAAAACTGGAGTTACCGACTCATACCTGCGGGTGCCAGTAAGTAGTCTAGCAGCCGAATTCTTACCAGCTGCAGATGAGAGAGAAGACTGAGAGATGCCAAAACAGAGAGAGTTACAGTATTCTGAATGTGTTGTTATAAAGGCATGAAGCACCGTTTGAAAATTTCTCGCAGATATAAATGGCTTGACTTTAGACAGTTGCCTGAGGTGTACCTAATAAAGTGGCCGGTGAGTGTAACTGTAGGTTAGCTGTTTATATATAATAACTGTTAAAAGCTATTAGTTACTAGTTAGTTAGATAAAGTTGTGGATAACTGATAACCGTAATGATTCTGAATTTGATTTTAATGCAGTTATGTGATATTTACACATAATATTTATGTGATATTATGTGCACCTTTTTGTAAAGCAATAATTATTATGAAAAGCGCTATGCAAATAAACTTAAGTTGAATATAGTGTAGACTTGTGTACATTTCTGGCCTTCATGATGACATTAGCATTAAACACTGAAACCAAACAATGCCTGTCTCTCTTACCTTTCTCTCTCTTTCAGTCGTAATGTGTCAGGGGATCAGAAAGAGGAACATAAAGACGCCAAACCCCGCTCGCTCCGATTCACCTGGAGCATGAAGACCACCTCGTCCATGGAGCCCACAGAAATGATGCGCGAGATCCGCAAAGTCCTGGACGCCAACAACTGCGACTACGAGCAGCGCGAGCGATTCCTGCTGCTCTGCGTCCACGGCGACGGCCACGCCGAGAGTTTGGTCCAATGGGAGATGGAGGTGTGCAAACTGCCCCGCCTCTCGCTAAACGGCGTGCGCTTCAAGCGGATATCAGGAACATCCATCGCTTTCAAAAACATCGCATCCAAAATTGCCAACGAACTGAAGCTGTAAGGAAAAAACAAAACATAAAATGAAAATGTGAAAGCAGCAAAAATGAACTAAGGCACAAAACTAGAGTAATCAAGCTGTACATTCTTTTTCAACAAGTAGCAGATACAAGGAGCGTTTTCCTCAAACACTTACAAAGTATGTACTGAAAATATTGTATAGAATCATGCCTTAGGCAATAATTTCCTGCATCTTTGACGCATTATTAATATTGTTGTTATTGTTATTATTATTATTATTATTGTGGGATGGATTCAAACTGTAGGAAAACAAAAGACGCTTTCGTTTCTTCATTTTTATTAAGATTTTGGTTTTCGTTTATGCACTACTGCATTAGAGATGCCCTGTGGGGCCAAAAATGACTGAAAGCGTGTATTTTAACCAGACGATTAATCGCTCCAGTATCAGTCCAGCTCTATCCCAATGCCAAAACTAATCTGATTTAGGGACAGGACATTTATTTGCACATTTTCCCCAATAAAGGACCACATATTGTTACACTTCATCCCATGCTTTTTCAGTTCTCTTTTGACCCCCAGTCCTACGTCAGATTATTCCCATTTTTTGTTTTATAGATGGGATCAGCTTAATGTCAGGAACATTAAATAGATAGTTCAGCCTAACAAAATGAAAAATTGCTGTAATTTACTCGCCCTCAGGCTATCCAATATGGAGAATCCCTCAAAAATTAAATGTTTGCCTTCATTTTGTTCAAATACTGTATAAATGGAAGGTATTTGGATGAATGTCAGTATCCAAACAGATCTCATCACCCATTTATTATACCTTTAAAGACCTTGTTTAGCCTAGAACATGGCTTTGGTGATTCATACAAAAATCAAATCGTCAGAAAAATTCAATCCTCCTATCTCAGTCGCAAGAAACTGCTTATTATTTACTTTATAATTACCTTAAATCAACAACTTCTGCAAATGGTCTGTTCACAAATTGTGAAACTGCTGTAAATAATGTTCAGTTTCTTGTACAGATTATTTTATGGCTACAGAGTGCCATCAGGAAAAATTTAGTAATTTCGTTATGTCTTTGTGTTTTTTGATCCAGTAGCCAATGACTTGTATTTTACGAATCACAAAGGATCCCGATGTCAACTAATCATACTAAAGAGAAAAGGTCACCCTGAGGGCGAGTAAATTAGCAGCAACTGTTCAGTTTTTTAAGTGAGCCGTCTCTTGAAGAACGAGTTGAGATGTTTTCCTTTGTGCTCCATTGAAGTATTTAGTTTAAATCCTTGAAAAGTATTTTTTTAAGCTTCTGAGATGACGAAATGCTCTTGAAATGTCTGTGCTTTGGCTCCGGCCCTCAGGGCGCACCATACAGTCGCACATGCTGAGTCATTCTGGGACACACAGTTCACTTCAGAACTTCAACTCGCCATTTCTGGCCTTCAGTATTCACTCCCATCCCAAAACCATTGGCACTGTTGTTATTATTATTATAATTTTGATTTAATGTTTCTGTTTGCTTTTTTTTTGGAATGTAAATAATGTACCTTAGTTTTGCAGCAATGACATTGATATATGTTTTTTTTTTTTCTAAGTCTGGCTGAGAGTCGGAACCTATGGAAATTAATGTAACTCATCACAGAATAAGGTTAATCAGTGTCTCCATTAAAACAACTGAAAATCTGTGCTTTGCAGAGTGGCTTTTGTCTGTCGGGTTTCACAAGGCTCGGTTCATATTTCTTAGATATACGTGATCACAGGTCAAACATTTATATTTTATTAAGTATAAGTTCTCCGTTTTTCATACCATCACATCTTCAGGATGATATATAATATATACATAATACAAAGTTACATAATATATGCATGTGTACTTTGTATATTTATATACACACACATTCTTTTCGGCTTAGTCCCTTTATTAATCCGGGGTCGCCACAGTGGAATGAACTGCCAACTTATCCAGCATATGTTTTACTCAGCGGATGCCCTTCCAACTGCAAGCCATCTCTGGGAAACATCCATACACACTCATTCACTATGGACAATTTAGCCTACCCAATTCACCTATACCACATGTCTTTGGACTGTGGGGAAACCGGAGCACCCGGAGGAAACGCACGCGAACACAGGGAGAACATGCAAACTCCCCACAGAAATGTCAACTGACCCAGCTGAGGCTCGAACCAGCGACCTTCTTGCTGTGAAGCGACAGCACTACCTACTGCGCCACCGCGTCGCCCTATACACATACAATGCAAAAACATACAAACTATTTATCTATCTATCTATCTGTCTATCTATCTATCTATCATCTATCTGTCTGTCTGTCTGTCTATCTGTCTGTCTGTCTATATAACAGTTCTGTCTGGTTCTCGAATCTGATTAGCTGACAGCTGTGCAATATTCTGCAATAACAGCACTCATACAGCCACCTCACTCCGCCCACATAGAGTGACAGCAAATCAATAAACTCACTACAGTTTGACAAATATTGCAGCTGTTGGAAAACATAATGTGCTTATAAGGCTTTTTGAGGTGAGAATGTAGCTGTTCAGATAGCATCTATGCAGTTTTTTTTTATAAGGATAGTGCCTATTTTAAAGATTTATCATTTTAAAGGTACTGCGCATCGGCATCCGTTAGCCTGTCATACTGAGCAGAGCAAAGACTGTTGACGTTTTGCTACAAAATGGTGACAGAGACCACATATTAAGCCCTAAGAGGAGGAAAAACTCAATCTAATTTCTAACTACAGCTGATGAAATCAAACTGATAAGCAACATTCTAATTCAATCTCTCTCCCTTTTGTATGTTGTAGTGCTGTATTTATACTATAGTCTGGTAGTGTTTGCTTTGCTTTGAATTTTTGGGGGGTTAATTATTGTGATATCCTGATTGCAACAGAGAAATATTGGGAAATCTCTATAGACTGATGGCATTTCATGCTGTTCAGCATTATAATCTTAACATGTCAGCAAAATCACCTGTTTTCTCATCATTTTAGACATTACGCTAGAGCATCATTCAAATACTAGCTCTAAAGTGACGTTTGTGAAGTAGCAACAGTTTCTGCTGCTCTGATGTTCAGCTGCAGGTGTGAATAAATGGCGGAAGAAAGTAGTTCCTCATACAAAAGGACTTTTAGACTCACCGGGCTCTATTTTGACGATCTAGGCACAAAGTCCAAAGCGCAGGGTGCAAAAGCATTAACAGCATGTCAGAATCCGCTGTTGCCATTTCAACGACAGAAAACTCTGCTTTGTGCCGCAGCGCTTGGTCTTGTAGGGTTGAGCTTTTAATGAGTTATAAGTGTGTTTTGAGAATAAACCAATCAGAGTCTCATCTCCCATTCCCTTTAAGAGTCAGTTGCTTCGCGCCATAGCGCATTTGCTATTTACATGACAGACTTTGTAAGTGGAAAAACTGAGCGCTTTACTAGCAAGAATACAGCTAAACAGAGCATCTACAGGGTGAGAATGAGAGATGAGCCTCCTCATTCTTTACTTTCAATCTCTTTCGTGGATAAGATGTGTTGTACGCACAGACATCCATTAGCCTACATGATTAATTTTGTTTGTTAAGCGCAAAGATTTGTTTCAAAACTGTTTCTAAATTCAGTTCTAATTTTCAGCAAAGGAATAAATGAACAATAATAATGAAGTGTGGTCTAAAAACTAAGCTATATCCTAATACACATGCTGTGCCCCATATGGTATAAAACCTGACAGGTGGACAAATCTAAACTTGTTTTAATTGAAACAAATATAAATAAGCATATAATAAATACTACTGCTAATAATAATAACATTATACAAAAGCAAATTGTCATGAATAAACTAAAAAAGCTCCTGAGATGAAGAAGGCATGAAGGCAGTGGTTTTTATATTTATGTAGAAAATAATAATTTTTGTAATATTTTATTCCTTTAATTCTTTTTCATGTGTAAAGATATTTGCGTATTGCTGTACATCCTGTGTGTATTAAGCAGTGTGTAAGCGAGGTGCACAACTACTCTCAGCTAGTCTATTGAACAGTCTATTTTTGTTCATCAAAATAGCAATGCGCCTTAACACGCCTCCTTTTTTAGACCAGAACGCCTATGGGTGCACATATGAGCACAAATGCATTTGCTATTTAAACAGTGTGTGGTCCAAAACGTCAAGATGACTCTTGCGCCGTGCTGAAACTAGCAAACAACAATTGCATCGCTCCTTGCGCCGCATTGTGCTGGGTGAATAATAGAGGTCCCTCCATGGTTGATTTTCATTTTTTTTCATAAAGTGCACACGATGTCATCGAACTGTTGTAGAAGCGCAATATCACTCTCGTAGCAGTATGATATGACTGTTTATCAGCACTGGTGGGACATTAACGACAATGCACGCCTCCCACCAGTGCTGACATACAGCCACATAGCACTGCTACTCGTGTGATATCGCTCATATAATAAATATTAGTGTATTCATGCATATTTATATACACAGTACGCACATATATTTTGCAAATATGAACTTTTATTCTGGATGCGATTAATTGTTTGACAACACTAATATATAACCAATTTCCTTTACATTGAACCCTTTGTCTTTTATTGCCTTTTGCATTGAGACCTTTAGATTTAGAACTTTATAGTCATTGTAGAATCGTACAACGGAATTTGTTTGGTAGATCTTAGACACCAGCAGCAATAAGAGACTGAAAAAAAAGACTGAACACAAGATTTAACTGTATAATTAAATAGTAGCACAGTCTTAGTGCAGTCAAGTGCATTAGCAGCCGTATGGGGGGAAAGGAGGCATGAGTTGTTCTCGCCTTCAGTTCCTCAGCAGCTATGTATGTGAGGTGTGTGTGTGTATTAGGGGAAATACAGGCTATACTGCTCTTGGAAAGAAGCTATTCCTCAGTCTGTAACTTTTGCCTGATGGAAGGAGCACAATCTGTATCCTTTATTAAAATAAAGAACACATCAGGATACAGGATTTGAGTTTTAAATAAAGGATTTTATTTTAAAAATTCTTTATATTTTATTTTTATCATTAAAAATATTTCAATCATAGTTAGTCATGATGATGTGATTTTAACTGAGATAGTACATTTGGTTTGCAAGTGCAAGCATGTGTCTATGTCTAGTCTATTAGTCATCTATATCTGTTTAGACAAAGGTCAGTGAATGGTTTCTTTACTATTACATGATAATGAGAAGACAAAAACCAATCTGAATGACTACTTGGATACTATAAAAATGAGCCCCGGCATTTAAATGAATGCTGTAATGTATTTAAATAGATTTTATTTGAATTGAGAATTTTAGAGATGGATCTTTAGAGGTCTAGATCTTGGAAGGTCTAGTATTGATCATTTTGGTTTGGATAGTCTTGGTTTCACTTGAAATCACCGTTTTAAAATAATCTTTAAACATCTAAAGTGTTTTAATATTTTTATCCAGCTATTTGACAAATGGCTAAATCTAGCAGCTTAAAGGATAGTGGCAAAGTATAACTATTTAATCTGACAATAATAGTATTTTAGGGGCTGCACTGTAAAGTCGTCAGTGATGATTCTTGCTTTAAATATGCTTGCTGATAATCTATTATTGGTATTTAGACTATTGATACAGTGAGTGTCATTAACTTGGTGTCTTCCGTAAACCATGTAAAAAGGTATGATAGTCATTATTATTTTGTATTATTTGTTTATTGGCTCAGAAAACAATTAAGCAGGACACAATTTAATATACATTTTAAATCTGAAGCTTATTGTTTTGGTGTTTGAAAACAAACTTTGTGTTAAATTATTACTATTATTTATTTATTACAGCATAATGTGGACCTGATTTAAAGTTTTTAAGACTTAAAACAGTAAAATGCACATTTATTGAAACACTAAGTAATAATAATATTAAAAAGTGGTCTTTTGGAAGATCTTATATTATACCCCTAAATATTGTAATGTTAGTCGCACGTAGCCTCTACATATTTGTAATCCGCCACTGTGTTTCCCGATCAGCTGAATGCTTATGTAATTTACAGCATCTCATATATTATATAACAGCTTTTCAAACTCACAAAGGCTTTTTCCAGAAATGCATCCAGCACTTAACCTGCAAGCATCTGTCTGCATCTGGAAGAGCTCGTGGACATCATCATCATCATCCTCCCTGCACAAGCTCTTAAATACACACCAATGCAACCTCAATTATAAGCGCAGTCATGCGTTACATATTTCCATGCATGATCCGAATAGCCACGCCCCTATTTGTCACAAAAGATTCAGTACCGATGAACAAATCCTTTTTCTGCGAATCGGTTCTTAAATCAAAGAATCATTTGGTCGTATTGCGTCATATGTAATTTTTAAGAGCTCTATATTGTAATTGGTTTTGTGTCAATTTACATTTAATCATTCACTAATGCTGCGCTTATTCGATGTAAAATACAATAGTATTTTGCTTATTGTTAAAATATATTTTAGTTGAAATAACCTTATATAATTCCTTTATTATTCTAATCTTTTACAATTTAAAGCTGTGTGTTTGAGCAAAATGTAATCTTTGTTTTGTTCTGAAAACTACTGATGACATTTCTAATTAATTTAAAATAAAATATTCTACTTTATAGCATAAACAGTAAAAAAAAAAAAAACAATTAAAATAACGAAAAAGATGACACGTTTTCAGATTGTCGGTTCAATAGTTCAATGAGTCACTGCGTTGTTGACTCGAGAACCACTGGGTTCATTCCGTCCAGTTCAAATTATAAAAGAATCGTCCAGTTTGATTCACACCACTTCAAACCTGTTGCGCGAACCGGTTTAAGTTCGACTATTTTTTTTTTTTTATCATTAAAGTAAAGAGGTAGATGAGATACATAACATAGAGACAAATAATACAAACAAACGAAAAAGTGCACAGAAATATACACAAAGACAAACAAACGCCAGGGTAACAAAAATAAAAATAATGAAATAAAGTTACACCTTAAAGAGACACAAAAGAAGAATATAATGATACAGTTTTTGTTGCTTTTGGATTAAAAGGGTGCTAGATAATTTCCAAATATTGGTCTAGGTAAATTTTTAATAGATAAAAAAAGGTTTAATGCCACTAAACTTCTGTTTGTGAATATGAAACTTGGCTAATAGAATACACAAATTTGCAAGTTTTCTTTAAAATCATCAAACAAAGAAAGAAATATGGAAAATGAAAAGTCACTCATAATATAAGATTGAATAAATACTAACAGATCTAAGCTGAATCTTTCTGTGTGTAGAAGCACTGCCAGAACAAATAGTTTTCCTCCGAAGAGTGACAAATGAGCATACATCAATGTCAGGCTTATATTTCTGAAGACAGGTCTTAGTAGCATAATATTTGTAAATTAATTTAAAGCTTACTTCTTTTACTCTATTAGTATACTTGTGAGTCAAAGTCCATACTTTCTCCCATGGAATATTTTCAGTAGTGTTCCAATAAGGTATTACATAAGGGATTGTTATTATCTCTCTCTGGAAGAGGCCTCTAATTTTACAGTTATTTTCTGTTGGTCTGCTAAAAACACACACACACACACACACACACACACACATCCAACCACTGTATCGGTTAAATTCAGAGAGTGAGTGTATGACCATGGGAGTGTGACACCTCGCATATAATAGGCACACATGGAGTTTACAACAATGGCATATTAACTAGGAGTAGCAGGAATGTTAAACGTCTGTAAGAAATCTAAATTATAAAGTCTACCTTCTGAGTTAAAGAGCTGGACAGCTAAAAAAAAAGTTGTTTTTAAACTGTTTTTCAAAATAAAGTTATTTATTCTTGTAAATAATGTATTTATTAGTTCATAAATAATATCTGTGTGGAGAAAAGTTATGCTTGTATATTAGAGACCAAGACCAGGCCAAGAGCATCTGCTTATGAAAACTGGAGAGTTTGATCGGGATCTTCAAAACATTATAATTAGGTTCGACTAATGTATGCATAGGATGTATGTATAAAAAGATTCGAGTCAAAGATCCGAATCGCTGACGACTCGGGCATCGTTTTACTAGATGTAACCACGCCTCCACCGTTTGTCGCCCGTCAGGGGGAGTTTTTCCAGAAGGACCGAACTGAACGCTGCTGTTTTGACAGAAGAGCTTCGTCTCGTGTCATTTTCTCGATGTTTCTTCAAAGCACCGAGAACGACATGCGTTTTAAACCGTCTCGAGACCGACTATACAGCGCGCGCTGCTGCGGCTGCTGTCATGTGCGGACTGGAACCATCATTTTGGGTACCTGGTACATGGTACGAAGCTTCAAGTATTAATCAAATAACGTTACCGTCTTGTAGTTTCTAACAGTTGAAATGTGTCAATATTGTTCCCTTCGACTTCTAGGGGTGTGTCTGTTTATGAATGTACGTATGTGTGGATGTGTTTGGCTGGCAGAGCCGTGTTAGCTCGATGCTAACGACCGCTAGCATAACTCAATGTTTTGAAATGAAACAATCAACAAAACAAACACATCAGTGTGATTAGATGTATTATATTATTAGTAAACATGTTATAAGAGTATTACATGTTCTGTTAAGTCGATTAATGTGACGCAAATGATATATTAAGGGTTGATTTACAATTTATCTGTTGGCAGCTAACTGCTAGCTGGGGCCTGATGTAGAATTTACTAAACTGTTGTGGTGTTGAACTGTCATGGGGGGCGAATTTGATGTATGTTCATTTAAGATTAAGTCAGTTATGTATAATTATATAGCTAATGCATAATTGTAAAAAAAAATAATATTTAAAAAACTGTTATATAATTTTATACGTTTGGTGTCACTAGATAACTAGATCGTGAACAAACAAACCTCAACTGATATAAATGATAATAGTGTTGTTTTGGCGAAGTTTATTAATACATTTGGATCAAAGGGCACTGTAACTGACGAATTGATTGATAACAGTAAAAGTCATTATAAATTATTATATGGAATTATGAGCATTTTCTATCTATCTATCTCTCTTTCTCTCTCTCTCTCTCTCTCTCTCTCTCTCTCTCTATATATATATATATATATATATATATATATATATATATACACACACACACACACACATACATAGACCACCTTGCGGGATATAAACAAAAACAATGGTCCCAACGTATTTCATGTTTTACATCATTTCTATAGCTTCCGAGAATCAAGAAAGAGCCGAATATTGATAAATAATGTTATGGTAGGTGTTTTAACATTTAAGTTACGATTGAATTGCCTCTTGTTACAGTTATGAAACACTTTGATAACAGGCAGGAAATGTTTATGGGCCAATGACAAGACCACATTGAAATGGTCTATATGAGGGCTGCACGATATCATTTCAGCATCAATATCAAGTGTTCTCATTCGCAATAGTTACATCGCAAGATACGCAACCTTGAGTCTGAATTATAGTTGACCATGAGCTACAGAAATGTGCTCAATAACCGTATCTATAGTAAATTTATACGATTTATGCAAAAAAAATTCTGTCTTATAACTGTTTCTAGTCCAAATATCTACATTTCGAAGCGAAAACAAAATAATTTACTTGATCCACTGCCAGATAATTCGGCTTGTTTTAAGGAAAAACTCTTAATATCAGCTATTTTCTTCTGAAGTTGAAAACTAAAAATTTTTTATCTAAGAATATTTTAGATATTTGGACTGGAAACAAGACGAAGTAAGAACACTGTTACATTGTGTTGATTATTCAATTTCTCTATCTGAATACTGAAAATCTGAAAAACCGTCAAATACAGCCATTCCAACCATCTTTTAAAAATTATTCATACTACAATATTTATCTCCGGAAAAAAAATATCGCAATATCAGTTTTTTTCCAATATCTTGCAGTCCTAATATATATCTTGACCTTGGCCTCCTTTTCTGTAGTATTGCAATAACAAAAATACCAGGAAGTTAAATGACGCAATGGTTAATCAGACTTCATCATCTCCAATTTCAACAGTTGTCTCATGATATGTGCCTTTTACACTAATATAATTATATTTCTGTTCAAAGGTGGTGAACCTGTTGATGGGCATTCTGTTGACTGTGGCAGTAACTCACCCTGAGAATGTCCCTACTGTTGACTTGCAGTATGAGGTTATTGAGCATTACTTTGCCTCAGACAGGATGTCAGGTACATTCATGAGTTTTTGCTGTTGTAGTTCTGTGTTTAAACACAATTTCATAATTGTATATTCAAATACTTTATTTATTATATATTTTATTGTCATTTGTTTATATTTAACCAATATATATTTTATTTTTGTTTAGATTTTGCCTTTTCTTATTTGTTTTGAAGGAATAGTTCAGGCAGAAACTAAAATGTACTCAGTCTTACTCAAGCAGTTCCAAACCTTTATGAGTTTCATTTATCTGTTGAACCTAAAATACTCTGAAGAAAGATAGAAATTGGTGACCATTGACATTCATAGTAGCAAAGACAAATACTGTGGAAGTCAATGGTTACCAGTTTCTAGCTTTCTTCAAATTATGTGTTCAACAGATGAAAGAAACTTAAGCAGGTTTGTGTTTTTGGTGAACTATCCCCTTTAAGTTTTATATCCTTTTGAATGACACAAGTTTTCTTTTGCCCCTGTAGAGAATGCTTGTGTGGGCTTTGCCATCTCTCTCCTGATGCTTACCATCAGTGCTATGATGGTGTATGGAGCTATTACTGTAAGTTTATGGTATTTGTTCACAATTTTTGATGTAGAGCGTTATGTATTCATTCCATTGCATTTGTGGGTTTGTAAAATTCTTAATTTGTCTTTCCATAATAATAATTTTAAAAAAAGCCCATTTCTGCATCAAAGTTGTTCCAAAACTGTATTTCTTGCTTTTTATAGTTTAGCATAAGGTATTTTAAACAGTCTGGTTACAGACTTTTTGTACTTAACAAAAGAAAAAGCTCATGTAGTTTTGGAGCAATTGAAATATAAGTAAATGGAGACTAAATTAGCTATTTTTGGCTGAAAATTGATATTACATGGATTGAATTCCACCTATTTTGCTTTCAGTGCTGAGTGTATTTAATGGTCAGTGTACTATTAGTGTTCAACATTTCTACTTTTATTATTTTTTTCTTCTTCTTTTTTTACAATATTTATCTTTTTAATTTAATTTTAGGTTCCTTTCAGTTACAGATCATTTGTAACAGATTTAATTTATATCAACATCGCACTATACTCCTGAATTACTTCATTGTAATGTAAAAAACAATGCAATTCACCACTGTGTTCATCTGTACTTCACAGTCTTGCTTGATGTCGTCTTTAGAAAACAGGTTGGATCATTGAATGTTGTTGTATAGTAGTTCCTGCTGTAAAATCATAAAGTGCAGTGTTCAATGCTGTTACTAAGCACTTGTTATTTTGAGTAAACCTTGAGCTTCACCTGTGTTTTAGACCCCATAGTGTCCTTGACCACATGTTTTAGGCCTTCAAGGCAGTTAAAATGCTTTTCCAGTAAAGTCACGGCCTTGTCAGATCTGCTAATAGTTTCCTTTCCATGTTAGGTGTTCTCTAAGCTTAGTTATTCAGCACAGCTGCTTATATTTGTTTAAAACCAGATGATTCATTACTCCCCGGAGTCTCACAGGTTTGCATCAGCATTAAAATGGTGAGAAACAGGCTGAAAATGAGAAAGAAAAAAGCCCACCTCTTCACATGTCTGTTATTTTTTCTCTCTCTCGCACAGAATCGTGACGGCTGGCTCATCCCGTTCTTTTGCTACCAGCTGTTTGACTTTGCACTAAGCTGCCTGGTGGCCATCAGCTCCCTGACGTACCTGCCCAGAATCAAGGACTACCTGGACCAGCTGGTCAGTTTGCCCTTTACTGCCATTTATGATCTCCGAGTTTAATGCTTACATAAAAAACAATCAAATCTGTCTCTTTTAGCCGGATTTCCCATACAAGGACAACCTGCTCTCTCTGGACTCCAGCTGTCTCCTGCTGTTTGTGCTCATTTTCTTTGCCATTCTTATCGTCCTCAAGGTAGATATAAACAAAATATCTGAGCTTTCTGTGTTCACAGTTTTGATTTGATTTAAAACTAGAGCTGCTTGGTATTGGGGAAAAAAAACTGACATTGCAATACACACACTCACTGGCCACTTTATTAGGTACATCTGTCCAACTGCTTGTTAACGCAAATTTCTAACCAGCCAATCAAATGGCTGCAGCTCGATGCATTTAGGCATGCAGACATGGTCAAGATAATCTGCTGCAGTTCAAACCGAGCATCAGAATGGGAACGAAAGGTGATTTTAAATGACGTTGAACGTAGCATGGTTATTGGCGCCAGACGGGTGGTCTGAGTATTTCAGAAACTGCTGATCTACTGGGGTTTTCATGCACAACCATCTCTAGGGATCACAGAATGGTCAGAAAAAGAGACATATGTAACAGAAGATTTGCATCATGGATGTGCAGCCAACAAATCTGCAGCAACTGCGTGATGATATCATGTAAATATGGACCGAAATCTCTGAGATATATTTCCAGTACTTTTGAGTCTAAGACATGAAGGATTAAGGCAATTCTGAAGGCAAAAGAGGATCCAACCCGGTACTGATAAAGCCTGGTGTTTACTTCTGCGTCAAGTGACCGGCGTAACCCACGGCGCATGCAACGTGCGTGGCTGTGCATTTATACTTCTGCGCGCTGTCTCCGTTGGTCTGTATTATCACTTCCGAAACACTAGTGGGCAGTGAGGTGTAAATGTTCCTCTGTGTCGAGTTTCTTCTCTGCTGTTTTGCTTTTCCTGAACACTTCCTGGATGTACAAGTGGCTCAAACTCGCTCATTTTTAGGCAGGAAACGGCGGACATGCAACAACTTTAACTATGAGGTAAACACAAAACAAAACTTTCCATCAGGAGCTCCTTTACGGGACTCCACACTTGTAAACAATCGCTCCATTGGCCTCGCGTCCAGCTCGCGCCATTCGCGCGGCTCTCGTCCCGCCTAGACTCGTCAGCACTACCAAGCCGACCAATCACAGAGCTTACGCTAAGCATCGTTGCGATGTGTAGTTACAATTTTTGAGAGGTGCACGTCAGCGACGCCGACAGCCACGGCGAAGGGCTATGCGTCAGCGCCGCAGCATACACCAACGTTTGACGCAGAAGCATAAATCAGCCTTAAGTTGTATTTAATGAAGTGGCCAATAAGTGTATATTGCAATGTAATTTCACTTGAGTAACTGTTTGGAAAATAATTAATGATTTTACATTAATTAGGATGATTTTGTAGAGGAATGCATCTGCAAAAAATGAAAAAAAAAAAAAAAAATTAAAGCACACATGAAAACAAAAGAACAAAGATGAAAAGCACTTAATGGTTTTCAGTGGAATCGAACAATATTTAGGTACAGAAACTCAATTTAAAATTAATCTTTGTCAAAGTGGCAAGCTATTTTATTTCTTGTGCCCAAAGTTTGAGTTAAATCTTACGGTCACAGGCCTTAAAAACACATCCAAGTAAAAATCTTTCATACTGTTAGATTACAGTTAAAATTCACAATGACTCCACAAATCACGTGTTCCGAACTGTGGTTCCTGGTTAATTAGAATCCCAACTTGATACCCAAATTGCATATCCTGTGATATGACTGACTATTGCAGATGTGCACATTGCGATATCCATGCGGAAACAATATATTGAGCAGACCTAATAAAAACAAACTGTTGGACTATTTTTGTTATTATCATTTGAATAAGTGTAAATGTTGCCATCTTGACCTTTGCAGCGACAAACAAGCAGACACTATTTCACTTTTAAATGAACTCTGGTGCGGTTTGGCTCAAATATAAATCAAGCACATTTAGATGAGCTATAACAGGATTGCAAGATGCAAGCATAAAAAGGGCTAAATTTTGAAGCATGGCTGATTACAGTTCAGTATGGGCATAATAAATGCATGTTCGGTTGTGTCTGTGTGTGTGTGTGTGTGTGTGTGTGTGTGTGTGTGTGTGTGTGAGTGTGTGAGTGTGAGTGAGTGTGTGTGTGACAGGATTTCCTGTGTCTGCTTTGAGTTCTTTACACCGTAATCTCTTCACAAGTTTTCATGTGATAACACATCACATGCATGTTCATAAAATGAGCGTTCTGTATAAAAGAACCAAACTGCAATTGTGAACACCCTGAATCTGTATATTTTGTTTATAAGATCCAAACTATTAGTGTGTTATTTGTTGCAGGCCTATTTGATCAACTGTGTGTGGAACTGCTATAAGTACATAAACAACAGGAACACTCCAGAGATTGCTGTCTATCCTGCTTTTGAGACTCCACCTCAGGTATGTCCATCTCAATCGTCTGGTCAGGATGATACTGGATATTATAAGCTATATTTATTCTTCAAGGGCAAATTCACAACTCTGTATAAAAACTGTTTGTGATGTAGCATTTACAAAATAGCATTTACTGAAAATGATGAAATCAGACATTATTTACTTAAAAACAAGCTGGTTGCTGGTCACAGTATACAAATTAACTTTGAAACATTTTTCAAGCATTGCACAAATCCGTTGTAAAGCCCGCTTTCTATAATCCAGTTTCGGCACAAACAAATTATTCTAAATGTTTTGTTTTTGTCAATTTTTCAATTTCATTAACATCCTTTAGTTCGGGTGCACTGTAACTAGGCCTGTCACGATATCTGATTTTTGTTGTGTGATATATTCCACTAAAATATATTGCGATTAACAATATTACTGTCATTAATGCCATCCATTACATAATGTCATAATGACAATATAATATCACAATGCAAGTACACTCTTTCTAAAAACACATAATATTCCTAACAATATTTCATTTTAACAATTTAATAATCAGGCATTGGAATCAGAATGTGAAAACACATATCCTAAATCGGCTACTATGTTGCAGGAATTGGCGTTTATGTATGGGCGATATATATTGCATCCCCAAAAATGATTGAGGTCATATCCATGTGCTGTGCGATAAGTCCATATGTTGATTGTTGTGACGGGCCTAATTGTAACATTTTCTTTATTTTGACTGCATAAAATGGTTGCAAAATATTTTTGCTATTGCAAAATAGCATTGATTCGTATTTGGAGTAAGTGTCAGTAATTTTGTTATGTGTTGTCATTTGTTTATAAATGCAATATATTTACTTTAGCTTCAGTAATTCAGCTTAAACATTTATTTTGGTTAAATGCAAGGGCAACATCTCTAATTTTCTTTAAAAATTCTCATTTATTTTCTATTACCAATAAAAGAAATCTTTATTTATTGTATTTATTTTTTATGTTTTAATGAATAATGTCGACACTGGTGTGGATGACACAATTAAAATTTTTGGTCATCTTTCTCTCTGTAGGAGTGAATGGAGGACTAAACCTGCTAAAACAATAAATAAAGGAATGAGTAAATAAATCCACAAATTTCGCCATAAATAAAACAATAAAAAATCAACACATAAACAAATAAATAAATGAGTAAATAAATTCACAAATTCCTGTATAAATAAAACAAGAAATAAATCAATACGCAAATAAATAAATGAGTAAATCTACAAATTCCTGCATAAATAAAACAATAAATAGATCAATATACAAATAAATAAATGAGTAAATGAATCCACAAATTTCTGCACAAATAAAACAGTATATAAATAAATACGCAAATAAATGAATCCACAAATTCCTGCACAAATAAAACAATAAATAAATAAATACGCAAATAAATAAATGAGTAAATAAATCCACAAATTCCTGCATAAATAAACAATAAATAAATATGCAAATAAATAAATGTGTATAAACATATGTATAAATCCACAAATTCCTGCATAAATAAATAAATAATTAATAGTACATGCAGATAAATAATTAAATAAATTGCACAAATGTTGGGGGTGCAAGAAAATGTAAAACTAAAAGTAGTTCCTCAGCTCAAAATGCCAAGAGAGAGTGTCTGTTAATCACCAGAAACCAGTCAAAAAATCCAATGCTAATTTTTTTTTATCATAAACTAATGATGGCATAAAGACTGCCTTCTAAAGATTGATAGACACCCTTTCATTAGCACGTTTAGCTGAGGAAAAGTAAATACGGAACTATGTTCAGGAATGAATAAATGTTTGTTATTCCCTTAACATTAGTGTAATTTATTTAATTATTTACATGCCTGCACATTTAGTTATTAATTATTTGTTTTTTTTATGCAGCAATTTCTGTAGTTTTATATACATTAATTAATTTATTTGCATATTTATTGATTTATTGTTTATTTATGCAGGAACTTATGGATTTATTTACTCATTTATTTATTGGCACATGTATTTATTGTTTTTGCAGGTTTTGTCCTTTATAGGAGTGCACATTATTACAACTAACACAATTTTACAGTAGAGGGCGCTGTTTACCTTTGAAAGAGATTTTTCTACAGCCCTAAAAACCCAGCCAGCGAAGAGAGCCAGTTTTAACATTTTAACCAGAAGAAAAGTGTGCTGTGTGGTTGTTAGTTACAGGTTTCCCACGCTTCTTAAAAGTAACTAAAATTACTTTAATTTCAGGCATATGGATTCAAGGTAGGGCTGCACAATATATTGGTTCAGCATAAATATCGCAAGGTGCACATCTGAAATAGTCACATCACAAAGATATGCAATGTCTAGTCAGAATTATAGTTGACCAGGAGCTCCAGAATTGTATTTAATCACTGTATTTATGGAATTTATATGATTTATGCAATAAAAACATTTCTTACTTAGAATTTTTGTCTTGTTTCAAGTCCAAATATCTACATTTCAAAGCGTAAACAAGATAATTTCATTACCCCATTTGCAGATAATGTCCTTGGAACAAGCAAAAAAAAAAAAGTTTCACTTATTTCTTCTGACGGTAAAAACTAAACAATGTTTTTACTTTCTCTAAGAATGTTTTTGATATTTGTATTAGAAACTAAACAAAACAAAATAAGAAAATCATTATTTTTTTGTACCTGAATACTGTTAGCCTCCCCAGAAAATCCCCTGAAATCGTATTCATTTCGAAATTTTTATTTTCCTGCATTGCAATATCAGATTTTTTCGATATCGTGCAGCCCTAATTCAAGGCCTGGAAAGTACTTAAAAACAAACATGCCTGATGCTTGAAAGTGCTTGTATTAAATTTGAAATTAAATCTGTTAATGATTTTATTTCAACGATTGCACTCAATCAAATACAGAATGAAAAAAAATGAAAAATTCTTAAAATAAATGTCTTAAATTTAAGTCTTGTACAATAAAATTGACAAATAATGCACATTTTATCAGTATTTCCGAAACCGCATGTGAATATCACCAGTATTGAATTAAAAATATTTTTATTAAAGTTCTTTGAACTCGACTTTTTAAAACGGTGAACCAGGTTGAAATAGACATATTTACCGTAAATATGAAGTATAAGTGAATTAAGTACCTTCATGGTGCTACATTTGCTGGGCTATGAATTAAAAAGGTGCTGATTTAAAATGAATGGTGCTTTCAAAAGTCCTTAAATCTGCTGTTCATGAAAGCATGGAAACCCTGTCGTTTAATAAAGTCTTATTGTTCATTTTAATGGTGTCTTTTCTCTTATAGTATATCCTTCCCACCTATGAAATGGCCATGACAATGCCAGCGAAGGAGCCTCCGCCTCCTTACATGCCAGCTTAAATCCCCCTCACTGGTCTCATCTGTAAAAGCCAGTACAGACACCCATCTTTGCCTTTCGATCCTGCCTTCCATTCCAACACATGGAGGGCGTTTAGACTCCCAGCGTCCACTTGTCACATCAGCAGCTTACATATTCGCATAGACTTAACCATGACTATTTCTTTCGCATGACTCTCGTAACAGCTCATCACTGCAGATCTATTTTTGTAAAACTATAGGGATACTGTTGAAGCAGCACGGTGTTGGGGAAGAGATGGATTGTGGCAGGATTTGTTTTAACTATTTAGTGTTGTATCTGAGATATGAAATGCCGTTCTCTTTTTTTGGGGCATCATGACTCGGGCTCTGCAATAAATTGTGCTTACGACAGAATTATATAGTTGATTCATAGTCGATCACTAATGAAATGATTCTGAGATGGGGCAGGCGATCTGCCGTTTGACATTTTTACCAATGAAAGCTTTCACTTTATCTGCCACCTTGAGATCTTTATTTTTCCATGCTTTTCAATGCTGTGTGTGTGTTTTTTTTTCTCCTGATGTCTTAGTAGAGGAAATATTGTGAAAATCAACATTGCCCTACAACTTGACAGGGCACTTGCATTTAGAATCACCTTGGCTAATAAATCTGTTTTTGCTAGATTAAAGACCTGTTTAGACAATCCGGTGTGACGGTTAAAACAGTATATTTATTTCCATTGTGTATTTTCTTAGTGGACGTAAGACTTTCATCCTTTAAAAAGTGAAAGAGCTCAAAGCACTTTTTATCTTGTTTAAATAGTGTGTTTTTTGCCATCCATTGAACCATTGTGCACCATCATGTTAGCCATCATCATGGTGATCTATTGTCATGGTACCTTCTGGGTAATACTGGTTAACACACAAGAGGAAACTTTCCTCATATGAACGACAATGATATAGAGTTTTAAAAAAAGGAAATGCTAGTGCTGTAAAAAAAATCAATGGATGCATGTTTTTTTTTTTTTTTTTTGGTTTTTCTTTTCTTGTACTTGTGTGTAATCTTATTACTTCAATAAACATTTAAAACATTGTATCTGCCATCAGGCTTTTTTTTTCAAACATCAATGGCTTTTAAGTATCTTATGTGTATCTTCTTATGTGTGTATTTCTCAAATTTCAGATACTTTATATATTGCATCCTATTGTCTGATGTTATAATTTGTGTAATAGATTCCTGGTCATTTGAGGTGGGACTTCTTTTGCTGTATTTGGATTGGTCATATATCTGACACGTTCCTTCTCAACCCTTTAAATGTGCAGCCTAGGATACTGTCAGAACAAACTGGTGTCAGTTAGACGAGAGGACCGCACACAAGCCTGAAGCAGACTTGAGAGGAACAGCGAGACAATGAAGTCCTTCATTGGGAGTTTGGTTTATTGCCTCTCTGTTCTGCTGCTGGATCTCTGCGATTCCTATGACCTTAATAATCCATCCTACATTTTAGCCCAAAGTTACGCTCAGAGAAGAAACAACGGACTTCCGCACCGGACACTGAACCCTGCAGGTAAGTGTTTTAAGTTTACAATGCTAGTTATAACAGATGTTGATTTATTTATTGTGTATTATTTGTATTCCCATGCTTCCATTTTATTTAGAACTGCAATTATGATTTTCTTATTTTGCATTCACTACAATGAAAACTACAAATGTTTAGTGGATATTTTTGGATTTGCATGGAATGGTATTTCTAAAAAAAATGCACTGTTATAAATATGTCTAGTGCATTTACAATAGGATATTTGAAATAAAATACATCCACATTTAACCACTGAATGGATAATTCCACCAAAAATAACTTATTTGCTCTTCATTTGCTCAAAATGGCTTACCTTCATCTTCAACAAGTAGATTTTTTGAAGACTATTACACTGCTTTTGTCCAAATCAAAAGTCAGTTGGGGTCTTGTGTTACTCAGACTCCAGTGTTCCTCAAAGATTCTAATGTTCTGCAGAGGAAAGAAGGTTTGCAATGAAATGACAATGGGTACATGATGACTGAATATGTATTTTTGTCTGAAGTGTCCTTATAAGTGCATGAATGCAACAGCATTTATGCGATACGAGTGGCATGTATTTTAAAACAACAAAGAACTAGGGCATGTATTGCAAACAATGCCAGTTGTATTTGTTTGACTGATTTTCCTTTCACTTCAACCTTCTTATGGTCCGTAGTATACAGAAGTAAATACAGGTTAGATGGACCTGATAACCCTCACAAACAGAAGAGGACTACTTTGCCCAGTCTTATCCCCGTAGCTTATCCAGCACCCACAGCTCCTTCTTCTCAACTCAAACTTCATGCCTGGCTTAAAGACATACCAACTGCAAAAATGTATGATGCAAATAAAGACCAATTACCACATGTGGCAAGCAAACACCTGAAAGGTGAATGGGCCCCAATAATTTGCAGAAAAAATCCTGATTTAGAACAAATAGTCATAGTTACAGGAGAATCAGGGGAACGTAAAGACGTGTCAAACCTTCCTCAACGACCACATGAAAGTCCAAAAAAATCTGTGGTACTTATGGAGCAGTCAACAAATAACCAGGCAATCTTTCCAACAGATGCTTCTGAATTAGGTATTCCCTCAACCATAACCATGGCACAATCTTTAAACGTCTCTCTGCCTCAGAAATCCATGACTCAATCCAAGTCAACATTGGATCAGGAATCAAATTCACAAGAGACCTCATCTCAATCCCTTCCTATCTCCACCATGACATCAGAGACATTTCCTCAGAGTACTTTCTCTGAATCCTTGCTGGCATCAACCCTTATGTCAGAAACATTCTCTACTCAAGAGACATATCTTCAAAAAATCCAACCCCAATCTGTGTTAAAACCCACATTTACACTAGAGGCATTTGCTGAAAGTACCTTTCCTGAATCTGTGTCAACATCTACACTGTTACCTGAGACCCATTCCCAAAGCACTCCACCCCAGCCAGTGCCAACTTCCACTCGTAGATCAGGGCCTTATTCCCAAAGACTTTCATCTCTTTCCCTGTCAACATCCACATTAACACCAGAGACGCATGACCTAAGTGATTCACCCAAGCCCATGCCAATGTCCAGATCAGGTACATATTCCAGAAAGACCACAATCCAATCACTGTCAACATCCACATTAAAACCAGAGACAAATTGGCAAATGGCACCAGAGCCTTTGCCGTTGTCTGCTCATAAATCAGAACCCTATTCCAGAAAGATCCCATCCCAATCCATGTCAACATCCAGTCTGACAGAAGAGGCACATCTTCAGACTGCCTCACCACATTTCCCATCAATGTCTACTCTGCCACAAGAATCATTACAAGAGGCACCAGGCAGGATTATTTCCCACAACAGCATAGACACCACAGGGTGGACAGGTATTATTTCATAATTACTCTATTGCTTGGTCTAACCCTCCATTTATTCATGCTGGGGTATTCAGTCTTGCTCCTGGAGGCACAACGAAAGACAGATAAGACGTTAAACCGAGGTCCTGACTCACTGTGGTCATTTACCAATCTCATGGCACTTCTCGTAAAGAGTTGGGGTTTAACCCCGCTGTCCTAACTAAATTCCCCCCATCGGCCCTACCCATCATGGCCTCCCAATCATCCCCATCCACCGAATTGGCTCAATCACTGTCTCTCCACTCCCCCAATAGCTGGTGTGTGGTGAGCGCACTTGCACTGTTGCCCTGTGGCTGCAGTCGTATCATTCAAGTGGATGCTGCAGACTGGTGGTAATTTGGAGAGACCCCTCTCAAGATTGTAAAGCGCTTTGAGTGTATGGTCATACACAATAAACACGCTATACAAGTACACATTACATTTCATTACAATGTTCAGTAAACCTCCCCCAACAGACAAGTTTTTTGTAATTAAGAGGACCAACTAGAGACTAACTAGTTCAGCTCTGGTTAATCCAGATTAGTGTTAAACTCACAGGACAGTGATACTGCAGGAGCAAGAATGGACAACCTTCATGTAACAGTAGGGATCTTAAAGTTCCTTCGCTTCAAAGGTGGATAAGGCAAAATGACATTAAGGGACCAATGATTTGGTCCTTATTCTTGTAGGGAACCTTACAGCTTAGAGACCTTTCAAATTCAAGAAGCATTCTAGTATTCCGATAGGATTTGTTTTAGAAGTGACCACACTCATTTAAACCCAACTGCCTAATCTAATCTGACTCATCTATTTGATTGCATGCTAAAGTTATGCTTTACTCATATGTACCGTTCCATCTTGCCAAAGTTTTACAGCAGTGGCCAAAATTGATATTCGATGAAGAAACAACATTTGCTTTTACAGAAATTTACACAACCCTTTTTCGAATGTATTTGAGTAAGGTGCAAAGACTTCACTTTTGGTCACAACTGTGTTGTCAACTTTAAACCAGATAATATTTCTAAATGGTTAATCGACTAACAGCAGGATCTTCATTTTATAATTTTGACAACAAGTATTGAAAAATACAGCTTAATCTCTGCTCAACTCTCAGCTACAGATTCACAGTGTAGGAGCCGCCCCTTGGACCTGGTCTTCATCATTGACAGCTCACGCAGCGTGCGTCCAGGTGAGTTTGAGAAGGTCAAGATCTTCCTGGCTGACATGGTGGACACTCTTGATGTCGGTCCCGATGCCACACGAGTTGCAGTGGTGAACTACGCCAGCACGGTCAAGATTGAGTTCCTGCTGAAAAGCCATCTTACGAAAGACACTATAAAGCAAGCAATCACCCGCATCGAACCCTTGGCTGCAGGAACCATGACTGGTATGGCCATCAAGAAAGCCATGGATGAAGCATTCACTGAAAAGTCAGGAGCCCGGCCCAAATCGAAGAACATCTCGAAGGTCGCCATCATTGTTACCGATGGGCGTCCTCAGGACCAAGTCGAGGAGGTGTCTGCTGCAGCACGGGCTTCAGGGATTGAGATTTACGCAGTCGGAGTGGACAGAGCTGACATGCGGTCACTGAAGCTCATGGCCAGCAATCCACTTGAGGACCATGTGTTCTACGTCGAGACCTATGGAGTCATTGAGAAGCTCACATCGAAGTTCCGGGAGACATTGTGCGGTAGGGTTAAAGCAAAAAAGGGGAGATGGGGCTCTTTGTCTTTCCCTTTTATAGGATATATCTCAATCCTTGAGAGTGGGTGGTGATTCATCCTCTGGGAAATGAGTGGGTCTGAATTATACATTTAAAAACGTACACCATAAAGGGAATAATTTGGATTTATAGTTTCAAGGTAATTGTCTTGTTTTCCATCAATTTGAATCATCAGATTGCAACGCATTCTGAAGGAAATAGCTCTTCAGCATGTGAGTGCTAATAAACAAAACCCACCAATCATTCAAAGAAGCCTTTTTCTACCATAGCCTTTTTTGAATGCTAATATATGTGCTTTGCATCCTTTAAGTAAGGTCTTTGAATGGAATTCTCTCAGTAATTAATATTGTCATTGTCTTTTCCAGTTGGTGTAAGACTAGTGTACTTCAAGTATGTTTTTCATTGAAAACCTTAGATAATTGAGAGCTTTGAATATCTGACTGTTTGTGGATTATTAAAATTGTTTGTCTTTTTCAGGACAAGATTCGATCTTTTGGACGCTATAATTGCTCATTCAAGTGCTACACTAGAGAAGTGCTTGCTAGTTGCGCTTTCAGAGTATATTATTTGCTTGGTCACCGTAACATTGATAAAAATGCTAACTGCTATGCAAACTAAGGGCACAATTTTGCTAAGTAATTTATCACATAAGAGGCGCTAAAAGTTCCAAAATGAAGTCCCACTGTGTCTTTAAACGGGTTATTAGGGACACCGGTGGTCATTAAGTGAACTGTATCCAGTAATCTGTTTCGCACTTGTGCACACATAACATACAAGAGACTAAACAAGATTCAAGGCCCCATTTGTAATCACTACAAAGTTCTTTTTCATTCTTGATCATTTTCATCGTTTGGTGTTAGTATAGACCTCCGTTTGCCTCTCTCGATATTTACCTCCTGCATGCATTAATCATGTAGAAGCACTACTGCGTACCACTAAAGACCCTGGTATACTTCAACAACAAAATAGAAGATCAAACAGAAATGATTTCTTTTTAGAACATAATTGGTCCAAATTTACATTTGTTTTGATTTAGTTTCAGCACTCTAAAGCAAACCTTTTAAGGAAGTTAATTTTGGTTCCTTGACACTTTTGAGCTAGCATTGGTTCATAGCGATTATACAGTGGGCGTGTTCCAGAACTCCTTCTTTGACGTGCAATTGATTTGTATCTCAATATCACAAAGGTTAGACAGAAGCAACATCCAAAACTACAACAACACCAAGTTAGCAACAAGAGTACATTGAAGAGTCCATTAGCAGAGCTGGTACAGATGTATCCGCACCTGTACGATTGCTCACGGAGAGATTTTAAAGACTGGAAGGGGGTCACGTATGCTTCTTGTTCAGCGTGCGCCATATCGGTGTGTTTAGAGGCTAAACATGAGCATTGTGACACATTTGCAACTCCCCACGTTCAAAAATTATACTGTCAGCCTTTTTGAACTTCTTTTTGCCCTAAAATGAAGAACAAAATACAAATTTAAAGTATACAGGGGCCTATTCCACGATCTCTCGTTTGGGCAGATTAGCTTAAAGGTGTTTTTATAGTACAACGAATATAGTTAAGAATCAAGAGAAATTTGATTAGTTCATGACCCATTTAAGCATTCAATTATTGTGCCATAGGACAGATTAGAGCCCTATAAGGGACTTGTTTTTCATATTGCCATATTGTTGTTCCTAAAATAAAAGCTCCATCACTCAAATCGAGTAATGGCCTCATCACTTCAGTCAAGTAATGAAAGCTTGTTCCAGGTATGGACGCCTGTGCCATGGGTCATGACTGTGAGCACATTTGTGTCAGCAGTGGCTCCTCCTATTACTGCCAGTGCCGGAAGGGCTATATTTTGAACGAAGACCAGAAAACATGTGCCCTAAAACGTAAGAGCCAGCAGATTACGCTTACTGCTTTACTTTAGATTCTGAAGACATACTTAGTACAAATATTCTGTAACAGAGACTAATTTAAGCTTAATAACAATGCATGCTTACATTGCAACAACACTTGCCGCTAACCTGTTTAGCTAGCAATTACTTTCCAGCTTTTCACACGAGTTCCGAGTATGACTTAATGTCATACTATGATTTATTAATCTATTTATATGTGCTAAGTTACTGGTTACATGAAGATGTGAGATCTGTTTTAAATCATAATGAGCTGCCTCGCTGTTTAATTTTAATTTTCACCATCAAACTTAAAAGTAAATAAACAATCATGTTCTTTACTTGAAACATACTGGAGATTTAACACATAGGAGTCTGCTGTTAGCATTGTACTAATTTAACAATGGACAAATGTGTTAAAATCATCTGTTTTTATGTTTCCTGTTTTGAATAGGCTGACTGCCAAAGATTTCTGTGAAATATAACATTTATAAGACATCAGATGTTCTATATGTTGTATTATATCTTAGAGTGCGTCAGACAGCTCACTAGGGTTTAAAATAAATCTGTAATTTAGCAACATGTGTAATGTAATTTTATTTTTCTCCTACCAGCTCACCGATTCAACCCGTTCAGCCAATCTCTGTTAAATTACTGTGGACCTTTCTTGTGTGCTCCATACTGTTCCCAAAACAGTACAGCAATAACATGAGTGTCTATGTTGTATGTCAGACAGATGACCAACCACAACTAAAATTTAAGAGGCAGATTGTATTCAAGATGGGCCAAGTAGAGCAGATTGATTGAAAATTAGTTTATCAGTGCTCAAAAATTAGGGAAAAAAATATATGTATACACTCACTGGCCACTTTATTAGGTACACTATACTTTGACCGGGTTGGATCCCCTTTTGCCTTCAGAGCTGACTTAATCCTTTGTGGCATAGATTCAACAAGGTACTTAAAATATTCCTCAGAGCTTTTTAGGGCTCAAGCTAGGGCACTTGCCCTGTTTGGAAGTGTCCCTTTAAAATAAATGATCAATCCCCAATAGAGGGATGGACACAGTCAACAACAATACTCGGGTAGGCTGTGACACTGCTTAATTGGTATTAATGAGGCCAAAGTGCCAAGAAAATATCCCCCACACCATTACACCACCACCACCACCACCAGACTGAACCTTTTATATAAGGCAGGATGGATTCATGCTTTCATGTTGTTGTTGCCAAATTCTGACCCTACCATCTAAATGTTGCAGCAGAAATCGAGACTCATCAAAGCAGGCAATGCTTTTCCAATCTTCTGTTCAATTTTGGTGAGCCAGTGCGAATTGTTGCCTCAGTTTCCTGTTCTTAGCTGACAGGAGTGGCACACTGCTGCTGTACCCCATTCGCCTTAAGGTTCAAGTGTTGTGTGTTCAGAGATGCTCTTCTGCATACCTTGGTTGTAACAAGTGGTTATTTGAGTTACTGTTGCCTTTCTATCAGCTCAAACCAGTCTGGCCATTCTCCTCTGGCATCAACAAGGCATTTTCGCCTATAAAACTGCTGTCGGCTGGATATTTTCTCTTTCGGTCCATTCTCTGTAAACCCTAGAGACGGTTGTGCGTAAAAAAATCAGCAGCAGTTTCTGAAATACAGCCCACCTGACACTAGCAACCATGCCACGTTCAAACAACCAAGCCATGTTACCCAAATCACCGTTCTTCCCCCATTCTGATGCTCAGTTTAAACTGCAGCAGATTGTCTTGACCATGTCTACATGCCTAAATGCATTGAGTTGCAGCCATGTGATTGACGGACTAGAAATGTGCATTGAGCAGTTGGACAGGTGTACCTAATAAAGTGGCCGGTGAGTGTATGGTTTAATTGAAAAGCAACTCTAAATATTTTTTGTTTTCTTAAATACGTGTTTTTTGCAGTGGCAGATATATTTTAATGCAGTAGTAAATTGGAAAACTGCCCACAGAGGTAAGACAAAATACACTCAAATGAAAAAGATAGCCTTGTGTTAATTTCTAAAACGTGTTGAACACAAAAAAATGTGTTCACTAAACATATTAACACTAAAATGTGTGAATATCTAAAACAGGCTTGCTTCTCAAATTGTCCAAAAAATATTAAATTGTAATAATTATAAAATTATAATAATTTATAATTATAAGAATAGTATTTTCAGTGCAAGGTTCAGCATTTTTATTTTTCCAATTCTTTCCAAAAAACAATGGCAACAATCATATATAACTGATAAATTATCTTTAAAACTATATTTGAGATAAAAGATAAACACATACTGGTATAAAACATACAAATAGAATAGAATAGAATGATTTGATTCACATTTTTTATGATAATACAAATATATGATTAAAATGAATAATTAGAATTAACCATAATTAGCTTGGCATCTAAAATATTGAAAACCCCGGATTAAATTGATCATGCAATCTCTGACTGTAATCTTGCTGTTGCTGTAATGATATGTTTAAACATAGAAAGTAAAAATCTTTCAGAAAATTTTGTTAGTGTTGCTGTAAATGTCCTGTATGGCTTATTCCAGATGTAGATGCCTGTGAAATGGGACACAGCTGTCAGCACGTTTGTGTGAGCAACGGCAACTCGTATCGATGCAAGTGCCTCCAAGGCTTTGTCTTGAACGACGACAAGCAAACATGCTCCATTAGAGGCGCTGGTGCTTACGGACAGGGCGAAAGTGTACACAAGGGTGACCGAAAGAGAAAGAATGATGCCAACCAAAACAGGGAATCTAGTGCCAGTGAGTTATGAAATGACTACATACATGCCATTTCATGATCTGGAATTTAAATTAAGGGATAGTTCACTCCAAACATTTTTACTTACCCTCCACTTTTTTCAAATATGAGAGGGTTTTTTCTGTTGAAGACAAAATAATGTTGGAAACCAGTAGCCATTAACTTCCATAGTGTTTTTTCCTATAGTGAATGTTGAAAACTATTAGCCATTAATTCCATTGGGTTTTTGTTCCCATTGTCAATGTTGGAAACCAGTAGCCATTGAGTTCGATAGCGTATTTGTTCCCATAGTCAATGCTGGAAACCAGTAGCTATTGACTTCCAGTGTTGTTTTCCCATAGTGAATGTTGGAAACCAGTAGCCATTGATTTCATTGTGTTTTTGTTCCCATAGTCAATGTTGGAAACCAGTAGCCATTGAGTTCTACAGTGTTTTTGTTTCCATAGTCAATGTTGGAAACCAGTAGCCATTGACTTCCAGTGTTTTTTCCCATAGTGAATGTTGGAAACCAGTAGCCATTGAGTTCCATAGTGTTTTTGTTCCCATAGTCAATGTTGGAAACCAGTAGCCATTGACTTCCAGTGTTTTTTCCCATAGTGAATGTTGGAAACCAGTAGCCATTGAGTTACATAGTGTTTTTGTTCCCATAGTCAATGTTGGAAACCAGTAGCCATTGAGTTCCATAGTGTTTTTGTTCCCATAGTCAATGTTGGAAACCAGTAGCCATTGACTTTCACAGTGTATTTGTTCCCCTAGTCAATGTTGGAAACCAGTAGCCATTGACTTCCACAGTGTTTTTGTTCCCATAGTCAATGTTGGAAACCAGTAGCCATTGACTTCCACAGTGTTTTTGTTCCCATAGTCAATGTTGGAAACCAGTAGTCATTGACTTCCACAGTGTTTTTGTTCCCATAGTCAATTTTTTCCCAATGTCAATGTTGGAGACCAGTAGCCATTGACTTCCAGTGTTTTTTCCCATAGTGAATGTTGGAAACCAGTAGCCATTGAGTTACATAGTGTTTTTGTTCCCATAGTCAATGTTGGAAACCAGTAGCCATTGAGTTCCATAGTGTTTTTGTTCCCATAGTCAATGTTGGAAACCAGTAGCCATTGAGTTCCATAGTGTTTTTGTTCCCATAGTCAATGTTGGAAACCAGTAGCCATTGACTTCCACAGTGTTTTTGCTACCATAGTCAATGTTGGAAACCAGTAGCCATTGACTTCCACAGTGTTTTTGTTCCCATAGTCAATGTTGGAAACCAGTAGCCATTGACTTCCACAGTGTTTTTGTTCCCATAGTCAATGGTGGAAACCAGTAGCCATTGATTTCCACAGTGTTTTTGTTCCCATAGTCAATGTTGGAAACCAGTAGTCATTGACTTCCACAGTGTTTTTGCTCCCATAGTCAATGTTGGAAACCAGTAGCCATTGACTTCCACAGTGTTTTTGCTCCCATAGTCAATGTTGGAAACCAGTAGCCATTGAGTTCCATAGTGTTTTTGTTCCCATAGTCAATGTTGGAAACCAGTAGCCATTGACTTCCACAGTGTATTTGTTCCCATAGTCAATGTTGGAAACCAGTAGCCATTGACTTCCACAGTGTTTTTGCTCCCATAGTCAATGTTGGAAACCAGCAGCCATTGACTTCCACAGTGTATTTGTTCCCATAGTCAATGTTGGAAACCAGTAGCCATTGACTTCCACAGTGTTTTTGTTCCCATAGTCAATGGTGGAAACCAGTAGCCATTGACTTCCACAGTGTTTTTGCTCCCATAGTCAATGTTGGAAACCAGTAGCCATTGACTTCCACAGTGTTTTTGTTCCCATAGTCAATGGTGGAAACCAGTAGCCATTGACTTCCACAGTGTTTTTGTTCCCATAGTCAATGGTGGAAACCAGTAGCCATTGACTTCCACAGTGTTTTTGCTCCCATAGTCAATGTTGGAAACCAGTAGCCATTGTCTTCCACAGTGTTTTTGTTCCCATAGTCAATGTTGGAAACCAGTAGTCATTGACTTCCACAGTGTTTTTGTTCCCATAGTCATTTTTTTCCCAATGTCAATGTTGGAGACCAGTAGCCATTGACGTCCAGTGTTTTTTCCCCATAGTGAATGTTAGAAACAAGTAACCATTGATTCCATCCATTGTGTTTTTGTTCCCAAAGTCAATGTTGGAAACCAGTAGCCATTGACTTCCAGTGTTTTTCCCAAAGTGAATGTTGGAAACCAGTAGCCAATGACTTCCTGTGTTTTTCCCAAAGTGAATGTTTTAAACAAGTAGCCATTGATTCCATTGTATTTTTGTTCCCATAGTCAATGTTGAAAATCAGTAGCCATTAAGTTCCATAGTGTTTTTTCCCACCCCATAGTAAATTATGGAAATCAGTAGACATTGACTTATGTATTTTTTTGTCTACTATGCATGTTAGTAGATAAAAGTTTCCAGCATTCTTCAAATTAACTTTTGTGTTTGTCACTTAAATAAATGGTAAGTAAATGTTTCGGGTGGACTATCATTTTAAACTGAAAGGATTAGAACTGGTTTTACAGTTTGGTTGCTATTGAATAATATTTAAGCTTTTGCAACATGTTCCAGTGGATATTCTGAAGCCCAGCCAGACAAAAGTAATCCTCCACATATTGGTCGCCACTATGGCTTATTTCAGGTGTGGATGTGTGTGCTTTGGGCCATGACTGCCAACACACTTGCGTCTCCAGCAGTTCGTCCTATTACTGCACGTGTCCTACTGGCTTTGTCCTGATGGAGGACAAGAGATCATGCTTCAAAGCCAATGACGCTGATGCTGATGGTAGTGCCAGTGAGTTTTCTGCTTAGGCCTTCATAAATGGTATAGACATACCATTTTATGATAGGTAGCTAGCTGAATTGTGCAAATATATTTCATTTAAAGGAAAATCACATGTATTGGAGGATCAATTGAGATGTAATGCTTTTTAGTATTTTCTTTCATGTGAGGTTTGTTAGCATCAGGGTTGTAGAGTTTGGACTTATTGCAGGTCTGGACTACTGTATGCTGGGTCATGAATGTGAACACATTTGCGTCAGCGATGCTGCTGCCTATCACTGTGAGTGCCGGCGGGGTTTTGTGTTGCAAGAAGACAGGAAAACATGTTCCAAAAAAAGTAAGAGCCCTGAAAGAACTGCATTTCAATTCAAAATACAGCAGAAAAATTATGAATTAACTAAGAAAACACTTGAAAATTAATTATTTTATTTTATTTATTATTATTTATTTATATTTTTGAGATTCAGAATTTTTGAGTTTTTGTCTCGGGTCAAGTTCAAATATCTAAAAAAATAAATCTGAAAACGAGAAGAATTTTCAGGAAGTTAAAATATTGTTTTGTTTTTACTAATCAAGCAAAATAATCTACCAGTGAGGTCATTAAAATAATTTGATTTCCAACTGAAAGCAAGATTATTTTACTCACTTCATTTTGATTGATTTATTCCTGAAACCAAAAAGTATTTTGACTTAGAAAATGCTCCTCAATTTAAGATTTTTTTAGATATTTTAACTAGAAATGAAAAAAATAAATAAATAAATAAATTTGCATTTATTTTTTGGCAAAAATCATGTGGGGGGAAATGTGCCATGTTCTTAGACATTTACAGTATATTGAAAAGTATTCACAGCTCTTCACTTTTTCCACATTTTATGTTACACAGCCTTATTCCAAAATGGATTAAATTCTTTTATTTCCTTAAAATTCTACACATAATACCCCATAATGACAATGTGAAAAATTAGCTTTTGAAATTGTTGCAAATTTATTACAAATAAAAAAAAACGGAGAAATCACATGTGCATAAGTATTCACAGACTTTGCTCAATACTTTGTTGATGCACCTTTGGCAGCAATTACAGCCTCAAGTCTTTTTAATATGATACCACAAGCTTGGCACACCTGTCTTTGAGAATTGTTGCATTCCTCTTTGCAATACCTCTCAAGCTCTAGCACGTTGGATGGGAAGCGACAGTGTACAGCCATTTTCAGATCTCTCCACAGATGTTTAATAGGATTTAGGTCTGGGCCGTGAAGCCACTCCATTGAAATTTGGCGGTGTGCATTGTGTCATTATCCTGCTGGAAGATAAACTGTCGCCCCAGTCTGAGGTCAAGAGAACTCTGAAGCAAGTTCTCATTCAGGATGTCTCTGTACGTTGCTGCATTCATCTTTCCCTCTATCCTGACTAGTCTTCCAGTTCCTGCTGCTAAAAAACATCCCCACAGCATGATGCTTCCACCACCATGCTTCACTATAGGGACGGTATTAGCCAGGTGATAAACGGTGCCTGGATTTCTCCAAACGTAACGCCTGGCATTCACTCCAAAGAGTTCAATTTTAGTCTCATCAGACCAGAGAATTTAGTTTCTTATGGTCTGAGAGTCCTTCAGATACCTTTTGCCAAATTCCAGGTGGGGAGGGGCTTCTGTCTGGCCACTCTACTATACAGGCCTGATTGGTGGATTGCTGCACAGATGGCTGTCCTTCTGTAAGGTTCTCCTCTCTCCACAGAAGAACGCTGGAGCTCAGACAGAGTGACCATCGGGTTATTGATCACCTCCCTGACTAAGGCTCTTCACCCCCCGATCACTCAGCTACGATGACCGGCAAATTCTAGGAAGAGTCCTGGTGGTTCCAAACATCTTCCACCTACGGATGATGGAGGCCACTGTGCTCAATAGAACTTTCAGAGCAGCAGAAATGTTTCTGTAACCTTCCCCAGCCTTGTGCCTCGAGATAATCCCGTCTCGGAGGTCTACAGCCAATTCCCTTGTCTTCATGCTTGGTTTGTGCTTTGACATGCACTGTCAACCCTGAAACCTTAAATGCCTTTTCAAATCATGTCCAATCAACTGAATTTACCACAGGTGAACTCCAATTAAGCTGCTGAAACAGCTCAAGAACGATCAGTGAAAACAGAATGTACCTGAGCTCGATTTAAAGCTTCACGGCAAAGGCTGTGAATACTGATGTACATGTTTATTTTTTTGTTTTTTTATTTTGAATAATTTTGCAACAATTAAAAAAAAAATTTATTATGGGGTATTGTGTGTAGAGTTTTAAGGAAATAAATGTATTGAATCCAGATTGGAATAAGGTTGTAACAGCTCTATGAATATTTTCCAAATGCACTGTATATTCATTTTAAGAACACAATATCCATTTAAAATAAAAATTAAAAACATTTATTAGTCTGACCAATCCTCATTTTCAAAAAAAAAAACAAAAAAAAAAAAGCTCTAAATGACCAAATATTTAGATATTTGTTACATTTGGGAAAATATTTGGTTAAATAAATCTGGATCACTATAAAAAAGCCTCATCTGTCAGTGTCTGTAATTTCCCACATGTTGAGTTGGTTGATTCAACATTGATGTGAACTCATAATATGTAACACTCACAATGTTGTTCAAAAGTTTATGAACAACATTGCATAAACTGTTACATAAGAACTTTATGTAATAACTTTTACTTTGGGGTAAGGGGGGGTAGATCTTTTTTTCTGTGCATGATTCAAATCGCCCTTTGCGAGGTTTTCTGTGATATTTGTTGTTTGACTGTGATGTGAAGAGGTGAAGGTGGAGATTGTTCAGGATCCCTGCATGTGTGAAGCCCGACTGGCTTTCCAGAGGCAAACACAAACCTCCATTCAGGACCTCAACGCCAAGCATATCCTTTTTGCCAAGTCCAAGAGTGCAACTACATTTCCCAGAATGCAATGCAAACTGTAACTCTTACAGAAATAATGCACTAAATCATTGCCCGTTTTAACCTTAACGATCGTTATACTTGCTGCTGTCACAAGAAAGATTGAGCAAATGGAAAACATGCTGGGACGCATGTAATGGAGAAATGAATGGTGCGTATTAATTCTCTAACGTGTTTTTAATAGATGTATATTTTAAAACACAAACCTTCAACACTTACTTCTGCTCAGCAGGGTCAGCATGATCTGTGAACTTCAGCCAACATACATCTGCCATCTCATCAATCAGTTTGTGCCTTCAAAACACCTAAAGAAAAGTTACATATGTTCACAGATCAGTGACAAGCCCAATAAATTATATCAAGCTTAAATAATTCATAAAGAATTGATTGTGCATGTGCAATGATGTGATTTTGCTCAGTAAGAATAATCTTTTCATTTAAGAGTGTTATGCATCTGTCTATTATATGAATTAGGGCTGCACAATATATCGTTTCAGCATCAATATCGCTATGTGCATATTTGCAATAGTCACATCACAGGATGTGCAATGTTGAGTCTGAATTATAGTTGACCTGGACTTACAGATTTGCATTTTATTACTGTATTTACACAAAATTTCTATGATTTCTATGAAAAAAAAAAAAGTTTTTATTACTTAGAATTTTTGTCTTGTTTCTAGTCCAAATATCTACATTTTAAAGCAAAACCAATATTTTTTGTTTTTGTTTTTACTTACACCCCTGGTATATAATTTACTTGTTTTGAAGCAAAGCAATATTTTTACTTGCTCTATAATTTTTTGATATTTGGACTAGAAATGAGACAAAGCAAAGTAATAAAAGCTTTTTTTGCATTGTGATTATTCAATTTCTGTACCTGAATTCTGTTAGACTCCATAGAAAACCATCAAATAGAGCTATTCAAACAGTAAAAACAGAAAAAAAACTGCAATATCATTTACAATATCGTGCAGCCCTAATATGAATGTTTATTAGTTTAGATATGATTATCTAAGTTGTAATTTTGTTGTTCAAGCTCATGTCAAAGAGAAAGTGTAACTATTGTTTAATCTTATGTAACCTCTCCAATACTGTAATCTCCAATATTTATAATCAAGCAATTTAATCAATAATATATACTGTTTTTATTAAAATTAATTATAAAACTCTTTTAAACAGTTTGTTTACCCAGTTTGTATATTGTAAAAAGTGATTTGTTTAAAAAAAAAAGTGAGTAAAAAATGCCACCTTAAAAGCAACAAGTTGACTTTACTTAAAATATTGCGGAAACCCTTTGTAACAAAGTTGGAACTGTTTCATTGGTGTTACTCAACTTTCATAATTATGCACATACACACACTGGCCACTCACAGGTACATGTCCAACTGCTCGTTAATGCAAATTTCTAATCAGCCAATCACATGGCAGCAACTCACCACATCCTACCTGAGTATTATTGCTGACCATATCCATTCCTTTATGACCACAGTGTACCCATCTTCTGATGGTTACCTCCAGCAGGATAACATGCCATTTCATAAAGCGCAAATCATCTTACACTGGTTTCTTAAACATGACAATGAGTTCACTGTACTCAAATGGCCTCCACAGTCACCAGAAGTCAATCCAGTTGAGCACCTTTGGGATGTGGTGAAACGGGAGATTCACATCATGGATGTGCAGCCGACAAATCTGCAACAACTGTGTGATGCTATCATGTCAATACGGACCAAAATCTCAGAGGAACATTTCCAGTACCTTGTTGAATCTATGACATAAACGATTATAACAGTTCTGATTTCTAAAGGCAAAAGGGGGTCCAACCTGGTAGTAGTAAGGTGTTCCTAATAAAGTGGCCGGTGAGTGTAGTTCATTTACTCTTAGTAGGGCAACAGGTTCACTCACTTTAAGCAGTCTACTTATGACATTTTACTTTGTAATGTTTGCCTACAAATTTTTAAATCAAGATACATTTGATAAGAAAACGACTCAAGATTAAATAGTGAGATCAAAATTGAGTGATTTTGTGCAAAAAAAACAACAATCCTCAAGTGTTGTGAGACATAATTCTGTTTTCCTTGAATTTTTGTCTTCTTTTGAAGCATAAATTCCCACCAACATAATTTTTTTCGGTCACACTTTGCATTTTAGGAAACAAATTGTCTCACATTACAATAAGTTAATATCAGTTTATGTATTCATAACATAAACTAAGAATCAACAGTATATTTATTACAGTATTTCTTCATTTTTGTTAACTTTAGTGCATTAAAATAAAGCTGTTCATGTTAACTACAGCAAGAATTTGGATGTTAATAATGCATTAGTAAGGTGCACCAGGTAATCTGGCAAAATGGTAACCGGTTAGCATAATATCTTCGAAACACAGTCCCACTCCTGCCATACAAATCCATGCCTCCTGAAATTAAAACGCTCACATTAAAGATGACAGTAGACAACTCACTAGATCATGTCATCCACCAGTTAGAAAACTTTATCATACGTTATAATACTACAATTCCGAACAAAAAAACTGTTTTATATCCAGCACGTTTTTATGTGGCAAGCAAAACTTGTCATAATATGCAATATTTTATGCATGCAAGGATCGCTGATCTCTCAAAGGATTTATCCAAAAGCGACTACTGTATGCTTTGTGGTTGGCAGGCGGTGTTCAGGAATTACACATTACTAAGCCATACTTACATACTATTTCAGACCGAATATTCAAAGTAGCATGGTAAACAATATAGGGACCAGATTGTTCAGAAATGAACCAATGGGAATATAAAAGCAACTTCACCGCAGTAAAGAAGGTTAGGTGGAATAGCGCTGTTTACTGATGTTTTGTTGTTAAACTAAATAAAAATCTGCTGTAAAAGGTCCCTTATGAAACTGAAAATAGTCACATCAATCTTTCGCCGGAAGATTTCAGTGGCTAAATAACCCCTCATGTGCATTATAACCCCTTTCGAAAAACAACAAAATCTACATCAGCTTTGCCTGACTAAAATAGTTTTAAAACATAAAAAGAAATACCTCAGCCATGGTGTCAGCCTTTCTCCAGCATAACTTCAATTGGATTCAGGATTTTGAAGTTTTGATTGAGCATTTGTTTTTACTGCCCTCACTCTCTCATGTGCAAGTGAACGAGGCGCACATGCATGCGCAAACAGTGGATCTGTCTGCGTGAACGGGTGCACAGATGTACAAATCTACATTTGTTGACAGACAGTTTGGGCTACTTATCAGAATTATGGGAATTATCAGCCCAACAAATTTTTATTTGAACATTTTTTAGTCTGTCTTACCCAGAATATAAGAATACATATAAATACATTTAGAGCATTTACGTTACTTATGTGAAGAGACTTTCAACCAGCACAACAAAAATCTTGCTGAAGACAATCACCTACTCCACCTTTAATAAATGCTGTACAAGTGTTGTTTATAACTAATGTATATATTAGTTCATGTTAGTACATTAACTAATTCAATACTTATTGTAAAGTATGACCATTTTTTTCTCTACACAAAAACACGCAAGTCTTTTCGTTCATAATATTTATGTTGGTTTTCCCCTTGAGCTCCTACAGAAATCATCACATAGTTCAGCTAGACAGACTATAGGTTTAACAGGAAGATGTCAAAAAGCTGTCTGCAACCGCTGTGCCTAAATCAATATTTCAGCCGTCACGCACCTTCAGTCTAGCCATAGACTATACATGTTCCTGACAAGCTTTCAGAGACATTTGACTAGCCAATCTAATACCACATATATGCTAAGCAAACATCTGAACATCCCATAAATTCAAGCAGTCTGAGAACATCGCGATCCCTTCTCTGATCCCAAATCTAATCTAAAATCGATTCACAACCCTATGGCATTGGAGCATCTTCAAAACCACATCAACTGATATTTCTCCATCAGCTGTTAAAGCAAACAGAGACAGTATTCATCTGCTTGTGAGGAAATGAAATGAAACTATTCATTTGGGGGGGGGGGGGGGGGTGGAGGTGGATTGATCAAAGCGGCTTTTTACCTTTGAGTTCAATGCAATGTGTTAATTCTCACAGCAAACACCAATATTTGGGTCAGAAGGGTGAGCAAAGATCATTCAGTTCAGTGAAAAAAGACAGCATATGAGGTCTTGAAGTTCATTGAGATCTGGGTAAAAGGTGCACTAAGCACTCATATCACAAGAAAGCTACAGTAATTGATAGTAAATACTACACTTTTTGAACCATCACAACAAGGGTTTCCAAACTATTCAGCCCGCGACTCCTAAAATAACAATGCCAGTGACCCATGACCCCAAAACTCCCTTAGAGGTGGTTATTAATATAAAAAAGTTCCACACACAACAACAGCCCTATATAAACATGAGCTTATTGACAACACAAAAAAGTGCAACAGTCTTACAACCATATGATTTTTATAGTCATTTATCTATTTGTTTAATTTAATGTAACCTAATCTAAAGCGACTGGTGAGCACAATGTTTTCAGCACAAGTCTATTCTTGGTTTTAATTTTGGAGACAAAAAACTAATCAGAGCTGATTCTCAATGTCTCAAGGTTGTGGCCTGTATTTATTTTGAATGTATTAGATTGCCATAAATTTGTCAGAAAGTTTAACCTGGTGCTATAAAAGCAATCTGCTGCAGCTGACGCTATTGCTAATGTAAACACACCAATTCTATGAAAAAAATAATTGAAAGGCTGATGGCTTTAAATTTGCATGCTGTTTTTTACTGTTAAAACTATCATTTTTAGCTTTTGTGGGTTACGGATAAAATATGATAATTCTATTAGTTCAATAAAATTTATTTGACTTTTGGAAATCACCAAGCGACCCCCTTTCACTGTCCTGTGACCCCCCAGGGGGTCCCAAAACCCACTTTGGGAACCACTGCAAAGTGTATTATATTGTAATATCTACAACTCTTTACTCCACACAGAAATGCCAACTGGCCCAGCCGGGACTCGAACCAGTGACCTTCTTGCTGTCAGGTGGCAGTGCTAACCACTGAACCACCATGTCACCCCTTTTGTGCTCAACATGACAAAAAATGCAAAATGGTATGAAACAAGTGAAGCGAGAGTAAATGATTACAGAATCATTAGCCATAACCAAACATTAACCATATATTTTTCTATAGTCATTTATAAATTTAATATTAACCCCAAATGTCATATTTTTAATGTATTAGTGTACCATAAAGGTGGTCAGAAAGTTTAGGATGGGTTGCAGCTGGAAGGGCATCCGCTGCGTAAAATTGTGCTGGAAAAAACTAAGCCGAAAAAGAAAATAAATGAATGAATGAATTTTGCTGTTTCTTTAATGTAATTATTAACTGTCTTCTGTGGGTTGTGAATAATATATGGTAATTCTAAGAGTTTAATGAAATTTATTTGAGTCTTGGAAATCACCAAGCGGGCTGCATGGAGGAGCAGTGAGTAGCACGTTATCCTCACAGCAAGAAGATTGCTGGTTCAGTTGGCATTTCTGTGTGGAGTTTGCATGTTCTCCCCATGTTCACATGGGTTTCCTCTGGGTGCTATTTTCCCCACAAGTCCAAAGACATGTGGTATTGGTATAGGTGAATTGGTTATGCTAAATTGTGCGTAGTGTATGTGTGTGATTGAGTGTGTATAAATGTTTCCCAGTGATGGGTTGCAGAAGGACATCCACTGCGTAAAACATGTGCTGGATAAGTTGGCGGTTCATTCCACTGTGGTGACCCCAGATTAGGGACTAAACCGAAAGGAAAATGACTGAATGGTGAATAAAATCACCAATCGACCCCTCATCATTGTCCTGACCCCCACTTTGGTAATCACTGTTATGTTATAGTTGCAGAACTAGTCTTGGTTAATAAGTTTACTGTTACTTTTAATTTGTTCATAGATGTTGTGTTAAGACAGCAAAAAGAAAACCGTAACAGATTAAGTTAGCTAATTGAGTAGGCCTACTTTACTATGGTGCAAAAACACTACATTTACTATCATACCTATTGTTTTTCCATATTGTTGCACCTCCACTTCTCCCCACTGTTTTGACGTAAACATTAAACATATTTCCTCTGTTTGGACCTTGACGGTGGACTTTAGTGGTCATAAATCTCCTTCAAAGCATTCCCCATGTGCACATGTTCCTCTAAAACTATCTATCTATCCTGTCAAAGACTGCGTGAAAAACACGTCTGGTAAAGACTTTCACATCCTTACCTCACAGGTAAACACGGAGCTGACAAATTCCCCAGAGAGTTAAAAAGGTTGGGTAGGCCCTATGTCCAGAAAAAAAAATGAATGCTGAAAGACGGTACAGACATACCTGGAGGTGAATTTCTGTTGGTTTTTGTGATTTTGAAGATATGGGAGAGAAATGCTAGACATCTAACAGAAGTACAAGTAGGAGTAGGCTAATGTTAGCATGTTAGCACCATACTAGTATAGCTAATGCAGAAGTTGACCGTGAAGTTTCTGTTTCCATGGTATTTGATTATAATAATATATAATAATATATCAACACACCTAGAAATAACGCTTAGTTTTGACACAGTAAACTACTGTTTTTTATTACACTGGATTTATTTACTTATTTTATTCTTATTTATTATCCAAGAGCCACTATTAAACAATTATTTAATAAGTTAATTACTGTGATTAAAATGTTGATATTTGTTTTATTTTATATAGGTCTAATAACATCTCTTCTGTCTTTTAGATTTTTTAGAAGAAGGAATCCTGGTCAAAATAATGTTTAAAATTTTATGTGAATGGTTATTCCACCAAATGTAAATTTTTTCGTAAGTTAAACTGTAAATATAAATGAATACAAACTTCTGAAACTTGCATGCAACTCCTTTCTTTGTTTTATGCTAAATTAAATGTTCATAATATTATATAATGTAGCTCTTTTATTCTTTGTTTTGTATGAAGTTTCATCAGCATATAGGTGTTTGAATGAGATAGACTACTCTTTGTTTCTTGTGTAAGCACAGAATAGATGCATAATTGAAAAGCTGTGTATTTAATTCATTAAATTATAATTTCTATAACTTTGTGATAATCAGTGGTGGAAGAAGTACTGAAAAATCATACTCAAGTAAAAAAACATTACTTGCCCAAAAGTGTAGTTCAATTAGAGTAAAAGTATCCGTTGTAAAAATTACTCAAAGTATGAGTAAAAAGTAGCCCTTTTAAAAGTATGCAAGAGTGAGTTTTGCATGTGTGTGTGTGTGTAAACGTAACATTCTGTAATGCATTTGAAAACATCCCTCATCTCATCACTGACATTCAGTCTAAACAGTATTTCGTTTTTTATTTGATCAGCAAACCACAGCTGTGCAGAGAGAGAGAACAAGGTGTGTGTTTATCGATAACTTTCCATAATATCTGCTTTTTTGCTAGACACACTTGTATCACTTATACCGGTGTCAATGTTTCCTCAGTGCTCACCTCCTCCAGCGATAATGTATCTCTTAAACAAACATTTCGCTATTTTTATTTGAAAATGAACTACAAAAATAAAACACATCACAGTGTATGTGGCATTAACTAGTCTATAGCATACATTCATAGAAAAGATCGAACACACACAGTGACAGAACCACTTAGTGAATGTACTTATTTTAACTGTCAGGGTCCCTGACAGAAACATCATGTGTTGTCTTGTATAAAAAAATATTGGTTTTAGGTTTTTAAAAAAAAAAAATGTATATTTATGCCATTTAATTAGAAAAGGTTCATTCAAAACTCAAATTGCTTTGCCTGTCTATACAATAGAGTGCTAGTTTAGGATACAACCTTACCATATGTCAAACATTTTTAATGTATTACTCTGAATTTATTACTTATAAATGCAATATTATATATATATCTATATATATATATACATATATATATATATATATATACATATATATATACATATATATAAATTTACCTCATATGGTTAACTAAAATGAATATCTTAAAATTGCCCCTGCTCAGTATGATGCCATTTACTTTCTATGTGCAATTTGATTGGACAGGATGTGCAGGGCTGATTTTTCTAATCCCCATAGACAGGAAAAAAATAAAGTAGTGACGGCAGGTTAAAGGAAGTAGTGGGGTAAAAGTACTGATACAGCTCTAAAAATGAACTTAAGGGAAATTAAAAGTCCACAGTTATAAAACTACTTAGTAAATTACAATTCCTGAGATAAACTACTTGATTACAGTCATTAGAGTATTTGTAACTTGTTACTTTACACCACTGGTGACAATAAAATAAATGACAAAAGCACGCATTCAGTCACTCACCGTGCAAACAAAAAATGATTTATAATTTTTTTTTTTAACTAGCTTTTAATGACATTTACTTTGACATCAAATCTATGTAATGTGGCATGTTAAAAGTTAACTTATAATATTTTATTATTATTATTATTATTATTATATATTATTATTATACAACAGGTACACAACAATAGAACAAACAATTTAATAAATGGCTGATAGAAGATAAATAATAATAGTACAAAAAACAGCATAGACAAATCAAAACACACAAACAAAAAGTGTATAAATAATTAAATATAATCCCTTTACATTTTTCATTCATTCATTTTCTTTTTCAGCTTAGTCCCTTTATTAATCTGGGGTCGCCACAGCGGAATGAACCACCAACTTATCCAGCACGTTTTACGCAGCGGATGCCCTTCCAGCCACAATCCATCTCTGGGAAACATCCACACACATTCATTCACACACACACTCGTACATTACAGACAATTTAGCCTACCCAATTCACCTGTACCCCATGTCTTTGAACTGTGGGGGAAACCGGAGCACCCGGAGGAAACCCAGGTAAACACAGGGAGAACATGCAAACACCACACAGAAACGCCAACTGCAGCCGAGGCTCGACCCAGCGACCTTCTTGCTGTGAGGCGACAGCACCACCTACTGCGCCACTGCGTCGCCACCTTTACATTAATTAAAACTAATTAAAACAGAACAAAAACGGGCAGTTTTAATGGTAAGGTCTAGATGGGATTTGCATGTCAATATAGCATAATTTTTGTTAGACTGTATAATAATAATTAAGATTTTTACATTATTGTGACGGTTGGGTTTAGGGTTGGGGTAGGTGTTAATATAATGCAATTTCTTGGGTAATTTAATAAATAACATAAATAATACTTAGTACAACCACTGATTTTACATTACTGTGACATTGGGTTTGCTGTTGGGGTAGAGGTAAATGTTAATACGATACAATAAATAGGAAATTTAATAAAGAATATAAGTAATTCTCGTTAACTTCCGTCCACAACTGTATCTGATCTAGCAATAATCAGTTTTAATGGCCTTTCTATTCATACGTTGTAGCATAGTACAGAAGTACTTTATTCAGTTCTTTATAAAACACCTTTTTTTGTTACAAAATGTACACATGAATATGAAACTTAATCAACAAAATAATTAGATTAATAACAAAAAGTTTATTCACTTTACTCACATTATTGTAATTAAAATTTGTTTTCAGAATACAGATAAAAATGAAATAAAGATGTCAAAATCCGCACAGTGGCGCAGTGGGTTGCGCTCTCGCCTCACAGCAAGAAGGTTGCTGGTTCAAGCCTCGACTGAGTCAGTTAGCATTTCTGTGTGGAGTTTGCATGTTCTCCTTGTATTGGCGTGGGTTTCCTCTGGGTGCTTGAATTTCCCCAAGTCCAAAGATATGCGCTGAATTGGGTAAGCTAAATTGTTCCTAGTGTATGTGTGAGAATGAGAGTGTGTGGATGTTTCCCAGTGATGGGTTGCAGCTGGAAGGGCATCCGCTGTGTAAAACATATGTTGGAATAGTTGTCGGTTCATTCCGCTTTGGCTTTGAGACTAAGCCAAAGGACAATAAATAATTAAATGAATTTATTTATTTATTAATTGTATTAATTTTTATTATAGTTTAGTCCAAACACAATATTTGATTTTGATTTTATGTTGAACCAAAGCAATTCAATTTATTCATCGTCTATAACAATTTATAACATTTTACCTTTAAATCAATGTATTTTTTCCTTGGGCAGAATAAATAAATTTGATTAATATTAAATTGCATTTTTTTTCAGTTTCAACCAAGTCAAAACTATAAAATAAGGAAAAATGTATAGATTTATCTGTAAGAAATTGCTTTTTTTTAAGTTGGTCGAAAGCAAAATTATACTTTGATCCTAGGGTAAAAAGAAGTTGGATAAGTTGGCGATTCATTCCGTTGTGGCGACCCCACATTAATAAATTGACTAAGCCGAAAAGAAAATGAATGAATGAATGAATGAATAAAGATGCCAAAATATGTGAGGTACAGTTCCCAAATACAAAGAGCAAAATGAACTAACTTAAAATAACTTCAGTGACCCCTGATGAAGCGTTTTCGTATTGCGCTAAATATTACACTCCAGCTCAGAAGGCGGCGCTCACATGCCGCCATTACATTGACACATCCAATCAGATCGCTGCAAACGATCCAACTTATAAATATTAATGACGTTAAACCAGAAACGCTGCAACTTCATCACGAACGAATTAATATTCATGAGGTGGCTAGTGCAAGCAAGAGCAGCGTTACATGGAGAACAGCGAGCTAAAGATCCTACAAAAAGCGCATGAAGAGTTTAACAGTAAGAATTATAAACGAGCAGAGGAATTATACACACAGTTCATCGAGTCCTGTACCAAATCCAGGTATTACCGTCATTCTATTTGGTAGAAGACGTTACTAAACATTAGCACGGACACTGATAGCTTGAAGCTGAGCTAAACTTCATGTATCTTCACTAATAATAACGTTTTTGTGTATCTAGAGACTGTAATGGTCAAGATTTGGCCATCGCCTATAATAATCGAGGACAGGTGAAGTATCTCCGGGTGGATTTCTATGAAGCCATGGATGATTACACCTCTGCCATTCACATCAACAGACAGTTTGAAGTGCCACTTTATAACAGAGGATTGATACGTTACAGATTGGGTTGGTATAAGTTTAACCAATAACTTAGGCACTAGGTTTTAACACATTTTAGCTCAGTGCTGTAAATATTAACCTGTTTAAAGGGATAGTTCACCAAAAGGGGAAATTATGTCATCATTTACTCGCGTTTAATTGTTTCAAGCCTTTAAAGTAATATAGCAGTATTCTGTGCAAATTCTAAATAGGGAAATTATAGTAGCTATATTGATTACAAAGTACAACATTGTTACAGTCAATCAAATATTGCTGTTGTTTTATTCATTCATTATGCTTCGGCTTAGTCCCTTTATTCATCAGGGGTCACCACAGAGGAATGAACCACCAACTTATCCAGCGTATGTTATACACAGCAGATCCAGCTGAAGCTGCAACCCAGTATTAGGAAACATCCATAGACACTCATTCACACATATGCACTATGGTTTAGTTTATTCAATTTACCTATACTGCGTGTCTGTGGACTGTGGGGGAAACTGGAGCAACCCAAGCGAACTGGGGAGAACATGCAAACTCCACACAGAAATGCCTTGAACCAGTGACCTTTTTGCTGTGAGGCGACAGTGCTAACCACTGTCACCCGTTGTTACTTATTTCACCTTTAAATATATGTTGTTTTGAAGTCATACTTGCATGCTTTTCATACCGAATATTTAAGGTAGCATGGTAAACAATATAAGGAGCGCGTCACAAGTTTTCACTGAATTAATGTGCAAATATAAAACCAAATGTACTTCAATGTTATCGTTTTTTTTTTTGTTCTGTTGAACCCAAAGGAAGATATTTTTAAGAATGGTGGAAAGCTAATCATTGACTTCATTCATAATGGTTGCTGGTTTTCAGCATGCTTCAAATGATCTTCTTTTGTGTTCAAAGTACCGTAGTAAACAGTATAGCGACAATGTCACAAGTTGTCACTAAATAAATGTATGAATATAAAACTATCTTTACCTCAATTTTCTTTGTTCTGTTGAACCCAAAGGAAGATATTTTAAAGAAAGGTGAAAAACTAACCATTGACTTCATTAATAGTTTAAATGTCCTACTATAGTCAGAGGTTGCAGGTTTTCAGCTTGCTTCAAATTATTTTCTTTTGTGTTTAGGTTTATAAACAGAATCTAAGATATTTTTTACGAAATCCGAGAGCCCGTTTATCCATTTTATAGAAAGTGAAGTCTAGAAAAGGAACCAATAACATTGTCTAAACCAGGGGTGCACAAACTCAGTCCTGGAGGGCCGGTTTCCTGCAAAGTTTAGGTCAAACCCTAATCAGACACACCTGGGCTAGCTAATCAAGCTCTTACCAGGCTTTCTGGAAACATCCGTCCAGGTGTGTTGAGGCAAGTTGAAGCTAAAATCTAAAATCTGCAGGACAACGGTCCTCCAGTACCGAGTTTGGGCAGCCCTGTTCTAAGCATTCTGACTTCAGTATTTCAACTATAATCATATAAATCTCCAAGAACATTTTTGCGCACAAAATGTAAACCCCCAGTTAACTAATTTTGTGCATTTGCTAGTCTATTTAACTGATTATATTTGAAGTACATTACTTACATTAATCGATGCTGTAAAAGGAAACCTATGGAATTGAAAATCATATTAACCTTTCACCGGAAGCTCATCATTGGCTGAAAAACATTAGCTTTGCATATAGCCCATTACGGTCTATGGAGGATGAGAGAGCTTTGTAATTTTATCTAAAATAACTTAATTTGTTGTGAAGATGCGCGAAGGTCTTGCCGTTTGGAACAAAATGAGGGTGAGTAATAAATAAAGAATTTGAATTTTTGAGTTAACAAACCCTTTAAAGGTGTAGTTTACCTAAAAATTTAAATGTATATTTTTATGTATATTTTGTAACATTTCACCTGCCATAATAAAGATAGTGACTTTTTGTCTTCTACTTCTGTGGAACAATAAAAATGTTTATTAGGTTAAACCATGATTCTTAGTTATAATGAGTCAAAGCGTATAATGCATATTGAGAATCAAAAGACACGTACAGACAAAACTTAACATAATACTTCTGAATCGTGATCCAGACTGTTTGATGAAGCTGTGGATTTAAGGTAAATTATGTTTAGTTTCTTTCACAGGCTAATTATTTTTGTTAAAAAAAAAAACACACAATTTATGCTTTGAAGCCATGAGTATTAATTTTGTTTTGCCTGTTTGTTTGTTTTTGATCATAAAGGAGATGATCACTATTGACTTGAGAATCATGGGTACAACTAAAATCATTATATCCTCTACTGAAAAAAAGCATTATCACACATCCTGCATGGCCAGGGAGTAAATTCAGCAAATATAAATCTCTTTTAAGGAATAGTTCACTCAAAATTGAAAATCTACTCACCCTCAAGTTGTTTCAAATGTTTAAGAGTTTCTTTAAACTGTTTTGATGTTTTGAAGAAAGCTGAAAACTATTGACATCCATAGAAGGAAAAACAAATACTGTGGAGGTCAATGGTTAAAGGTTTCCAGCTTTCTACAAGATATCTTCTTTTCTGTTCAAGAGAAGTGAATTATCAAACTGTTTTGGATCCTGTTGAGTAAATCAGGGGTTCCCAAAATTTTCTCTCCGCAACCACCAAAAAAAAAAAAATAAATAATGCCACTGACTTGCCACCCCCAATATGCTCTGAGCTGTGTATAAATATAAAAAACTTCCATGCAACTGTGCACACATACCAATACAATCCATGTGTATTCTTTGTTTAATTTTTTTTTTAATGTATGCGAGCGCTGTAAATGTGCCAGAAAGTTTAACCTGGTGCCATAAAATCTGTTTGCTGCATCTGAGGGTAACAAGGGTCACAATCCAATAGAAAAAAATCTAAAGACTAAAACCATAAACTACAACTTTTATCTTCAATAGTTTATGGATAAAATATGGTAACATTAATTAGAAATCACCAAGCAACCCCGTCCTGCCTTCATTGTTCTGCGACCCCCACTTTGGGAACCACTGGAGTAAATGGTGACACAAATGTTGGTTTTGGGTGAACTATCCCTTTAAGAAGGTCCTACTTTATTTGGGACCTTTTTCCAGTAGTATCTGGATGCAGCCTTTACGATGCAAGCTGATATTGCATCACTCAGCAATGCAATGCAATGCACTTAATGAAGTGATTGACGTCACTGTGACTGGTAGGGTTAGGGGTGGGGTTAGGTGGGCGCATTATAAAGCTTGGGATGCAGCTCAGATTGCACTGCACCAGGTCTGCATCCAGATTTTCTCCTCTTTTCAGAGCATTCTGTCAGTCTGTAATGTTCCACTATGGGGCGCTGTTTGACTTCATTGTGACTGCATTGTGTTTTCTCCTAAGGCTTTTTCAAGGAGGCTGAAGGAGACTTTCGCAGAGTCCTGGAACTGAATCCTGATTTCAAAGATGCTAAAGAAAGTTTGAATCAGACACTTCTGGACAGAGAAGAAAAGGTGAAGAGAGGCTACTGAGAGCTTGTTTCTGAATTTTGACTGTTGATTGAACCTATGCTATGATTGAACCAACTCTGTGAGCATGTGATTGTGTATTTGTAAGTTTCATTCACACGTCTCCAAAACTTGCAGGTTTCAATACTCTTCTGATTAAAATGCATAAGTGTGCATTTCACCTTTGATTAATTGTTGATTTTAAATTGCATGTCGACTTGATATTTAAAAATGGAAATAGTTTCCCTTGCATTGTTTTAATTTAATGTACAGAAACAACAGTGTTAAAGTTATTGAAATGGACTCATGAACATGAATAAAAATGCATTTTTATTATTTAATACATCATCAAGGCATACCTTTTTTTCAATTCATCTTTATTTCTGTAGCACGTTTACAATTTAGATTGTCTCAAAGCAGCTTCACATAGAAGATTATAGTGAATTGAAACAGTGTTTTCAGAGTTTAAGTTCAGTTCAGTGTGGTTTAATATTCACTGCTGAAAGTCCAAACACTGAAGAACAAATCCAGTGATGCACAGCTTTACAAGTCCCAAACCAAGCAAGACAGTGGCGACAGCGGCAATTGGTGAAAGTGAAGGATAAAAAAAAAACTCAAGGAAAAACAAGCTCGGTTGGGCATGACCATTTCTCCTATGGCCAAACGTCTTGTGCAGAGCTGCAGTCTAGGCGCCGGAGGTTGGAGAACGCTTGACATCAGCAAAGACTCTGTCTCTGGAGTCTTACAGGAATCAGACTCATGCTCTCTACTTCTCCATGACCACCACAGAAGCTTCTCAGGATATGGGCTGGTATGGGAATATGGAAACCTTGAGATCATCTCTTCACAGGTCTTAGATCGCTTCAATGACTGCATAGTCTCTGGGGGCCTATATAGTGTATACTGCAGGGGTCACCCAACCCTGTTCCTGGGGAGCTACCTTCCTGCAGAATTCAGTCACAACTCTGATCAAACACACCTGAACTAATTAATAGTACCTAAAGCAGCACTTGATAATTACAAACAGGTGTGTTTGGTCAGGGTTGCAACTAAAATCTTCAGAAAGGTAGCTCTCCAGGAACAGGGTTGGTGACCTCTGATATACTGTATAAACGAGATGCAAAAAACATGCATGGAGCACATTCATGCATCATACCGCTTTGTGATGAGTGTATGTTTACTAAAAAGATAGGTCTTTAATCTAGTTTTGAACTGTGAGAGTGTTTCTGAGCCTCGGACATTATCAGGATTATCCAGAGTTTAGGAGCCATAAATGAGAAGGCTCGACCTTCTTTACTCGACTTTGCTATTCTTAAAGAGATCTTAAAGAGCAGGTTGTATTGTAGCGAGACAGAAGGTCAGTTAGATGAACAGGAGCTAGATTATTTAGAGCTTTATAGGTGAGAAGCAATATTTTAAATTCAATACGAAACTTAACAGGCAGCCAGTGTAAGGAGGATAAAATTGGGTGATATGATCTTATTTTCTAGAACTGGTAAGAACTCTCATTTTGAGCTAGCTGAAGTTTGTTAATAGAGGATGCTGGGCAGCCAGCGAACGGAGCATTACAGTAATCCAGTCTAGAAGTCATAATAAGACTTCATAATGCATCTGAGATGGATAGCATACTTCGTAACTTAATGATATTTCTCAGATGAAAGAAGGCAGTTTTTGTGACATGGAGTATATGATTTTCAAAAGTTAAATTGCTGTCTAATATGACACCTAGATCTTTTATACTAGAGCTAATGCTAACTTTGTATCCCTCTTATTCAGGGATGTCAAACTCGTTTCCTAAAGTGCCGGAGCCCTGCACAGTTTAGTTCCAACCCTAATTAAACACACCTGATCGAACTAATTGAGTCCTTCAGGCTTGTTTGAAACCTACAGGTAAGTGTGTTGAAGCAGGGTTGGAACTAAACTGCATTGCTACGGCCCTCCAGGAATTGAGTTTGACATCCCTGCTCTAATTGGAGGTGAAGTTGCGAGATCTGCTGTGTACAAGATTTAGGCCCAATAAGTAATAATTCTGTTTTGTCTGAGTTTAAGATAAGAAAATTGTTAGTCATCCAGTCTTTAAAATCTTTAATACACTCAGTTAGCTTAGACCACAGGTGTCAAACTCAGTTCCAAAAGGGCCGCAGCTCTGCACAGTTTAGTTCCAACCCTAACTAAACACACCTGATCAAACTAATTGAGTCCTTCAGGGCTTGTTTGAAACCTACAGGTAAGTGTGTTGGAGCAGGGTTGGAACTAAACTGCAGGGCTTTGGCCCTCCAGGAATTGAGTTTGACACCCCTGGCTTAGACAGTTCAGACATCTCATCAGGTTTAGTTAAAATATATAATTGAGCATCATCTGCATAGCAGTGAAAGCTGATCCCATGTCCCATGTATGTTGTAAACAGCAAACAACACAATCCTCTAGTCTGCTTTTTTTAATTAAATATTTTTTAATGTATGCCTTTCCACCTAAAAACATTCCGGGGTCATTTATTTCTAGCTATTTTTTTTTTAGCTGTAGAAAACAGCTTGTGATGCTTGAGATTGCAACACGGTACACACACACTGAACACACTTGATGTAAGCATTTTCATGGTTCTTTGTTTTACACAGTAATGTTGGTTTCTGAACACTTGTGCTTTGAAATGTGGAGAAAAAAAGTTTTCAGGTCCCTCAAAACCTTTTTTTTTTTTTTGCAAAAAAGCAGCCAAACTACATAGTGTAACTTTTGTAAAATATACCATTAAATCACCAATGATGCAACAATTTTTTTAAATAAACACATTCTTTAAAAGTGTATTTTGCTTGTAATTATGCTTTTTGTATACTGCTTTTGTTGCATTTTATAAGAGCTTTTATAGCATCTGGGTGTAGCTTGTCAGAATTAAACAAGACCATTTAATTATGTTTGTAGATAATAGCATATAAAACTAAAGAAAATCAAATATTTCTATCATTTTAGGGCCTGGAGTAGTTATTAAAAACATCTTTGAATTTGAAATAGTTTCTGTTGCTTTCAGAAACTTGCATGTAATCCAATGATCTTTAGGAATTCTCCCTCTGAATGCTGCTCATGATTATTAACTCATGACACCTGGTGTTTAGTTGCTGATTGGCATCACCTGTGCACAAGATCCCTTTTATACCGTTCCTTTCAAACGGCGTTTCATACACTGCTTTGAGCTGTTGTAGCTTGAAGGGTTTAAATTGTGGTGGTTTCTATAACATTTGACCACCTGGAAACAGAAGGGCCTGTTATTTGAGCAAGGATGTCATGGCTTCTTGGGATTTGGTGAGTTAAATTTTTTTGTATATGGGGTTTTGTTTATCTTGCTTGTTACTCATTAGTATTTCTTCCTTTCAGTACTCTATGGCTGTTGATGGTTGTGGTTTTGTCCCAAAAGTTCGTTGAACAACAAGTGAAAAATTTTGATTTGGTGGCAGCACAGAATTTTAACCAAAGTATGTTCTTGTATATTCCTCTGAATCTATTGGTTCTTCCTGTTGTCTCCATTTACTTACTTCTATTTTACTATTTCCCCAGGAACAGGCCTGAGGACTGAATGTCTGGGAAGTTATATGAAGCTAACCATAGACAAGTCTATAGCTTTCGGAAACCAGGTTGAGATTGATGTTGTCAGTAAGTGTCTCTTTAACACCGTAATAGCCAATGCTGGAAATCTGGTTATTTGCATCCTCTTAACTGACTTTCTCCCCATTTTTCTCCTTCAGATGGATCCCAAATTGAACCTCTAACCCCAGCCCTGGCTGCAAAATGTGGTTTTAGTGTAGACTCTGATCCTTGGGGTAACCACAGAATTTTTGCATCTATTCTTAACTGTTTTGCAGGCGATGAGGTAACTGGCTCTCTGACTTTGCAAACTACTGTTATCCTTCCTTATTTGTTAACTCTGTAATTTTAATTCAGGATGATACAGTCATGGAGGTTGACATGCGTGTCCGGGTACGTGGTCGTAATAACATGCAGAGCGACGTTTATCCAGTGACTAAATCCTGTACCTACGACCGATGGGCTTCTCGGGAAATCCTTTGCGAACGCAATTATATGGAGGTAAAGGCTTGGGTTGTTTGCCACTTGACATGAAAGGTGATCTTTTGGATGTTTAAAGATTTCATTAATGACTGATTTCTTCTGTAGGTCTCTGTTAATCGAATGCCAGAGGAGATTACAGCTTTGCGTAGGCAAAAGCCTAAACTGGCCAGAGCATTTTCATCTAATCAGTGGGCCGGCACGGTTTCTGAGGTATGGAGGTTCAAGGCTTTAATTTGAATCCACTTGGCACATTTCATTTTATCCAGTGTCTGCTTCCCAGGCCATTACATCCAAATACAACATCTGGAGGATGGTGTTTTTCACGCCTGAACAAAAAGCCATGGTTTTGGAGGATGCCTTAAAGGCAGGACATGGAATAACAACTACCAGGTCTCGATTGGCCATCCGAACTGGTTATGATATGCCAGAGACTTATGTGGAGAATGTAAGTACTAGAATCTTAAAGCTTGCTTTGGTAGGTTTCTTTTAGCTAATATTGCAACTGCTGTAACAGGTAAGTGGAGTGCCGATGAAGATCATCAAGGTGACCACCTACTTCAAGAAACAGTGGTCCGTAACCATGTTGGATACTGTTGCCGCATGTCCAATTGGTAGGTGTGCTTTGCTCCAATTCCTTTTTACAGAATTTCTAAGAATGAAGTGGAAAAAAGGCACTTAAATTACCATGTCCTATGGTGTGACATAACCTGAGCTAAAATAATACTTAACCATGACTTGTTGGACCATTTAATTTCAATAAATGGGGGTGTAATGCAAAAGGGGACTTTTTGGGCCTACTAAAATGTTGTAAATTCCCATTTTTAACTGGTGAATGTTGAGGGCTTCGTTCACATGATCTTAAATGGGTCAATTTAAAAAAATAAAATAAATACATTTTAAATTACTAATTTGTCAGTGCAAAACCTAAACTGGGTTGCAGTTAAATTTATCCATAAGCCATAGTACTTTTGACTGGTAAACCCTGAAGTTCTGGCTTTGACAAGGCTAAACCGTTTCTTCGTATGCAGGTGGGCTTTCTTTCACTGATGAAATGATCACCTGGTCTTTCCCCTGGAAAAATCACTTATTGGGTACATCTGACATCATTATCCATGAGATGTTAATGGGAATAGATGGAAGGCTTATTGACTCTGCGCACATGGCTGCTAGAGGCTTCATCTTAACGAGGAATGATGATTTCATTGTAATGAAATTGCCTATCGGTGGACCAGATGGCTACACCAAGGTTTGTTTTCTCATGAGTTTAGCCTTTTTTTAAAGCTGTGGTCACACTGGGCTTTTCCTCCCATAGACCTTCATCCTTATGCACATGAATGCGTCAGACCGGAAATGCAGGGTCATGCGTCAAGTTTCGCAGATTGCTGCGGTGCAAAGTTCAAGCTTGGTGAACTGCTAACTGCGAAATCGCATCGCTTGACTGCGCCAGACCAATCGAGGATCAAAACATGACCTCTCTGGACAGAATTTTAAAACATGGAGAAATCGCTTTATTTTAGTTTTTTTTTTATAAATGGCTAAGTTTGTTTAATCCTGCCCCTTTCGCAGTGGTGTATAACAGAATTTTGCACAAACTCTAGTGTGACCGTAGCTTAACTCTTGAGCCCAAGCTAATGGTTCTGTTTTTGTAGAGCGGTGTTGTGGAAAACCTGTACCACACCAGATATGTCATCGAGCCAATGTTGGAGTTGCTGTGGAGTGAGGGAGGCATGGATTCAACTAGATACAGGGTACTCTTCCCTGTCAAGACCCCTCTTATGCCTAGACCACTCCAGCTTGTTGACCGTGAGTTGTTGACTCTGACATTTACAAGTAGGGCTGCTCCGTATTTCTCAAATGACATAAAATTTATTGCAGTTTTAGTAATTTCACCAAGTGACTTAAATGGTTACATTAGGTAAATGTAGCTTTATTTTGATTAACTAGTATCTTGTAAGTGAGTGAAAGCATAGCTAAATAAAATGGAGCAAAGTTTAATAGCCATTGACTTGTTTTCAGGGCAATAAAACAATAGTGGGTACAGAAATTGAATGCATAATTAAGAATTGTTTCTACATGCATTAAACTTTATTGATGCTCCTTAACCACAAATGTTTACATTGAGTATCAATGCTGAAACCTAATGTGCATCCCTAATTACAATTGTAGCAGTTTTCCAGTCTTACTGCATGTTCTTGCCCATATGTTCTTCAATAGTTTAATGCAGGGCTGTCCAAACTCTGTCCTGGAGGGCCGGTGTCCTGCATATTTTTGCTCCAACCCCAATTAAACACCTGAACTAGCTAATTAAGCTCTTTCTAGGTATACTACAAACGTCCAGGGAGGAGTGTTGAAGGAAATTGGAGCTAAACTATGCAGGACACTGGCCCTCCAGCATGAGTTTGGACACCCCTGGTTTAATGGCATTTGATGCTAGTTTATGAAGTCTTTTCTTGGTTTGATTACTTTGTTTGTCTTGTAGTCACTGTGGTGGAACAAAGGATATTTGATGTGGTCTTGGGTCCATTTCTTCATGATGTTGAGTTGGTAAACATCACCTTTTCCGGGGTTGTCCTCACTGTGATGGAGGCCAATGCAAGGGGCTTCAACATACAGGATCAAGTCTTCCAAAATGGCTCCAAATCATTTCGACTTAATGTCCCTTTCACTGATACATTGGTTGTGAGAACTGTAAGTGTTAATCATTGACTTAATATGTGGGGCTGTTTTGTTGCTTCTCACTGAACCATTTAATTGCAGCAAACTGATCTGCTGGCTACGACGTATACTCTTCCAATCATCTACGGTTTTATGATTGTTCCTGAATACGTTGCATTCTCCTATGTCACATCTGTTCAAGTAACCTTTCAAGATATCGGTAAGTGTTTGCACATAAAACTCTGTATTTTAATGTAGGGAGTTCTCAACTAACTGCCATTCCCCATCCAGTTCTCCCAACTGTGACTGGATCCTGTGATAAAGAGCAGTTCTACATCACCATATCTAATGGAAATCTTGGCGTTGACTACAACATCATGCTGGGTACACGTGATCTCAATCAAGAACTGAGAGCAGAGTATGGCATTAGAGACAATGGCACTCACTTGACCTTGGCGGTGCCTTTCCTGTCTCTTGATGTTGCATTTGAGGTATGACTTTGCTTTTTGCCTCTTTCTGTATTTCTTGTTGCTCTTAAATGTTGTTGTCTTTGCAGTTGATGTACTCTACATCCTTGAGGGCACGGGTTGATGTGTTGGTATGGGAGCCTGTCAGTAAAAGGAGCTTAAGTGACTTTTCCCTGGCTTGCAATTTTCCAATGACTATGACCGGTATGTCTTAGTATTGTTAATTTGAAATCAAGACCAACAAAAGCTTTTACTTTGCATGACATTTTATCCAAATGTTTTCTCCCCCAGAGTGTTTCAGCAATGGCTCGATATCAGCCCTTGCAGTGAAGGTAGAATCAGTACCTCAGCTTGTCCCCAAGAACCTCAGACTACAGGATCCCTCATGCAGGCCTAAATTCAGCAATGACCGATTTGCCTACTTCTCTTTTGACGCAAACAGTTGTGGAACCACTAGAACGGTATTGAGACATTACATTTGAATGGTTTAAGGGTGTCTGAATTTAGGACATTAAAACTAGGTCTGCACGCATACTATATTTTAGGACCCAAGACTTGCTGAATTTTTTTTTTTTTTTTATTCTCCCCCCCCAATCCTTTATTGAGCCAACCAATAGGGATCCAATCCATCAATTTCCTAACCACTTGCTAAAGATTTAAAGTTCTGTGTATTTTTTATAGCTACCTAATAAGGATATGGACTTAGACCAGTATAAATAGTGTTGGTTGCTAGCATAAGATCAGTGCTCTACAGGTGGTTTGTCAAGCCCACCTGTGAGGCACATTCAGTTTAGGCTAGTCATGTCCATCACTGGTTAATTATGGAAGAGATGAAGGTTTTGTTCATGGGTAGTTTAAGTAAATGAGTTGAGACCTGGGTGTAAATGAGTTGAGACTAATATGGCTAAAACTAAATTGAGTTTCAAACTAATTGAGGAGCATGTGATATGTATGATCAATGCTGGTCTCATCTGCAACCCTTGGTAAGCCCTTCAAATTCATTTCTAACTCTTATAAATGGCCCTTCTAGCTTCTGTTTAGCTGTATTAAGACCATTATTAATAACTTGTCTTAACTCTGATCTTTGCATTTGTCTCATTTAGTTTTATGATGGAGTCATGATGTATCAGAATGAAATCACTTCGGGTGACGGACTACAGGTTTTCCAACAAGCAAACAAAGAACTAGCTAGTCCTTCTCCAGATTATCGGTGAGATGCAATATTATTGGTGTGTCATGCTTGCTATATATATATTGAGGCCTAACATGCTCTTTCTTGTTTGTTAGAGTGACTGTGTCCTGCTTTTACACGCTAAATGAAACCCAGATGATTTCGTTTACCTCACAACCGCTGGTTAGGGCCCCTATGGTGGAGACTGGTTATGGGGAGCTACATGTTGTGATGAGGCTTGCTCTGGGTATGTTGGAATTAATTTGACTTATAACTGACAAACCAAGCTAATCTTTACTTATCAAGCTCCACATTAACTAGCAGTCTCCAAAAGGTTTGGTTCTCTGGCCCTAGACCTCACGGTAAACATACACAACTAAATAGTCTTCCAGTAGTTCATAAACTAAAAATTTTCAATCTATTGGATGTAAACTGTCATGTGGGTTTTATTTTTATTTTTTTTTATTCCCCCCCCCCCTTCTCTCCTAGTCTAATTTGGACAAATGTTTGACAACTGACTCCTTACTCTCTCCACCCAGATGGTTCTTATAGTAACTTCTATGCAGAGGAGGATTACCCGGTCACACGTTACCTAAGAAGTCCTCTATTCTTTGAGGTGATGCTGCTTCAGTCCACTGATCCTCGGATAGAGCTTGTCTTGGAGAACTGTTGGGCTACTGTGAATGAAGGCCGTGAATCCACTCCAAGATGGGATCTGATTGTAGATGGGCAAGTATTTGCACTTGGGTTTATTTTGGTTTTTATTTTTATTTTTTTATATTAAATAAAAAGGGGGCTGTTTACATTTTTGGTTTAGGCAATCTTTGCATCTTGCCTTCTCAATGCAACACTAGCTTCATTATTAATAATACATTAATCATCCCAGTGTCCAATGAAAAGTTTCTATTGCCATAACTTCCAGTTTGTTCAGCATTTACATCCTTTTTTACCAGCTGTGTGAATCTGGGTGACACTCGGAGGACCCATTTCCACTCTGTGACTCCTGAAATGGCTCAGTACCCAACTCATGTGAAGCACTTTGAAATCAAGATGTTCACTTTTATGAAGGACAGCGTCGTCTCCCAAGATCAGGTAAATGGCTCTTGAAATGGCTGACCTGTGCATTTAGGCTGCATCACTGACGTGTTCTGTCCCCTCAGATTTTTGTGCACTGTGATGCTGTGCTCTGCGCTGTCAATCAGGCTGATGGAATCTGCCAGAGACAGTGCCCTTCTCCCAATCCTTTAAACTCCAGAAACAAAGGTTTGCCCTTCACTCTTGTTGCTACACTAAACATTTTATTTGTAAAGGCTCTACATTTGCAGCATTGTTTAAATTCAAGTTTGTGGAATTTTAATGGGTTTTTCCTCTTCTGTTCCTCACCAGTTCGCAGAGATGTGGCTAATGACCGGTTCCAAAGAACATTGCTGTCATCAGGAAAAATCCACCTCTCGAGCTCTTAGTTTTCGGTTCATCTTAATAAAGTGTTCAAGTCTTAAATCTGTCCTGCAGTTTTTGTGTAATGAGTTTCTATATGGTATTAAGTGGTTCCCCTCCACTTAATCCAAGTTTATCTGATCAATCTAAATCTTGCAGAAAAGGAGTTACACATGTTAACCCCTGCTTACTTGGTGTTCTCAAATTACTTAATCCCTTTTGTATTCAATTTGGCAGTTTGCTAACTTTAAGTCTAATCAAAGCTTGTTTTATTTCTTGTTAGAACTTGCTGTAAAGGCAGATGCTTAAACTCTAAACCTGTGTTGTAACGAATGGATATGTATAACATCTAAACTAACTTATGATGAACAGATTTATTTTAAACTGGCTTTAAGCTCAAATCTAGTCACTAAAATGTTAAATTAGTAGCTGGAACAGGATTGCATCTATCAAATATAGCTTTAATTTTTTTTTTGCAAACCAGAAACAAACAATAAAAAAAAAACATAACATCACAATGGCTTAATTTTATATACATTTATAAATCAAATTTAATTTGCATGGTGCAGCCATTTGTTGAGGAACAAACACTATTCATACAAAACTCAAACCTAGAGTGGTATGGGGTGACGTTGTATTGCACTTCTACAGTTTTGATAATTTTTGACATTTACAGACTTTTCAGATGTTTACAAGTTATGCTGGAATGTTTTTGATGTATGCATGGGGGTCTTGTCTTAAATTAACATTGGGTTGGTCTAAAATTATCTTGAACTGGTATTTTACTATGTTTGTTTGTTAAGTTAGCCAATCAGGCTGACCCCCATCCAGTCACTAATACTCCATCAAAATGGTCAAGTTTAACTATTTACCAATATGGGTTTCTTTATTTTGTTTTCTATATTCACAATTTATTAGTAGTTGACATTTTGCCATGGATCAAAACAGTTTACTGTTAAACACCCTTTGTTTTAGGAACATTATGAACTTTTTTTTAATTTTGCCCTCCCCCATCCACTTAATGTTGACTTGTATATATTTTAACTGGCATAATCCTTAGAATTTAGCTTTGTGAAAGTCTGAAACTTAAACCATAATGCTCAAAAAGAATTTGACAACCCTGTTATAGTGCTATCTTATGGCATTTGGAATAAAGCATGAGTATGTCAAAGCTGTATGCTCGGTATAGGGCAATATTTGGCTTGCAAATGCAGAAATGTATAACTGTTGGTCCTCCGTGTGCTTTCATGGCTTGAAGACTGATAATGACCGCTCTGATCTTTCTGCTTTTTCCAGATGCTTCTTGCCTAAGGAGACAAATATACAAATGGGGACTGTCCTGCTCTTAACAGGTACCTTTCTAAGTTGTCTTTAAGGAATGTTGATTAGTGCTATTGTGTGTCTTTGAAAAGCAGCAGTGATTTTGTTCGGGTGGAGCAACACTTGATTGGAATAGATTGATAATGCACTGACACACAATGGCAATCCTTTAAGCCATTTGCTGAGTATTAGAAATGTTGAACGTTGAAAACAACATGCCATAATACAACAATATTTATAGTGTTATTTTATTTATTTATTTTCATGCAAGCAAACAAAAGTTCCAATCTTTCAAAATCGTAATTTAATTAAACTAATATTTTATTTAGCAAGGATTTACATTTGAGTACATTGTATAAATGGTGTTTTCTTTATCCAGAATTTTTTTTTTTTAAATCTTACCAACTCCAAACATATGCGTGGAAGTATCTAATAATAATTATGATCATAATAATATTAATTCTTATTATTCATTTTATACATGAGAATTTATTTTTGTATAATTTTAATTTAAGAAAAATGTTCCTCACAATGATTTGTTGTTTTTAAGAAATTATGCAAATCTTTTGTGGATTTTTTTTTATTTTTTTATTTTTTTTATTATTTATTAACAAGCATGTATGATCTATTGATTAATTGTTTAATAATTTTAGTGTGACAATTTTACCAGATATTTAAAATCATTCTGGCACAAAATATTGTCATTAATGTGCATTGTCCCTGTCAAACACACCTGAAATAAATAAATACATTGGATGTCTTCAATAACTCCTAAATTATTTAGCTTGGAAATGATTGTATGGCTATTTTGTTAAATTTCAATTTTCAATTTTGCAAACTACTACTGCTAAACAATGAACATTTTTATTAAACAGGACACTAATAATGAAATATGGGCTGTGGGGAAAAAAATGCAGCTAGTGAAAGATCTGGTTTAGTTTAAAGCAAGTTGATCGATATGAATGGATGGTAGATTAGTTAATCAAAATATAACAATCACTTTTTAAAAAGGTTATATATATATATATATATATATATATATATATATATATATATATATATATATATATATATATATATATATATATATATATATATATATATATATATATATATATATATATATCCCCTTCACACACTGTCTAGGGATGGTGCACAACATAAGCCAATACAAAGAAAATTAAATCAAACATTTATTTGGATTTGAAATCAGGAGCTGACAAGGCCAAAATAACAAAAAAAAAATTGAAATCCCTAACTACCTAACACAAAAACAGAGATCAAAGGGTTTTACAAATAAAATGGCATCAAACTCCTTACTTTCCCAATATATGTCAGCAGGCAAAAAGATCAAAGTTTATGGTAATTTGTTCTACAAGCTTCTAAGCAAACACGAAACAAACAGCGCTCTTAAATCTCAGTGGTCACAACTTTAACACATTCAAAAACTGCACTATCCAACATACAGTTGAAGTCAGAATTATTAGCCCCCTTTGAATTTTTTTCTTTTTAAATGTTTCCCAAATGATGTTTAATAGAGCAAGGAAATGTTCACAGTATGTCTGAAAATATTTTTTCTCCTGGAGAGTTTTATTTCGGCTAGAATAAAAGCAGTTTTAAATTTTTTTAAAATCCAATTTTAAACTTTACTTTAGAAAGTATTGCATAACAATATAGAGTTACTGCCCAAAAAAGAAACTAGTTGTGTTACTTCTTATGGAAAGTAATGCGTTAAGTTAATTTGTGTTACTTTTTCCATTTCATGGCTTATGCTTGATCTCTTTCAGAACTTGCAGGGTTTCTTTTTTTTTTTTTTTTTTTAATAGAGTAGCTCTGCAATTAACAACACACTGTATAACCTTCATTTACCTTAAAGTAGGATAATGTTATCTTCTGAGAACATCCTGAGCCCAGAGCTCTACATGCCGTATACAGATTAATGAAAGTTTCAAGCAATGCGGTTGCTTTTTATTAAGAAAAAAAGTACAGATCGCTGTCCATGCAGAAAATCCTTTTCCTTTTCTTCCATGCGTTCAAAATAAAGAGAATATTTAGCCGAAATGTAAGGCTCTGCCGTCTTCCTTTCTGTTTGTTCCTGCATTCTCTCATTGTGTGCGGGATTCAACGTGACTAGAACTTTAAATAGTAATACGTTACTTGTTGCTTTGAAAAGAAATATTAGTACATAACTGGCATTATTTGTAATGCGTTACCCCCAACACTGCATATACATATCTGTGGATATGTGGAATGATTTTGAGAGTACCAGAGCAGAAAACTTCACTTAAAAAAAAAAAAAAAATTTAACATTTATTTTAGGTGTCATGGTGGCTCAGTGGTTAGCACTGTGGCCTCACAGCAAGAAGGTCACTGGTTCGAGTCCTGGCTGGACCAGTTGGTGTTTTTGTGTGGAGTTTGCATGTTCTCCCCTTGTTGGCCTGGGTTTCCTCCGGATGCTCTGGTTTTCTCCACAGTCCAAAGAAATGCACTATAGGTGAATTTAATAATATAAATTGGCCGTAGTGTGTGTGCATGTGAGAGTGTTTGGGTGTTTTCCAGTACTGGGCTGGGGCTAGAAGGGCAACTGCTGCGTAAAAGATAAGCAAGATGATTTGGTGGTTCATTTCGCTGTAGCAACCTAAGTAAAGGGACTAAGCCGAATGAAAATGAATGAATGAATTAGAAGACAAAGTTTCATAAGGTCTCTCATATAATACTCCCAGTAAAAGACACAGAGAAAACATTATAAATTGTTTTGTACACAAATTATCTGAACAGAACATTTGCATATTGTTGTATGTGTATTGGTGTTGAACGGTATTTGTTTTGGTGTCGTATCTTTGTTACTGTCATTTGTGTGTTGATGTACAGTATATGTGTTGGTGTTGTATAGCATGTGTGTTGGTGTCATATGAGTGTTAATGTACAGTGTGTGTTGGTGTGGTATATGTGTGTTGGGGGTGAAAAGCTTCACACTTCTGCTCTTCTCTATGCTGGAGTGTGGTTTGGGTGCCAGACTTCTGACACTTCTACTTCCTATTCCACCTAATGCAGACTTCAATATTGATTCATCTTTCACAGGTATAATTGTGACAGTACGTTTTAACTTAAAACTACAGATTTTTCTTTTCTACCAAAAATCTTTAGACTTCTAACTGAAGACCATGTATCAATCAGATATTTTGTCAATTTCCTACTGCAGATATAGCAAAACATAATTTTTTGCTTAGTAATCTACAATGATAAGCCCTTAATTTAGACAACTTTAAAGGTGATTTTCTAAATATTGATATTTGAACCCTGAGATTCTACATTTTTTGATTTTAGCCAAATATCATCATATCCTAACACATATACATCAATAAAAAGCTTCATTCATTCATTGATTTTCTTGTCAGCTTAGTCCCTTTATTAATCCGGGGTCACCACAGTGGAATGAACCACCAACTTATCCAGCAAGTTTTTACGCAGCGGATGCCCTTCCAGCCGCAACCCATATCTGGGAAACATCCACACACACATTCACACACTCATACACTACGGACAATTTAACCTACCTAAATCACCTGTACCGCATGTCTTTGGACTGTGGGGGAAACCGGAGCACCCGGAGAAAACCCATGCGAAGGCAGGGAGAACATGCAAACTCCACACAGAAACGCCAACTGAGCTGAGGTTCTTGCTGTGAGGCGACAGCACTACCTACTGCGCCACTGCCTCGCCTAAAAAGCTTCATTTTCCAT